CTTTCGATTGTGGAGGCTACATATAACGGATTTGGCTCGAGGCTATTCTCCACCGATAATAAAGTTTATTGATCCTATTCTGCGCCGATGATTAAGTCAATTAAGCACCGAATTGGGCCAATATATTTTGGGATGGCATTTTCGTAATTATTTGAGCAATTTTTTTCGAAAGGCCATTTTCCTTGGATTTTGATGGATAAAGATGGTGGATTCGGCCTGAGGCTATTCTTCAACAACGATTAACTCCATCCAAGGCCAATTTAGGCGGATTTCTTCCGGGTCCATTTTTGGCAGACTCCAAAGGGGTACCATCACAGATTTCGGGCGGTTTTTCCGAAATGCCATTTTCTTTCAATTTTGGAGGCTACAGATCACGGATTTGGCTCGAGGCTATTCTCCACCGATAATAAATTCTATTGATCCTATTCTGCGCCGATGATTAAGTCAATTAAGCACCGAATTGGGCCAATATATTTTGGGATGCCATTTTCGTAATTATTTGAGCAATTTTTTTCGAAAGGCCATTTTCCTAGGATTTTGAATGATAAAGATGGTGGATTCGGCCTGAGGCTATTCTTCAACGACGTTAAAGTCCATCCAGGGTCAATTTGGGCGGATTTCTTCCGGGTCCATTTTTGGCAAACTCCAAAGGGGTACCATCACAGATTTCGGGTGATTTTTCCGAAATGCCATTTACTTTTGATTTTGGAGGTTACAGATCACGGATTCGGCTCGAGGCTATTCTCCACCGATAATAAATTCTATTGATCCTATTCTGCGCCGATGATTAAGTCAATTAAGCACCGAATTGGGCCAATATATTTTGGGATGGCATTTTCGTAATTATTTGAGCAATTTTTTTCGAAAGGCCATTTTCCTTGGATTTTGATGGATAAAGATGGTGGATTCGGCCTGAGGCTATTCTTCAACAACGATTAACTCCATCCAAGGCCAATTTAGGCGGATTTCTTCCGGGTCCATTTTTGGCAGACTCCAAAGGGGTACCATCATAGATTTCGGGCGGTTTTTCCGAAATGCCATTTTATTTCAATTTTGGAGGCTACAGATCACGGATTTGGCTCGAGGCTATTCTCCACCGATAATAAATTCTATTGATCCTATTCTGCGCCGACGATTAAGTCAATTAAGCACCGAATTGGGCCAATATATTTTGGGATGGCATTTTCGTAATTATTTGAGCAATTTTTTTGGAAAGGCCATTTTCCTTGGATTTTGAAGGATAAAGATGGTGGATTCGGCCTGAGGCTATTCTTCAACGACGATTAAGTCCATCCAGGGCTAATTTGGGCGGATTTCTTCCGGGTCCATTTTTGGCAGACTCCAAAGGGGTACCATCAAAGATTTCGGGCGATTTTTCTGAAATGCCATTTTCTTTCGATTGTGGAGGCTCCATATAACGGATTTGGCTCGAGGCTATTCTCCACCGATAATAAAGTTTATTGATCCTATTCTGCGCCGATGATTAAGTCAATTAAGCACCGAATTGGGCCAATATATTTTGGGATGGCATTTTCGTAATTATTTGAGCAATTTTTTTCGAAAGGCCATTTTCCTTGGATTTTGATGGATAAAGATGGTGGATTCGGCCTGAGGCTATTCTTCAACAACGATTAACTCCACCAAGGCCAATTTAGGCGGATTTCTTCCGGGTCCATTTTTGGCAGACTCCAAAGGGGTACCATCACAGATTTCGGGCGGTTTTTCCGAAATGCCATTTTCTTTCAATTTTGGAGGCTACAGATCACGGATTTGGCTCGAGGCTATTCTCCACCGATAATAAATTCTATTGATCCTATTCTGCGCCGATGATTAAGTCAATTAAGCACCGAATTGGGCCAATATATTTTGGGATGCCATTTTCGTAATTATTTGAGCAATTTTTTTCGAAAGGCCATTTTCCTAGGATTTTGAATGATAAAGATGGTGGATTCGGCCTGAGGCTATTCTTCAACGACGTTAAAGTCCATCCAGGGTCAATTTGGGCGGATTTCTTCCGGGTCCATTTTTGGCAAACTCCAAAGGGGTACCATCACAGATTTCGGGTGATTTTTCCGAAATGCCATTTACTTTTGATTTTGGAGGTTACAGATCACGGATTCGGCTCGAGGCTATTCTCCACCGATAATAAAGTCTATTGATCCTATTCTACGCCGATGATTAAGTCAATTAAGCACCGAATTGGGCCAATATATTTTGGGATGGCATTTTCGTAATTATTTGAGCAATTTTTTTGGAAATGCCATTTTCCTTGGATTTTGAAGTATAAAGATGGTGGATTCGGCCTGAGGCTATTCTTCAACGACGATTAAGTCCATCCAGGGCCAATTTATGCGGATTTCTTCCGGGTCCATTTTTGGCAGACTCCAAAGGGTACCATCATAGATTTCGGGCGATTTCTCCGAAATGCCATTTTCTTTCGATTTTGAAGACTACAGATTACGGATTCGGCTCGAGGCTATTCTCCACAGATAATAAAGTCTATTGATCCTATTCTGCGCCGATGATTAAGTCAATTAAGCACCGAATTGGGCTAATATCTTTTGGGATGGCATTTTCGTAATTATTGGAGCATTTTTTTTTTTTTTTTGAAAGGCCATTTTCCATTGATTTTGAAGGATAAAGATGGTGGATTCGGCCTGAGGCTATTCTTCAAAGACGATTAAGTTCATCAAGGGCCAATATGGGCGGATTTCTTCCGGGTCCATTTTTGGCAGACTCCAAAGGGTACCATCACAGATTTCGGGCGGTTTTCCGAAATACCATTTTCTTTCGATTTTGTAGGATACAGATCACGGATTCGGCTCGAGGCTATTCTCCACCGATAATAAAGTCTATTGATCCTATTCTGTGCTGATGATTAAGTCAATTAAGCACCGAATTGGGCCAATATCTTTTGGGATGGCATTTTCGTAATTATTTGAGCAATTTTTTTCGAAAGGCCATTTTCCTTGGATTTTGAAGGATAAAGATGGTGGATTCGGCCTGAGGCTATTCTTCAATGACGATTAAGTCCATCAAGGGCCGATTTGGGCGGATTTCGTCCGGGTCCATTTTTGGCAGACGCCAAAGTGGTACCATCCCAGATTTGGGGCAATTTTTCCGAAATGCCATTTCCTTTCGATTTTGGGGGCTTCAGATCCCGGATTCGGCTCGAGGCTATTCCCCATCGATAATAAATTCTATTGATCCTATTCCGCGCCGATGATTAAGTAAATTAAGCACCGAATTGGGCCAATATATTTTGGAATGGCATTTTCGTAATTATTTGAGCAATTTTTTTTCGAAAGGCCATTTTCCTAGGATTTTGAATAATAAAGATGGTGGATTCGGCCTGAGGCTATTCTTCAACGACGATAAAGTCCATCCAGGGTCAATTTGGGCGAATTTCTTCCGGGTCCATTTTTGGCAAACTCCAAAGGGGTACCATCACAGATTTTGGGTGATTTTTCCGAAATGCCATTTACTTTCGATTTTGGAGGCTACAGATCACGGATTCGGATCGAGGCTATCCTCCACCGATAATAAAGTCTATTGATCCTATTCTGCGTCGATGATTAAGTCAATTAAGCACCGAATTGGGCCAATATATTTTGGAATGGCATTTTCGTAATTATTTGAGCAATTTTTTTCGAAGGCCATTTTCCTTGGATTTTGAAGGATAAAGATGGTGGATTCGGCCTGAGGCTATTCTTCAACGACGATTATGTCCATCCAGGGCCAATTTATGTGGATTTCTTCCGGGTCTATTTTTGGCAGACTCCAAAGGGGTACCATCATAGATTTCGGGCGATTTTTCCGAAATGTCATTTTCTTTCGATTTCGGAGACTACAGATCACGGATTCAGCTCGAGGCTATTCTCCACTGATAATAAAGTCTATTGATCCTATTTTGCGTCGATGATTAAGTCAATTAAGCACCGAATTGGGCCAATATATTTTGGGATGGCATTTTTGTCAATTATTTTATTATTTTTTTAATGGCCACGTCACTCATTTAACGATCAACTATAATAGTTGACTGCCACATCAGCAAAAACTAACGGAGAGTGACCAAACTTGAACTATTGAACTAATCTCAGTGATCATGAATGGAATTAAATATTTGCAGTGACCAAACATGAACGGTTTTAGTAAATCCAATGACCATCCTGGCTATTAACCCATATTTCAATAATACTATTTCCAAAAATCGACCAAAATTTATAATGGATAGCCTTCAGTATCGATAAAATTAGCATTCCAAAAAATCGATCAAACTTCGATAAAATTAGCATTCCAAAAAATCGACAAAAATGTGATGTCAGCTTCAAAATGGATAATAAATAGTATTCAAAAGAATCGACCAAAATATAAGATGAATATAACCTTAAAATTTTGTGAAGACAGCTATCAAGAAAACCCGAGCAAAATCTATGATGTTTAGCCATCGAAACGGTGAACAAATCATATTAAAAAAGGTTTCGAAATTTTTTGTGAATAGGCTTTAAAATAGCTTAATACTAACCTAAATAAAAGGTCAAAATCTATAAACGATAGACTACACACTACACAGTGAAAAATAACATTAAAAAGTTGACAAAAATGTGGGATGAATAGTTTTTTTTTTTTTTTTTGTCATATGAATAGTTTTGAAAACCGATGAAGAATAATCTTCAAAAAATTTAAAAAATATGTGATAAATAGCTTTGAAAAATTGGCAAATTTGTAATAAATAGCTGTAAAAAGCAGTGGGAAATAGCCTTCAAATTTATCTACCAAAATATGTGATGAATAGGTTTCAAATAAGTGAATAATTGAATCAAGCAAAAATTATAATAGATAGCCTATAAATCAGTGAAAAATAATAATGCAAAAATGACAAACTTACAATGGGTAGCCTTAAAAATGACTAAAAGTTATAGATGAGAAAACTATTTTCAGGTCCACCCGCCATTCAAGAGCAGCCAATATCCTCCCAAATCTAAAGTCCAAGAACCAGGAATCTTTCTCCATGCCTCAACTACCTGAAGAACGGTGGCCCCGTGCCGGCCCCATGCTGCAACGGGGTGAGGTCCCTCGCCGGCTCTGCCAAGTCCGCCCCTGACCGCCGGCAGGCTTGCCAGTGCTTGAAAACTGCCGCCGGTGGAATCTCCGGCTTGAAGGAGAACTATGCTGCGGCCTTACCCGCTGCATGCAGAGTCACTATTCCTTACAAGATCAGCACCAAGACCAACTGCAACGCCATGCTGTGAAGATCGGCACAGTGCGCTGCGCCTGTACTCTTTCCCTCCTTCCCCTTCCCCATTTTTCTCTGAGCTCGTCAGAGCAACAGAGGAGCCAGAGCCAGAGCCAGAAAACTTCGTCAGTCTTCAAGTTTCTCTGCCTAAATCCCACGATCTGCCTACTTCATCTCTCTGAAATTTTTTTCCCCAGATTCCCCGTGTCCCTTATTGGCTCATATCCAGCGTAACCATCAACACCATCATCCTCAGCCTATGGAAAATGAAAACGGAAGGTAACTCACGTCCGTGGAAAGAAGACTCAGCCCTCGGACTTCGAACATGGTACAACAAGACAAACAAATCCACCGCACCCCCGACAAGCTGCCGGATTCTACCCAACTTCTCCGAAGACCGCCGCCATCTGAAAACACAATCAATGCATTAATTATCAGAATTATTGCAACCTTACCGTTTAGCGGTTACAGAGTTCTAAACTCTAAAACGGCCCTCGCCGGAAAAGCCATAATTGGGCTTTCAAATCGTCTAATTTATGACGAGTTAGAGCTATTTACAGCTCCAAAAAACAGAGATATATGTGGTTTCAGCATCACTCATAATGAAAGGCGAAAAGTAAGGGGGAATTCAAAACTTAGTACATTCAAAGGGCACGTTAAAGGCTGGCTACTACACTTCAAACTCAAATTAGTGAGCAGCAAATCAGCTTGTACCGGAAAAGGAATAAATTTGTTTTTTAATTACCATCATTTAAATGATCATTTAATGGCTGCATTCGTCCGTTTCGGACTGATTTGACGCTTGGTGTCGTTAATTCCCTATTTGGGTTTTATTACATCAATTATTTGATGTTATTGGGATTTTAATGGCCTTTTGATTAAACGTTTCAAGAATTTAGTGATTAACTAAAGCAATTTTTTTTTTTTTTTAAAGTGGGCGGAAGCTTAGCAAGCTAACTTTGGCTCTTAACCAATTAATGGCCTCATTGGTCCATTTATTTGGGTTTTAATACATCAGTTATTTTATTTGATGTTATTGGGTCCTTAATGATCCGTTACAAGTGATTAATGAGTCACTAAAGCGGTCCTTTTATGGCGCTTTACAACCTTTATGGTTGGTTTATATATCAAATTATGGGATAGAAAGAATTAACTTCTAACGGTCATAATTAATTTTTGACTTTTAGAATTAATTAATTTATGGTTTTCAAAGTACCAGAGGAGTAAACTGTCTAGCTCGCTGCCCGGTTTGCTGGAGAAGACCGGAAAGTCTTGAACATCTGTTCTTCAAATGCCCCTTGGCCACAAGATTGTGGTCGCTCATGGGTCTAAATGATTTCATCTCCTCGGCCCCGACTGTGAATTTCAGTCTCTGGTGGCGACATGTTATGCTTTCTGAGCACCCCCAAACCCACATTCTCCTATACGTTTGTGTATTATGGAGGATCTGGAAGTCTAGAAATAAGGTGGTCTTTAAGCATGTCCAGCCTCATGCCCGGTCTCTCGCTCGTCAGTGTTTTTTTCCAAGTTCGCGATCTGTCTTCCTCCCTTCCTTTGGTCCCTGCTCCGCCCCAGCCTTCCCGTTCTCGCCTCTCGTCTTGGTCCCCTCCTCCTGTTGGCTTTGTGAAGATCCACTTTGATGCTGCTGTTCGTCCTTCTGGGTGCTCGTCTGGTCTTGTGGTGCGCAGTTCAGATGGGCATGTGGCTCTGGCTTTAGGGTCTCTCCATCCCGATATTGTTGATCCCTATCTTGCGGAGCTCCTAGCAGCTAGGGACGCCATCGCCCTTGTAGTCTCCAAAGTGCTGCCTTGGGTCATCATAGAAGGAGTTTCAGAGGTGGTGATTCAGCAGCTTCGTCAAGGTGCTCTCTCTGACTCCATTGGAGGTCCGGTGCTTCGGGATTGCTCCCTTCTCCTTTCTTCCGTCTCTATTTCTTTAGAGTTTAGGGCAGTTCCTCGGACTGCTAACAGTGCTGCCCATAGAGTGGCGCAGAAAGCACTGTTACTCTCCCCTTTAGAGTTTTGCGCCTTTGATTTTGTGGGTTGGCTTCTCTGATGTATTGGGTTGGGCAGGGTCGGGGTAGATTGTATAGGTTTTCTCTTGACATTTCTTGGAAAAAAAAAAAAAAAAAGTCCAAGAACCATTTATAATCATAATTTCGCCATATTGTTTCATGCATGGTTAGATGCACTCTAGCCATCTACAAGTAAATTCCTTCAACAAAAGAAGTTTACGAGAATTAAGCTTAATGGCTTAAAGATATATTGTTCAGATGATCAATTGTAATAAATTAAAAAAAGTCAGATATAATTAAGAGCTTTACATGTAGAAGGCAAATAGTACTTGCAACTTTTGAATGCAGAGTTATCACAACCACCTTATTTGAATAGCATGGATCAATGTTGAGTAACAAAGGTTGTGATAACACTACAAGAAAAAGTTGTAGGTACTATTCTGACTAAGTAGAACTCGCATCTACGTAACCATCTAGCTGCACCCTTCAAAAGTTGAGTATTAGTAGCTGGACTTTGTCTATAAAGATGGCACGCAAGAAGGTACACAATATTCAGATAGTGAGTGATGTAGTTATAATGTTGTGCATCAGCCACTTATTTGCCAGCTCGAAGAATCTTGTAGGAACCTACAGAGGAAGCAACAAAAACATGTTTCAGATTACCCATAATAACCATCAGGAAGCATAGCACATTATATACTTACTACAACAAATATGACACTGGTAGAATGAGGTTCAGCAGTGGGTAGTCTGAGTGAGATCAGAGATAACAATAATTTTAGTTGATCATCTGGAATGCCTGATCTGAAAATTCGTTACCAACAAATTACATTACAATTAGTATGATTTCAATGATGAATCTGCTATGTACCAAACTTGGGGGGAACACCGAAAGAGGTTCTATGGTAAATGCTAACAAAGAATCCGATAAATATATGCATTTCAACACTTGAACTCAGATAAAAAGAATATAAAATAAGGGCTGCTAAAGCGGGGGAACCATGAAAGAGGTTCTAGCTACTGTGGTAAATGCTAACAGAGAATCCGATAAATATATGCATTTCAACATTTGAACTCAGATAAAAAAATATAAAATAACCAATGTTCAAAAAAATGAACTAGGCGGGGGGAGGCACCGCCCAGCGCCCTAATCGCCTACGCGAGATTAAACGTTAAAAAAAATGAACTAAGAAGCCCTCAATCCACCATACTCATGCCTACAAATCTCAATCCACCATACCATTACCCCTTTTCAGCTGAAATCAGCAGCATACCCTACTACCCTTTATCATTAATTCATTATTCATCATTCGTCAACCCACCAAACGAGAGATGGAATGACGAGTGAGTCACAAACCTTCTACAACTAGATGATGGCGATCGGCGACGACAGCTATGAAGACCGGCGATGACAGCTATGGAGGAAGACTGTGCGATGACGGCGAGGACGAGGCGCACCGCGATGGCGGCCAGGACGAGGCGCGCCGCCACGCGAGGACAAGGCGCAATAGATGCTTGTGACGAGGACCCTGTTGCGATGCTGGAGACGGCAGCGACGGTCTGCTGGAGAGGAGGGACAATGGCGGCGGTTGGTTAAGAGAGGAGGGAGAGCTACAACGGCTGCTGTGGGGGAGGGAGAGCTGCTCGTCAGCTACCCGATTGGAAATGAAAAGGATTAGGGTTTTTTCGGGCCAAACGCAGCAGCATCTCCTCCCTCTTCTCATGTTCTGGGCGTCGCCCAACAAGGAATCGCGACTTCGAGCTACTAGTCGCCGCCTCTGAGTTTTTCAACACGATTCTGCGTTTTGCACGCCCAGCCACTTCGCCCAAGGCTAGACTCCACGATTTTCCCTTGCCCAGCGCCTAATCGCGCCTAGGCGCGTCTTCTTGAACACTGAAAATAACTTGCCCCTGATGCAGATCTAAAAACCGCCTTCGATCAACAACAAACATTTTACAAAAAAGTGAAGTCAAAATGGCTCAAAATCTACATCCAATATGGAAAACCAATGACACAAATGCCTGGAACATTTGAATCAAGTGATATCTAATTTTGAACACATATCACTATAGCAGGAAAATCATTTACTGGTCAATGATCACAAGGAGATCAGAAGGATCATTGAGAGTGGAAGGACATAGATGGTATACAGAAGCAAAAACCCCGATCAACTAGTAGAAACAGATTGAAACGAAGATGAGAGTGGGAAAAGATCAAATACCACGTGAGAGGAGAGGAGTCGAGTACTTGATGGTGGGAACAGCAGAGTAAACCCTGGTATCGTCGGTGATCTTGTGGTTGTCGTCGAGAGGAACATTGAGATCCACATCGACAAACTCTCTCTTCCCCTTCAGAGACCCAACGTACTTCTTGGCAGCCATGTTTCCTTCGAATTAAAACACTACTATTAAAATAATCAGGGAGTTCAGTAATTAACTAATGCCCAGATCGTCATAAAGCTGAAAGTGCAAAAGGTGTTTGTGTAAAAGAAAGGGAACATACAGATCGCAAATAGTGCTACGTGCTTAAATTACAACTAGTATGATATCAATGGTATCTTTTCTGATGAGAAAGTAGGTAGGAGGTATGAATCTGCTGTGTACCAAACTAAACCAACATGTATTTCATTTGCAAAAAGAAATTAAACACGTACGAGTGTGCAATTGTTGGAGCCCTGTGGCTGTGATCCATGTAATATAAGCAGGGGTGATAGAATGAAGGGCTACTGAAGCAGGGGAATCAAGAAAGAGGTTTTAACTACTATGGGCAATGCTGGCAGAGAATCCAATACACACATGCATTTCAGCATTTGAATTTTAGACAACAATATAACCTACCTTATTCTGATACAAATCTAATGACTGGCTTCGATAAACCACGAACATTTTACAAAAACGGGAAGTCAAAATGGCTCAAAATCTACATCCAATATGGAAAACTAACGACACTAATTCGTGGAACATTCAAAATAAGTGATATCCAATCTTATACACATAAGCACTATAACAAGAAAACAATTTACTGGTCAACGACCACAAGGCGATCAGAAGGATCATTGAGAATGGAAGGACACAAATGGTATACAGAAGCAAATACCCAGATCAACTAATAGAAACAGATTGATTTGAAGCTGAGATGGGAAAAGATCAAATACCAAGAGAGAGGAGAGGATGACTCTGGCGGCGTGAACATCAAGTACTTGATGGAGGGAAGAGCGGCGCGCACCCTGGTACCGTCCGAGATCTTGATTTTTGTCCAGAGGAACATTGAGATCCAGCCTGACGAACACTCTCTTCCCCTTCAAATCAGCCTACTCCAGAGAAATAACGCCCTCCTTGACAACCATGTTTCTTTAGAATTAAAAACACTGGGTATTGAAAGAAGCAGAGACTCGGAGTAATTAACTAATGCCCAGATCATCAAAAGCTGAGAGTGCAAACAGTGCTCTGTGCTTAAATTACAACTAGTATGATATCAACGATATCTTTGCTGATGAAAAGTAGGCAGGAGGTATGAATCTGCTATCTACCAAACTAAACAAACATGTATCCCATTTGTAAAAAGAAATTTAAAATGTAGGAGGCACCGATTAATGGATCTTTACTCTTAAGATATTCTAGGAGTTCAAACTTAATTTTTAGGATTATAAGGTTTGATTGAAAACACTATGCTATAATTGGTAAAAAAAACTATCCTGAAGTGATTGTTTAGGTGAGTTTTACGGTACCTTAGATATCTTACCAGAATACCAGTACAGACCTGACAAATCCATATCACTTGTGCACATAGTAAGTGATATCCAATATGGAAAACCAACGACACAAATTCGTGGAACATTCAAATAAGTGATATCAAATCTTACACACACAAGCACTATAACAGGAAAAAAGTTTACTGGTCAACGATCAGAAGGATCATGGAGAGTGGAAGGACACAGATGGTATACAGAAGCAAATACCCAGATCAACTAACAGAAACAGATTGATTTGATGCTGAGATGGGAAAAGATCAAATACCAAGTGAGAGGAAGAGGATGACTCTGGCAGCGTGATTCATCAAGTACTTGATGAAGGGAAGGGCGGCGCGCACCCTGGTGTCGTCAGCATTCTTGATTTTTGTCGAGAGGAACATTGAGATCCACGCTGACGAACACTCTCTTCCCCTTCAAATCAGCCTACTCCAGAGAAATAACACACTTCTTGGCAGACATGTTTCCTTCGAATTAAAAACAATGTGTATTGAAAGAAGCAGAGAGTCGAGTAATTAACTAATGCCCAGATCGTCAAAAGCTGAGAGTGCAAAAGTGCTCTATGCTTAAATTACAACTGGTATGATATCAATGATATTTTGCTGATGAGAGGTAAGCAGGAGGTATGAATCTGCTATGTACCAAAATAAACAAACATGTATCCCATTTGTAAAATGAAATTTAACATGTAAGAGGGTGCGATTGCTGGATCTTTACTCTTAACTAAAGATATTCTAGGAGTTCAAACTTAACTTTAAGGAGTATAAGGTTTGATTGAAAACATTAGGCTATAATTGTTAAAAAGTTATCCTGAAGTGAGATGGTTTGTTTAGGTGAGTTTTACGGTACCTTAGAATTTAGATATCTTACCTGTACGCAAATAGTAATACAAGATGTTCCCAAATCCAGTCATCCAGACATATGCAGCAATAAACACTCTGATGGCATCATATTGCAGCAAAGTAATGATACATAAAAAACAGCACCTGACACCAATGATAGGAAGAATAATTCTTACTAGCAATGCTTAAAGAGTTTTTTGTGATAATATACAGAAGTAATAAATGGCAACTGTTACAATCCTAATATACAATCTATAGGAAGTTCTGCCATCATATGACAAGTTAAAATACATTGCAACCATAGCAAGCAAACCTGTATCCAGCCTTTCCAAATCCTCTTTTTGGTATCTATTCAAATTAAGAATGGATTCTCCAGTGAACGATGTCCTACCATGAAGTATTGTGAGAGAAGTAATTGCTGAAGCAATGATGGGAAGAAAGTAGAGGAACAACAAAAGATCCAACAGTGGGTCTGCAGAAAAGAAAACTGTCAAGAGTAAGCAATATTCATAGGAGATGAATGCCGTCTATGAACTTAAAACAACGAAAGCATCATCAAAAACACAAAACGAAAGCTAGACTAGAAGGAAAAAGAATAACGAATGAGTGGTGGCAACTACTTTATTGAAGAGCCATAGAATCAGTACGCTTGCACAGATAAAATTCAACTAAATAGGAAACAAAACTCAGATATGAGGACACCAAAAGACAACCTCACAAAAATGTGATTCACTTTCTACAGTACATGTATCTCTCGAGTCACACCATCCACACACTAACATGGCTCTAAGACTCGATCAATTCATCCATCAGAATCAATCTGATGGATGCAAGCATATTTAATCCAACCTTCCTCACAAAAAACAGATTCCAGAATACATTCTCCACCTACCTGAATATAAGAGATGAAGAATGCAAGTTACTAGCTCAAGGATAGCTGGATTGAAGACCACCTCTTTCCAGTGGTTCAGCCTCTTTGGCAGCCTCAAGCCCCATTTCAACTCAACTGATATTAGACAACCTAGTAACAGCAATCGAAAACTCAATTACACGAAGCCAAATTAAGAAACAGAAAGATGAAGGTCTTATCGCAGCAATGCAAATAAGTTTTTCATAATCTCGCATACAGAGTGTATTCATATAGTAAGCATCACATATTCATATAAACGGAGCTTAACTAAGACATTGAGGGAGTTGGAACTTACGCTTAGGCTGTTCTCTTTCTCCTGTACTGCAGAAACTCCCGAGTACATATACCAGCGAACGAAGGCACAACTTCAAGGGAAAAGAAGACCTAAGAATTAAGACAATGTAGAGTTAAGAGCAGAAGCAACCAGTTAACTCTAAACCTAAATTACGGTAAACACAAATCAAGAGCAGGATCACCGGCATGCACAGACGAAAATCTAAGGCACGAAGCACGATTCAACTAAGAATTCCATAATATGCTCTTCGGAAAACTATGGAATAACGAGATCTAGAAACCTTCCTACGCTACTCGCTTGGAGCAAAGCAACTCACCTGACCGGGACCGCAGATTACCGAAGCGCAAGAGGCAAGGACCTCGGCCGCAACGAGAATCTCAATTCGGAGGGTAAAAAATTCGAACGACTGCGGAGTTGCTCCAGACAAATCAGCCGGAAACCGCGATGTTCGAGCGGGAAATCGAGGAGACTGCGGAAGTAGGGTAAAGGAGGGAGGAACGAGAGAGAAGAAGCGGAGCTCTTCGTTTGCGGGTACGGACGGAATTAAAGAGCCGGTTAGTTGCTGTCAGAAAACGCATTCGGTTTTAACAATTTTAGTTTAGGGGTCGTTTGGAAGTTGTGAATGTTAAATCGTTGTATTGTAATGAATCACTACAATATAAATACATGCATTGATACAATAGATGCATTTTGACAATACATTGTTTGGTTGTTGAGATTCTAATTTATGTATTGATTTGCATAAAGTTACTTTATAGGGAAATGTCACATTTACCCTCACCTTCTAGTATAAAACAAAAAATATTGGGGATATAAATGGAAAGAAAAAGTGGACACAAATCTAAAAGGAACAATCACAACAATCTCAACTTTTAGTTGAGATTGTATAATGCATCATTTTTTGTGATTGTTGGTGGGACCTACACAAAACAATACATGCATTGTTTTACAACTTGACACTTCCAAACATTGTATTGTGCATAATACATGTATTTAACAAACACAACTCTAACAATCACAACTTCCAAACGACTCCTTAGTTTATTTATTTGTGCCATGTTTTACACGCCCTTGGATTTGGATATCAATTCTACTGCGGAGATGTGGCTTTGTGGAAAGAGCAAACCGACTTTAACAGACCAATACGCAACTTGAATTTCTATTTAACGTCCTAAATATTTAAAATTAGCGTCCTAAAACAGCCAACCTACTTTGCCTTTCCACTAGAAGGTGTTTAATTCTCAATTTCGAGCCTTTTGAATAATTTTTAGGAAGGATATTTTTCTCCTTTAAGCCGAACACTTTTGTTAATTATATGAATGGAAAACGAGATTTATTAGGAAAATATTATTAAACCAATTATTATATTATTTTTAGGTAAGAAATATGATTTTGTAAAATTTAGCCGAGGGTTCTGACGTGTGTATATATATTGGTGTGTTCATATTATTTTATTTTATTGTGAGGTTTTGAGGTATTTATTATCCCTCTTTATTATAACTCGGATTATTTGTTGTCAACTAGAAGTCACGGGTTGGATTAGGGTTAATCCGTTTGGAGATGTATTATATATTTCTCATACACATGTTGTGTTAGTGAACTACATAAATATGTGATTTCTTTATTTTCTTGCTACCTTCCTTTACTTACAGCTGGCATAAAATCTCAAGAGTTATAGTTAAGGGTTTTTCAATTTCCCGTAAAGTCAGTGAACTATATCTCATTCGTTTCAACTTTGATTTAAAAAATGTTAGATTATAAAAGCCATACTATTTGAAATTTTCCAAAGAAAAGTTGAAAAAGATTACAATAGTAGTTAGGTAGCAACCTACCTTTACTCTTTTATTGTTTTTAACTTCAAGTTCATTCATTCGAGAGAAAGCAATGTACCTACTAAAACATAAAGTTTTGGACCAAATAGTATATCTCAATTGATTCGGGATTAGATGCGAGTTGTAGACAACATTGTTATATGTATTGTAATGTCTACTTCAAAGATAGTGATAAAATGAGAGAACATTTACTTCATCATCCCATACAAACTAAGAGCATGAAGTCCAATTTTCATATCAAGCTCATATGTTCCAACATCACGAACCCCTTAAGTGAGGACACAGTTTTGAATATACTGAAGGATGAAAAAGAGCAATCTCAAACAAAATTTATGATATTTAATGGGTAAAATTAAGTTATTGAAAATGGAGTTTTCACCATTCTAAACGTTTTTCATTAAATTTTTGTATTCGGTGAAATGGAGAAGAAGAAGGAAGAGTATGCTAATAGCAAAGGTAGTGAATTCAATGATGGATACAATGAGGTTATTGAGATAAAGAAAGAGATTATTGATTGTGGATATATAAATTTTAATGATGGGAGGAAATAGCGAATTTGATAATATTTATGATTTGGATGAGATGAAATTCTACATCGTGAATAGATGTTTCACAGTTCAAAATATTTTATCATTAAAATTTGGTTTCTAGATGAAATACAAGAGAAGAAGGATGAGATTATTGATGATTAATATAAAAAAAATCCAAAAGAAAATTTAGTTTTTTCTAACATGTAACATAAAAGAGAAAATTAAAGTGGTTTTGAATATTAAGTTTTTTAGGAATTAGTTACTTGCATGAGTTTTATTGTTTAAACTTATGATGTATATTGTTTTTCTTATATTTTTAGTAATTGAATAACCTGTATTCTTTTATAATATTAAATAAATTATTCAAATAATAATTATTATTATTTTGTATATATTGATGTGATTCATGCCAGGCCCAAATATAGTAACGTGAATAAATTGAGCTCCTGAATTAGACTGGCATTTCATATAATAATATAAGTTGTAGAGCAAACTAGACCGAAGCAAGGAGGCTCACTCAGTTCACCATGCTTCAATTCTCCTACATCGAGAGGTACGTGCCAGTCCCAACTTGGCTGACGTCAATGTGTTCAATTCAACACAATTATTCTTGCCTTTTGACATTCAAATCAACAACAAAAAGAAAACTCTCACGCCAAAAGGGGAAAGGAAAAAAAAAAACAACTACCAAATTCCAAACTACTATCCTTCGACCAACAACATAGCAGCATGAGCAATTGCAGCAGAGAAGCTCCCCTCTCTAACACCATCTCACTTCTGTGCTGCCACCATTGCCATGTGCTCTATGAGGTCCAGCACGCGGTTGCTGGGGAAAAACAGAAAGCACCACATCATTACCAACTTGTGAAAATAGATAAGCACAACCAAGAAACACAGACAGAGCAAGAGAGAGGTTCGGTACCTGTATCCCCACTCATTGTCGTACCAAGACACCAGCTTCATGAAGGAATTGCTCAACCCTATCCCAGCCTTCGCATCGAATATACTTGATCTGAAAAATACATACACCTTCAGAGTCCCAACGATAGTAACGAGGAAAAGTACCATCTCCTCTGACCTCTAACAAGGAGAGTTTAAAAAAAAAGCAGCAAACAAACATACCACTTCATCCTGTCTACATCAAACTGAGAGAGAGAGAGAGAGGGAACAGACCTTGAGTCACCAACAAAATCATTGGAAACGACATCCTCATCAGTATATCCAAGAATGCCCTTCAATGGCCCCTCAGATGCATACCTTTTAAGAAGTTAGAATCAAAACTTAGTCCTTCCAAATAGCATCAGAGACCAGATAAAATAGCATAGTACAAAATCAAGTCAACTGGGTCATACTTAATAGCAGCTTTCACATCTTCATATGACGCACCCTTCTCAAGCCGACAAGTCAAGTCCACAACAGAGACATTAGGTGTTGGTACACGGAAAGCCATTCCAGTAAGCTTTCCGTTGAGCTCTGGAAGTACCTTTCCAACAGCCTACCAGACAATGAACACAATTAGTCACAGCTGTTCTCTTATTTTTGTCTAAAAGGATTCAGGCTTTTCCTCTACCCATCCTCAAAATCAGAGGACCAATACCTTTGCTGCACCAGTAGAACTGGGAATGATATTTTGACCAGCTCCACGGCCCCCACGCCAATCTTTCATCGACGGACCATCTACTGTCTTTTGGGTTGCTGCAAGGAGAACTTAAGTGTTAGCATCATGATTCATATAGTTGACTGACATCCATGCATGCATATGCAGTAGAACAAGAGAGAGAAGCACAGAGTTGAAGAGAGACCTGTAGTTGCATGTACAGTTGTCATTAGCCCTTCAAGAATACCAAACTCCTCATGGACAACCTGCAAGACGTTCAAGCAATCCAAAATTAGCTTCGACAATCAAACCTTCTCATCCAATCTTTTCCCGTCCCAGAAGCATCACATCACATCCTCAACACCCCCAAAATTAAGAGCAGAAGTTTTAGGAGGGCAAGGCACTACCTTGGCAAGAGGAGCAAGACAGTTTGTCGTGCAGCTGGCATTAGAAACAACATCCATGTTAGGCTGGTATGTCTTCTCATTTACTCCAACCACAAACATTGGTGCATCAGCAGAGGGAGCTGATATGACCACTTTCTTAGCACCTCCCTTTATAAAATGTAGAACATAAAGCAAGTTAGCCCACTAAAAATTTGGAAGATTCAGACTGCAGATAAAAACTACAAACCTTTTTGTGAGATGCAGCCTTGTCAATAGTTGTGAAGACACCAGAAGATTCAACTACATATTCAGCCCCATAATCCCCCCATGGGATATCTGCAGGGTCCCTGAACAGATAAAACACTTTTGAAGGTTAACTGGGTGAACCCAGATTTGAAACAAAACAAAAGCTTTTCACCGTTCAAGGTGATCTTCTTCCGGATGAAACTATGTAAATTAAGCAAATCCTATAACGAATGGTGAGTAAGGTGCCAGCCTAATACCTCTTACTGGAGATTTTGAGTTGCTTTCCATTTATTTCCAAGGTAGACTCATCCACAACACTGATGGATCCGTTGAAAACTCCATGAGTAGAATCATACTTGAGCATGTAAGCCTGCACACAATGAAATAAATACAGTGAAGGAGAATTTATTTTCGAATCAAATGAAAAGATGTGCTTTGCTTTCTGATTTCAGTGCAGGAACAAGTATATCCTCAATTTTCAAATGAAACATTTTGAATAACACTTTAGAGAACAATCCAGTACAATTAATCAACTTATCCATCACCGAAGAGCTTTTTCACTTTGAGTGTAGAGAAAATAAACGTTATTAGTTACTAAGCCAATTCTTACCATGTACTTAGCATCAATGAAAGGATCATTGACTGCCACAACTTCCACATCGTCCCTAGACGTGGCAATACGCAGAACCAATCTTCCTATTCGGCCAAACCCTGCATTAGCCCAGTCATGCTATTAGTCGGAATCCAGATAACTATATCCAGGAGACACACTACTAGAAGCCATCAGGTAGAAGCCCTTCATTTATGCTAAGTCGGACAATCCTTCTATGTTCACTTACAAGAGGGCTTAGTTCTTTCATAAGGGATAGACCACAAAAGTATCACAACATTGACAGTTTCGGAGCTTATACTCATAAACAGAAGCAATTAACGTTATATGCCTTTGTTCCAGCATCAGATTTCATAGATAACCTTATTCTATTCTAAGCTTTAACAGAAATCATCGCACATGGCAGCAATCTGTATATGTACTCGTTGGGTGCAGAACAAAGCAATAGCTCGAGGTCAAAAGGCAATAAGATATCGATAAGTTCAAAACATAAGCACAGGTACATACCATTGATCCCAATCTTTGTCTTCCCGGCAGTCCGCGATTCTGGGAAAAGCTCAAATGAGCCAGACAATGAAATGAACAAGGTGAGCACCTGATCCCAGATTTGAAAAAAGAAGTGAAATGCTACAAGGACAGGCCGCAATCTTACTCAGAACAGTGGGAGGAATTTCAGTAGCTGTGGCCTTGATGGGCCGAATACTTCTTGCACTGCGAGTCCTGGAAAAGACGAACACAACGACTGAGCTACAACTCATTGAGTAAATAAACGTCTGCAGAGAGCATTAACACAAATAAAAATGACTCAACTGGAATGAAGAAGAGGTAGTTGGAACCGGGGTACCGAAGACGCCCTTTGAAGAGAAGCCAACGCTAGAAACCTGAATAAAAAACAGTCACCAATTATAAGCAGAATGGTAGAATTATCGTATTCTAGCTCGCACCACAGATTGAAAGCGCTCGTCGTTAAATAACCAGAGTATCCTAGCTTACTTCCGTTTTTCATACCGGTCAAAAATACAAATTGCACCCAATATGATAAATGAAGAAAGAAGTAGAACCCAAGTGGGGGAAAAGCGCAAACGACATTAGATTCGTACCTTGAACCGATCGCAGGAGAAGGAAGGGGAGAGGGTGGATCGGGAAGCCGCATCGGCGAGAGGTGCGGCGGCGGCGGCGGATCTGACGAGACTGGAGAAAGCCATTCTTCTTGTTTGGTGGCCGGGCACAGCAACCTAAAACCCTGGAAAGCACCTTCCCAGGAGAGTCAACTGGAATCAGGAGACGTCGGTTGGTGATGGCGAAGGAGCAAAAAAACGAGGGGGAGAAAGGAACTGTGCTGTTGCGGCTGCGAGGAAAGGTAAGCTGAGGAGAAATGCGTTTTATAAAAGCAATGAGCAAACGGAAATGGAAATTCCAATATTTAATAGATTAAAATGAAAATAAATTTTTTGGCAGGAAGGTTAGCGGAGTTCTTTATGTTTGATGCTGGTACGAGGCAATGGCGAGCCAGCCAAGCCAACCAAGAAAACCGGCGGGCAGGCTGAGAACTCAAACTCCGGGGCGCCCAGCTTGCTAATAGCGGGCCACTTGTTATTCTGTGATGCTCGCCCTACCATACTTCCCGTGAGCTCCACTTGTGCTACTGTCCGTATCTCTCCCTCACGTGCCATTTTGTAACAGCGAGTCTTACTAAATGTGGAGCATTTTGTATTCAATAGGTTTCACTTGGATTCGAACCTGAGGTGTATAACTCTCAATCCTTTACTATTGCGACAGCTTATCGTTAGCCTATCTTATCTTTGGTGTTGTGATTTTGAGTTTATGGGATTTTGTTTTTAAGCCTTGAGCATATGGGATCTAAGTAGCAAAACAGTGGGAAAGTCATTGAATTAATTATATGCTCTTAGACATTACATAGTTTGTTCGTGAGTCGATTAAGGTGGTAATTTAACATGTAGTATACAAATAATTCGTTTGGCTTAATCATTTACATTTTGTATTTGACATGTGGTATTTGACAATAATATAGGGGTAACAAAATTATTTTCAATTAACTTAAGGCCCAAAGAACTCCAAGTGAGTTAATTTGACCAAAACACAATGTAAGTTATTTAGATAAAAAAAGAATTTATCTAAAATTTTCATCCGAATAAACTTTGAGTTATTTAACTCTACAAATACAAAAATTAACAATTAATCCATTGACCCAAATCATTCTTAGGACCAATATGGCTCCAATTATAATATACTTATTGGCATAGGCCACATTTGCACATCAATAGCCACCTTCAAATGTTTAATTCTTGGTTACTTGACCATCCTTGCCTTGCAAACGGTCCACTGCCCCCTTCTCGTTCATTAAATAAGACCATTATTTGTTGTTGGAGATCAGACGGGTAAGAAAAGAGGGCCGCATGGTAGAAGCGTGAGGTGGCCGGCATGGTAACATTATTTCAATGGAAAGCGAGGACTGAAGGAGTCACGTTAGGGAGATCGTTTCTTTTTCGTCGTGAGGTGGGTGAGCTGAGTAATCTATGGGGGAGCACGCACACCTCGTTTGCCACGTTGGACCAAACACTGCCCTTTTCGGGTCCCTTTTCTTGTTCCTTTTTTGAATATCCGCCAATATTTTTTTTGGCTGGAGTGGGTACCCGCCGTCGCCGTCCTCCGTCACGTTGACGGCCAGAGAAATTTCCCATATTCTCTCGTTAGTTTTTTATTTAGTCTGGACTTCGGATGGCTGGGCATTTCCATAAAAACAAAAACAACTTGAGGCTTGTAGTAAATATAATAATGATGAAGCCAAAACTACTACTAAAGTCATTGGTCGGACCGACGGAAGTATCCCGCCGGGTGCCGGCAATCTCTTAAGAACTGTTGCGGTTGCATGGTTAAGGTTTGATAATTACGTCGAACAGCCATCTATCAAGACGACGCTCGGATCCCGTCAGGGAATCGGAGGGTATATGCCTTATGCTCCGATTGCGAAAACAAAGGTTCCATTACCACCCCACCACTTTTCCCTCTCACGTGCCTTACATTTCCTTAAAAACAGTTTGTCTAGTCTCTGCGTCGTTGGCTCCAGGGGTGGGCAACCATCTCCTTCGCACGGGACCGAACTCGATATGTGGATCACCAACGAGTATTGAATCGGATCAAATATATTTCGATTCGATTTTGACCCTATAAGTTATTTTAAGCATGAGAAAATAGATCAATTTGGATCAGACCGATCGAATCAAATGAACCAACATGCTTTTGGTCTTGTTTTAGTCATCATTTTTTTCTATGTTTATCGGTCCTATCACAAATATATTTCCTTTTTTGTGGTAAATTTAGAAGAATTTTCTATCGTAAAGGAAAAGGAAAAATTAAAGGCAGAGTGAGAAACTGAGAAGAGGCACATATTCTTAACACAATGAACCCACCCGACCGTCGACCAAATTGAAGGGATGAAATGGAAAGAGCCCATCACAGTTTTGGGTCCAAGCCCACACTGTGTGCTGTATTCATTCTTGGATGGTGCACAGCTGCAATCAGCGATTGGTCGGCGTACATGAGACTGCCATCTCAACCAAGTGGTAGGCGTAGGCGTAGCTTTCCATTTCCACAGGACTACCACCTGGCTTCGGCTCCCCAATTTCCGCTCCCCTCTGAAAATTGTTTTTACAACCGCCAACAATGGTCTACCCTCTCCCTGGTTTCCGTCTCTCTCCCCTTCATTTCCCTCTCCTTTCTTCTCCTTCTCTCTTTTCTTTTTCCTCTCCAATTATCGTTTCTTCCACCAAGAGGTCTCACCATCTGCCATTCTTCTTGCTGGTCGTCTTCGTGGTCGCTAGAGGAGGATCAACAACAACGAAAATTCGGAGAGAGCGACGGAGGTCGCCATTTCTCTCGCTTCTCAACATCACCTTTAGAGGAGAGCGCGCGAAAGCTCGTTTCCACATTCCAAGGCAATCTCTCTATCTGGTAATTTTTCACAAAATCCATTTCAATCTTGCAATCGCATCATTCCTTCTTTGTGTCACGTCGTTTATGATTTCAAAATGAATGCACCGAACGCATGCGAAGGGTTTCCATCTCTCCGTTCCCGCGGATTCACTCGTTCGTCTGATACGATTCCGCGACTAGCTTGTTATGAGCATATTGCTGGTTTCTATTTGGTTGTTAGTTTTAGCATGCATGTCTGTTGGCGAGTTTAGATCATAGTTTTTTTTTCGCTCATTTGGGCAATCTGTTTTTCCCCTTGTGATAAGGCGATTTTTCTGTTGAAATTTTCGGTGTACTATGATACCATGTTGTAATTTTTGAGTGTTTATTTTCGTCGTTACGTTGGACGGATGACTGATATGATGTCGCTTGTTTAGGTGGAGCAATCTGTTATAGATTTCACAAAGGATGTCAATTAGCTTCAAGTATTGGGATGATTGTGTTGATCCAAATGACTTGGAGGCAATGTGGAGAGAACCAGCGGTCAGCACAGAATGGCTGGACGCAGGTGAAACTAGAGGTCAGAAGGTTCATATTTCGCGGGATCCTGATGGCGAGCCCTATTTAACACAGACCGAGATGAAGGTGAATAAAAAGCTGTTGAAGCTTCATCTCATTAAATGAATTGGAAACATGCCTTCCTCTGGAATCTTATCTGCATACCCTTTCCTATTCTGTTCTGTTTTGTTCTTCAGGCAGTAGCTGATATAATTGTCCGCAGACACTTTGATTTACAGATATCTCCGGTATGTTTTTCGTCATAGTGAAATTGAACATTGTTGCACGCTGTTTTATTGCTAACAACGCTGCTTCATACCTTTTTTTTTCCAGGACATGATATGTGCTATTGCTGAACTTGCTAGTGACAGGCAACTCCTTGCTAGGCAATATCAAAAGAAAACTAAGGAGATCACCGTAGGAATCATGCAAATTTTACCAAAAACTGCACAGTGGTTGGAGAGGTAAGCAACTACAGTGATGTTTCATAGTCTCTCTTTCAGAACAGAGCAACATATCTGATTGATTAAGAATGCTTTAATCTTAACCTTTTGGCTCCCTGAAGTAATAACTGCTACCTGCTCATAGAGATTTTGGCTACCGGACTTACGGAGTTGGAGAAAACCCAGACGTCCTTTATAAGCCTTTCGTTAGTGTATACTTTGGTGCTGCATACCTTAAATGGCTATCCAACTTCGAGCACAAGTAAGCTGTGATGGATCAATATCGTCTTTCTATTCCTGATCATTGCTAACTTTTAGTAACTCTGTTGCAGAGAAAGAAGTGAAGAGTTTGTTGTTAGGGCATATCACGGTGGCACGAAAAAGGCAACACATAAATCGACTTTGCAACATTGGAAGCGGTACCTCTCGGTGAAAGAAAGTCTGCCTTCCAGGTGTTTGTTTGCTCTCACTTGCTGATAGAGTAACAAACTTTGTCTGTCATAGGAAATATGATTTCTTGGTATGATATGGTGGTATAGGAGATTAGTTTTACTTGAAATGCCCTAGTCAGAGCTAACTGGACTATTTTCTTGTCTTCATCCTTCTTAGTCTTCCTGGTACAAATTAAAGTGTTCAATAATCCACAAAAATTGCATGATTCTAAGAGTATATAGTTAGCGGGGTAGTGAATTTGACAACCTTAATACTCTCACCATCTTGCAGAAGATTTTCAAATGAAGGGATCTCAGGAAGTGCTGATTGTACTTCCCCTAGGCCATCAGCATCTGCTGCACATGTAGCTTCACCTTCTTCACACGGCTCGGGTAGTCCTTTCTTCTGTAATACAAGATTTCTTCCCTTCATTCTTGATAGTCAATCCCTTTGTCTGTCTTAAATCAATGTCATTCTCAGTAGCTCTAGATTTTTTCCACCTAATTCACTAGCTGTTTTGCTGGCGGAACAGGCGGTGATCATTTGTACTGGGACTCTAGAGCTTCTCCTGAAGATATGTCAGAGATGTGGAATCAGCCTGATGTTGCTAGGGAATGGTCAAAATCAGGGGAAAGGCGTGGGAAAGTGCGGTTTTCGCAGGATAAGGAGAAGAGACCCTACTTGTCCCGAGTAGAAATTAAGGTAAGACAAAGTTTCAAAGAACTTAGTCATCTCTTCGTTTCAAACAACAAGAAGGAATTCGTGAACCATATATATTGATGAATAATGTCTTCATGCAGGCTGTCGCAAGCATAATTCTCTCGAAGCATTTCAGTACAAGGGGGGTTAGGCCAGTAAGTGAATACAATTTTTTTTTTTTTTTTTAGAAGTTGGAATTGGAATATGTTATGAGCTGATATTTGTTTCTTTTTCTTGCAATAGTCGGTCCTTTGCGCCCTTGCTGAGATGGTTAGCATGCGTTTTCTGAATGGGATTGGACATCGAACTGGAATAATGGGCATTGATTACTCTACAGCCTTTTGGCTTTACACGTATGGACTTATTATAAATCGTGATTATGTACGCAGTTCAAGGGTTATACTTGCCACTATGAGGCCATAACTATAAAATTTGAGTGTAGAAGTCTATTTATTGTCAAATCCCATGCATGGTTTTTGAATATCCTGAAGCTGATATATTCTTGCAACACTTTTGTTCACTGGATATATGTAGGGAGTTGGGGTATCGGGCATACAGAGTTGATTCAGTCGACGACATGACAAAGCCATTTCTGTCAATGTACTTTGGCGCAGCTTATATGGCATGGCTGTCAGAATATGAGCGAAGGTAAGATTTGACACCTAGCATCTTTTGTTGGATCCTTTCAATTAGAGAAGGTGGTGAAGTGATTAGGTTTTCCTCATCTTTCCTGAATGTTCGCCTATAATAGGGAAAGAACTCCGCAGTTCGTCGTGCAAGCATATCTTGCAGGGCCACAGAACGTGCGTCTTCAAGAGACGGGACCTCTTTGGCTTAAATTTGAGCAAGCATTGGGGAACTACGAGGACATGAAGAGGTAGGCACTCGAACAACTAGACATGGTTCCATGCTGTTCTTTCCTTACTTTAAGTGAATGGAAGTAAGTCACAAACAAACTAAAACATCATATGCAAGACTGCAACTACAAGTATATTTGAGCCTGTGGTTTGCCTTTGTGAATGTTTGTATCCAAGTGCATTAATATTCTGTTCTCCCTCTCTTTAATTCCAAACTAGGGATACCACCAGCTGCAACATCTTGTAAGCTCACCAATGGCTCGGGAGTTGGATGATCCTCACTCGAGGAGTTTGTAGTTTGAGGTTGAATGTTGTAATTGTTTTATTTTTTCATTATGCCATTGCTTTTGTATCATTCTCTTTCGTCTTGATGAGTTGAAGTAATCATTTCCGAAAGTTGTGAAGGGAATGGTATTTGCTATTGAGAATGATCCCTCTACTCAAACATGGAGAGCTAGAGATGCAGTCTGAACTCCGCAATCAGCAGCTGCAGCTGGCTGCCTGTTACATGTGAAAAGTTTATTTCCGCTATAACTTACATAAGGATCTCATCTGTCAGGTTTTCAGGATACCTAGTCTAAATCTGCAATCCAGAGAAGGCAAAGCATAGTACACAACATAGGAAATTGGTCAGTAGTTATCTTATCCCAGGCTGCGATGGGGCTTGGTTTTGCCACAGCCCATAACGGAGGAAGGTAGACGCCCAACCATTCCGATCCCTTCTTCAAACACCACTGCCATTCCCATGAAGAAATGAGACTCAATGTGGCAATGGAAGAACCACGCTCCTGGGTTGTCAGCTCGAAACCTGATAGCTGTCCATCCGTAGGGATGCAGGGGCACCGTATTCTTCATGATCGGGTCCACGAGATTGTAGTATTGAGGATCCCGATTCGAATCATACGTCCCTTCCCCATACCCCAGAACCCAGAAATCATGCCCGTGGAGATGCCAGGGGTGCGATTCACTATTGTTTGGAGTCATCGTGTTGGCGTTCTGGAGCACAATGTCGACAGTTGAATTGAACTCCAAACTATAAATTCTGCTACTAGATGTTGCATTAACGTTCTTGGCCACATCATAGATATCGTAGCTGTCAAGGTTTACCTGATCCGGTGGCTGCTCTGCATCGAAAACTCCCTTCAAGTTTTTCTTGAGCGCGACCAGATAAGGAGTGGAGGGAAGGGCGAGGGATAGGTTGTTTAACGACCATTTAAATTGGCCGTTGATCTTGTTTTGGGTATTGAGCAGCTCGATGACCCGATCCGGTTTTTGAGGCGGACTCTCGAAGTAGCCTTTCCGGGCCTTAATGGCCCGACTTTGAGACAAACGCGATGCGGTGTCGTTCCACTGAGGCCCCGCTGGCGGGGAAGTGCGAGGATTCCGGCGCGGGTGGTTCGGATAGTAGTTGAAGATCGCCAAACCGTTTGGCGTCGCGGGTTTCCGGGCAACGACGCTGGTCGTGAGCCAGTAATTCCTCGTCGGCGGTTGGTCCGCTTTCACCAAGACCGAGTACGTCTCGCCGGAGTAGATGATGAGGTTCTTCGTCACAAACGGTTCCACGTAGCTCCCATCCGCTTCCACCACCGTCATCTCGTGGCCCTGCTCGCAAATTTTGGGAAGTATCCGTTCAGTTCCGATTAGAGCTACGAAACGATCATCGAGTAATCTAGTGGATGTCTTTAGCGTTGTAAAATTTTACCTCTATTTGGAAACTAATAGTCGACAGTGAAGCTAAGCTGCCGATCCTGAGGCGATAGGTGCGGCCATGGACAACAGTTAACGAAAACGGAGCGCATTCAGGACTGTTTGAATTGCAGGTGGGGATGGACCCATTCCCGGTTCCCGGCGCCGGCGTCTTCGCCACCAGCGAGCAATTGTACTCCCCTCTTCCGTTGATAAGAAGCGACTGTACTTGTGTTTCAAACATAGCTAGGTGAATATAGACGTTGTGGTGATTATTAGCCTAGTAACTGAATTGAGGTTTAATTCATTGGGGGAATTTACCTGCGGCTCCCCGACGAAAACGAAGGGTACGGAGGAGAGGCCGACAGCTTGATCGAAAGTGCTGGCGTGGTACCAGTCTGTCAATAGTATTGACCGATCGTGATGATACGTGAACGGCTCAGGACGGCCCAGCCGCGGCGAGACGATGATCAACCCATTCAGACCAGCCGCTCTCTGCATCCCGTAGTGCCCGTGGTACATGAAAGTCCCCGCCTGAAGCAGGATCACAGATTTAAAGAGTAATATAATCATGTCATTCATACCATCAACTAAGATGAACAAACTCTATGCATTGGTCAGTGCACAGAGTAGTTAGATTGCTTGTTTGTTTCACCTTTTCGACGACGAATCTGTAAGTGAAGGATTCGCCAGGCAAGATGGGGCACTGGGTGACGCCTTCAGCACCGTCGCTCCACGGTGTACCAAACTGGCGGATGCCATGCCAGTGAATGGCGGTGTTCTCTGTGCCGAGGCTGTTCTTTAGGACGACGACGATGGTGTCTCCCTGTTCGGCGGTGATCGTGGGTCCAGGAGTCCTCCCATTGATGGTCATGACCAGCTTTCTGTAGCAATCTGGCGACTTGTACTCGTACCTTACATCCCATTTGTGCAAATGGGTCTTCGCTTCAAGTTGAGAACAATAGCTACACAGAAGCAGCACAAGCAGCAACAGATTTACTTTTACAGCAGCACCATTAATACTACTCTTGCAAAGTCCCATATTTTTGCTGGAGGGCTGGAGGGGACAAGAAGTTTGGGCAGGTGATTAGCGGTTTATGTAGTGATTGATGAATGGTGATCTCCAACTCCAACTTACGAAGAGAATATGGATCTTGTTCTTTCTGTTCCCTCCATGTTTAAACTTGTTTAAACTAAGTGGTTCCCGGGTGGATGATACAAAGATAACACACTGATTTGAATTAAGTAATAAGCTGAGGAGGGTGAGCATTCCAATGGAGAGCAGAAAGAGAGAGCATAACCCACTATATTGATATGAGATTGGTGGAGAACGACTCAATTCTGTCGTGTAAGGACTTCCGAATTGACCCATTTGCTTGAAAGCTGGTGGATGTTTTAAAGTAATGACACCATAATAGTTTTTTTATTATAAGGCGGGGTAATTGGCCGTACCTTCTCAGGCCAGCAATTTCAGCTGCTCCAAACTCTCTGCTGGCCTTTTCTGTTTCTGTTTTGCGTGCAAGTGAGAGACTCAGCGGCCGGCTCATCCAACTTGGCACAGAGCTTTGGCAGGTGGCTAAGCAAGTTAATTGCCGAAACTAGCGATAGACCTATTCTTGGTCGCCCTTCGTCCTTTTCGTAGCTAAGCAAGTTAATTGCATGTGCCGTCTGTTGCAGTCAAAATCGTCTAAAAGTAAGTGAAAATCACACAATTCCAAGAAAAGCATATTGCTAATCTAGAAATGTTAAAGCGTAAACTTTTAAGTTTTAAAGCACAATTTTAAATTTTAAAGCACAATTTTATCTACGCCACATCAAGAGATTTTGGTTATCTAGTTACTTGCTTAACTAAACTTTCAAAGCCAATGTGTTGCTAAGCTCGCTTAAATTGGGAGCTCCAAATAAACGAAATTCAAGGACTCAAGCACATATTGGGATTAGGCATCCATCATGATGCATTCCTTTTCATTCAAAGAAAGAAAGCCCGCTTATTTAAAGCATCATATCCCTCTACAGCCTCGCTCTCATCTCTCTACAAAAGGATATCATAAAGAGTTCATCCACTCTATGGGGTTATAAAACCAACCCTCTCCATAGACTATGCAGAATCCACCAAAAGACACAAAAATTGCAGACAACAACCATTCCCCTCCAAGGTCCATCCCACATACCCCTTACAGCTTAGAGCTGCTTCATGCCTCATCAAGAGCAAGGACTCCAGGGAGTGGCTTCCCCTCCAGAAGCTCCAAACTTGCACCTCCTCCAGTGGATATATGGCTCATCTTGTCAGCCAACCCAACTTTCTCCACTGCAGCCACCGAGTCTCCTCCTCCAATGATCGTTGTCACACCCTTCCCACTCAACTCAGCCAACTTCTTGGCAATTGCCTGAAATATTGAACACACCACAATGAAGTCACATTCCACTCAAATCTTGAAATTTGCCAAAGTTCAAAACCATACCATAAACACTAATGCATACCTCGGTTCCCACTGCAAACTTATCCATCTCGAACACACCCATTGGTCCATTCCAGATGACGGTCTTGGTGGTATCCAATGCCTCGCTGAACGTCTTGATGGAATCTGGCCCGATATCCAAACCCATCCACCCATCAGGGATCTCGGATGCTGGCACCACCTGAACCAAACAAACCGACAGTTTGAGCCAAACCATTCAAACCAACAACCCAAACAGAAACAAGTTTCTCTTGACTGAAACAGACCTTGCTGTTGGCATCAGCAGCAAATTTGTCAGCAATGACCACATCAGTAGGCAACAATAGGGACACGCCCTTGGACTTTGCTTTCTCAAAGAGTGTAGTAGCCAGCTCGAGCTTGTCTACCTCCACAAGGGATGATCCCACTGCCTTTCCTTGGGCCTTGTAGAATGTAAAGATCATTCCTCCACCCAGCAACAGCACATCGACCTTCTCCAATAGAGATTCGATCACGCCAATCTTGGATGACACCTTCGACCCCCCAACAATTGCAGCAAATGGCTTCTTGGGGTTCGAAACAGCTCCATCAAGATAATCAAGTTCCTAAAGAAAGCAATGACCCATGCATTAAGCAATGCAGCAATCTTCTCACAAGGACATGAGGGAGTTTGGCGGATGGATTTCAAAATCGATTGAATTTGAGAGGTAGAATGAATTCGGGATTGTGTGTGGGTCTCATAACTAAATGAGAAAGAATTAAAATGTCAATACTTTTGACATTTTTCTACATAGACATGATTTACAAATCCATCAGTTTTCTTTTTGTGAGCCAACAAATGCTGTTGAATCAATCCATCAACTCAATATCCATCAGCCAAACAATCTCAGAATACAGCAGTAGATTGTCCACCATACCTTCTGCATGAGGAAGCCAGCAACAGCAGGCTTCACGAATTTGGCAACTCCTTCGGTGGAAGCATGGGCCCTATGGGCAGTACCGAAGGCATCATTGACATAGACATCAGCAAGAGAAGCAAGCTTCTTAGCAAACTCGGGATCGTTCTTCTCCTCCTCCTTGTAGAATCTCACATTCTCAAGGAGCAGCACACCTCCATTTTGGGTTTCGGCAACCAATTTCTCAACTTCCTCACCAACACAGTCATTAGCCATCTTAACCTATTAAACCAGAAAAAAGAAAGATTAAAACTCAAACAATTCCAATGGATAGAGGACAGCAAGATTAAAACTCATTCCAAGGAAGCGAACCTCGACTCCAAGCAGTTCAGATAGTCTTGGCACCAGAGGCTTCAAGCTATACTTAGGAGTAACACCCTTTGGGCGACCCTGGAAATCATAATCGGAGAATTAAGCAGAATAAGTTTCTAACGGGATTGTATTGAGCTCAACAGCATCACTTCAATGTGAACATTTTCTTGTGCATACTATAATGTTACAAAGAGTAGGAGACTGAACAATGAACAGAGGACCTTCAGCTTTCACCACTATTGGAACCTCATGATAAATAAGAGAACTTTCCTTCTGTACATAACTAAACGGAGCAGTAACACACCAAACGTGAAAGGACAGCCACTCGAGAAAGAGGTTCTAGCTACTATGGTAAATGCTAAAAGAGCAGTTGAAGCTAAGGAGTACAGCGCTCCGAGAGTGGTGCAATCCATGCTCAAGAAGGTAAATGATGAGATACGCTTCAAAGAGCAGTTGAAGCTAGTGGCTATGATCCAGGCAGTACAAGCAGGGGTGATGGAAAGAACAAAGAAAGGCTGCTAAAGCGGGGGAACCCAGAAAGAGGTTCTAGGTACTATGATTAAGGCTAATAGAGAATCCTATACAAACATGCAGTTCAACATTTGAACTTTAGATAAAACAATATAACCTAACTTTCTTCTGATGCAGATCAAAAGACTGGCTTCGATCAACCACGAACATTTTACAAAAAAGGGGAACCATAATGGATCAAAGTCAACCTACAATATGGGAAACCAGCGACACAAATGACTGTAACATTTGAGTCAAATGATATCCAATCTTAAACGCATATCACTGTAACAGGAAAGCCATTTATTGGTCAACGATCACAAGGAGATCAGAAAGATCACTGGGTATGGAAGGACACGGATGGTATACAGACGCAAAAACCTAGATAAACTAATAAAAAATAGATTCATTCGAAGCTGAGAATGGGAGAAGATCAAATACCAAGTGAGAGGAGAGGATGACTCTGGCGCCGTGATCCATCAAGTACTTGATGGTGGGAACAGCGGCGCGAACCCTGGTATCGTCGGTGATCTTGAGGTTGTCGTCGAGAGGAACATTGAGATCCACCCTGACAAACACTCTCTTCCCTTTCAAATCAGCCTCCTTCAGAGACCCAACGCTCTTCTTGGCAGCCATATCTAAAAAGCACTGCGGATTCAGCAATCAAAGAAACATAAGAGTCGAGCAATTAACTAATGCCCAGATCGTAAAAAGCTGAGAGTGCAACCGGTGATTGTGAAAAAGAAAGGGAGCTTACGGATCGCAAATAGTGCTCTGTGTGATGCAGAAGACGACAGGTGGAGCTACAATTGAGGTTTTGGTTGAAGGATGGAGAAGGGGAAGTTTATATAGGAAAAGCGAGATGAGAAGCGTCTTCCCTAACCTTTCGGTCGGAAAGGGTTGGGTCGGGTCGGGTTTTCTTGGGGAGCAGGCACACTGCATTTTTTGGGCGGGTCCATACCGCGGTAAAAAGTAAAAACCTTGGGCCAGGACTTGGGGACTGCCGGGAGCCGTTTCGTACGCTTTTCAGTTTCATTCTTGGTACGTCTTGTGGCCGGCGGGCCTTGCCATTTCATGTGATCGCGTATGGACTTTGGCCGTGATTTTGGTGCTTTTCCATCTTCCGGTGACGAATATTCCATTTGATTAACTAGAACATTCCAATAGTTCAGCTTCTAATCACTCGATGGCTACTTAACAAATGGGCTTTTGGAGAAACGAGATGGATGGATGCAAGTGCGACGAGTGAGTGCCAGGCCCAAATGAAGCCCACTTAGTGTTGACTTTTCTGGAAACGACCCATAAAGACACAGCCAACCCACAACACAAGTCACAAGAGGGAGTTTCTGTGATATAACATGCCATGGTTCATCGACATTGATCTCCCTCCATGACCAATGACCATGATCCATCTCCAACCTTTTTTTTTTTTTTGACAAAGAATCCATCTCCAACCTCATTGAGTGGGAATCTCATATATCAGTAGGCCATGCATATTCATCAACCTCCTCCACAAAAATAAATACTAGAAATCATCAAATCAAGCCTAGCCAAAAAGAAAAATTGGTGGTGGGAACTGAAACCTTTTCTGTGTCCCATCTCTTCCCAATCTCCACCATTATCCCCAATATACCCTATCCCATCCTACACCAACCAACCAAAGTTGGACAAGTGCACCTCAATTCACTGGAGAATATACCAAACAGATATGAAGCAGAACTCAGCAACCCATCAACAGAAATCCATTCAAAAGATAAAACGATCCATTTATTTGATAACAAGATGGCTTCTCAATGCCACCAAACCGCAAGCTTCTCTTGTCCCTATTTTGTGGTAATCTTGAACCAAACATTATGAAAACAACGGTGGTATTGGACCTCTTTATATTGCAAGCAGGCAAACATGGAGATTGTACAACAGCAGCTCATATCTTATATCTCTACATAATCACAACTCTCGTTGACAATAGCATCATAATGGCTGCCCGGAAAAAAATAATTTATCTTACACGGCAACTGGTGTGGCTTCATCCAACGCAAGGACTCCTGGAAGCTCTTTCCCTTCCAATAGCTCCAGGCTGGCACCTCCACCGGTGGAAATGTGGCTCATTGCACTTGCAACTCCTACCTTCTCCACAGCTGCAACTGAGTCTCCTCCTCCGATGATTGTTGTCACACCCTTGGCGCTCAGGTCTGCTAGCTTCTTTGCCACAGACTGCAAAACCATACCCAAACAGCTCGTTCTCATCATATACACGAACCACACCACAAAGTTCCGTCCACAAAACTTACACCATGCTTCTATTTATATGGTTGTTTGACATTTCATAGTATATGAATTGTGTGGATATGTGATAGGTTGAATGCACTTTTTTGAAAGAGGAATGTTGCGGATGGAATTTACCTTCAAAGAGAAAGGTACAATTTTACCTTTCTTATCTTCTTACAAATGCCTTATATATAGGGTTAGTATGAGGCTTTCTAAAGGGGAATTCGGGTAAAAAGGGTCATGAAAGTGGATATGGAATTTGACATTCCAACATAACATGATCAGCACAGGTCACTGGTCTTAAAATGGTCATCTAGGGAAAGTAAGCCATATTCCATGGTCAAATTCTGTCATCCAAACAACACTTTGGACCCCTTAAAGGCTACCGACTCCAAGAAGATGAAAAGCATGCACTAATGCAGCTATTAAATACCTCAGTTCCGGCGGCAAACTTCTCAAACTCGAAAACTCCCATAGGTCCATTCCAAATAACAGTTTGGGTAGTTTCCAATGCTTCGTTGAACATCTTGATAGAATCTGGACCAATGTCAAGCCCCATCCAGCCATCAGGAATGGCTGATGACGGCACAATCTGCCGTGGAGAAAATATTTCAAAATCATTTCCTCCTCTACAAAGTGTACACTCAAACATGGGCTTAAAACATAACACATTAAGCAACAAACCTGGCTGTTAGCATCAGGAGCAAATTTGTCCGCAATGACTACATCAGTAGGCAGCAACAATGAAACTCCCTTTTCCTTGGCCTTGGCCATGAGAGAGGTTGCAAGCTCAAGCTTATCTTCCTCGACCAACGATGACCCCACCGAAAGACCTTGAGCCTTGTAGAAGGTGAAGATCATTCCTCCACCCAAGAGAAGGATGTCACACTTCTCCAATAGGGACTCGATGACTCCAATCTTGGATGAGACCTTTGAACCACCGACTATGGCAGCAAACGGCCTCTTTGGACTCGAAACAGCACCTACAAGATAATCCAGTTCCTGTGAACACAGAAAAATGAAGAGATTCAGTAACCCACGCCATCAATTATTAGCCATAGTCCAGCCAGCAAAAGAGGGAAACCTTTTGCAAGAGGAAACCAGCAACTGAAGGCTTCAAGAATTTTGTGACTCCCTCTGTCGAAGCATGAGCTCTGTGTGCAGTACCAAAAGCATCGTTCACAAACAGATCAGCAATGGAGGCAAGCTTCTTGGCGAATTCAGGTTCGTTCTTTTCTTCCTCCTTGTAAAACCTCACATTCTCAAGGAGAAGAACTCCACCCTCGGGGAGCGCAGCAACTGCTTTCTCCACCTCTGGGCCAATGCAATCTTCAGCCTTCACAACCTGCACAAGTTAGCAAAAGACTGGTCATTGATTCCATCTCCAAGTCAAAGTTATTCCATAGTCATAAACATCACAAGAAGAAGAGGAATAAGCACCTCGATACCAAGGAGTTCAGATAATCTGGGAACCAGAGGCGCCAAACTGAACTTTGGGGTAACACCCTTCGGTCTACCCTGCAGAAAGTTGTTGAAACAACAATTCAGATAAACACTGAACAACAGATGCATTCTGCCATAGACAATTATGCTAAGAACTGATTTAAGCCCATATGCAAAAAAAACTTTGAAGAAAGAGTGGAACAGTACCAACAATCAACATGAAAAGGTTTGATTTCCAGCTCATTGGAAACCCATTGGTCCAATTAAATGAGGCAAAATTAAGACGGAGAAGCAAAATAACTGTACTTGCAGCTGAATAAAGAGCTAAAATGCAACTGAAGAAGGTGGGTAGGCGGGAGGGGAAATACCAAGTGACTGGAGAGGATGACTTTAGCTCCATTTTGCATCAAATGCTTAATGGTAGGGATTGCAGCTCTGATTCTGGTATCATCGGTGATATTCTGGTTGTCATCGAGCGGCACATTCAAATCAGCTCTCACGAAAACCTTCTTCCCCTTCAAATCAGCAGCGCTCAAATCCCCAACGCTCTTCTTGACGGCAGACACGACCAATCCCCTGTGGGACTTGGCGCGGGAGGAGGAAGAAGAGGAGAGGGATCGGATGGTTAGAGGGTCAGCGGCGGAGAATGCGAGGCTGCGGAGGCCAGAAGAAGAGGACGAGCGGAGGCCAGAGTAGGAAAAGGGGAGAACGGCGGCTCGTGAACGGGAAGCGGATGAAGATGAAACTGTTGTTTTGAGGAGGGAAAGTGAGGTCGGGGCGGTGGCGGACGCCATTGATTGCCGGAGTCGGAAGATTTTGAAAGGGGAGGTGGCAGTGGTACAACGAAATTGGAGTGAGCGAGCGAGCGAGTGGTGGCAGAGTGATGAATTGACGATGATGCCGATGATAGGAATGAAAAGGACGATAGGGAAGGATAAGAAGACAAAGGGAAGATGAGCTAATGGCGAGCTGAGAATCTGCGATGAGGAGAAAATCGAAGCCCCTGCTTCAGATTGTTCTCTTATCTCTGACGAGAGGCTCAAGATGTTCGATGCTCTTCCTTCTACTCTATTTTCTCCTCCAATTTCCACTTATTTTTATTGCAGTTAAGTGATTAGATGGGTCTCAACGCAAGCCCAACAAGCCCAATATCCAGTTATTTTCCCGCCAACCCAGCCCATGAGCCCACATCCCTTCTAATTTTTCCGCCACTGATTAATCTCCCATCTCCAGCTCTCCCTTCCTTCTCCTTTCCCCGCCATGGCGATGGCGCTCTCACCTTTTCTTCCTCCTCCTCGGTTACTCCCCAAAATTCCCGCTCAATTTCCATTACTCTCCTCTCCAAAACCCTCCCGCTTCTCCTCCAAGTTCCTTCCCAGAGCCGTAGGAGAATGGCAAGAGTACGAGGAGGCCGTGAAGCGAAAGGACCTCGCCAGGGCCCTCAGGTTCCTGACATCCTTGCAGCCCAACTCAACCACTCGCCGTCCGTATCCCTCCCCCGCCGACTCTTCTCCGTCCGAAATCGACGGGTTCGGCTCCGGGTTGGGTTCCATTGATGGATTGCAGCGGGATTGGGAGGTTCTGGATACTTGTATGAACGCCGACGACATGAGGCTCGTCGCCGCTGCTTACAAATTCCTCAAGCACAGAGGCTTCCTCCCCAATTTTGGAAAGTTCAGCAGCATTGGTATAATGGCAATTTCCTCCCACAGGCGCATATTCGTTTAGCTTAGCTCACATCCACTGATCAGGCTTCAAAATTCAATTCTGCGGCGCTTCTTGGTAACCCTAGTTTTTCCATTTGATAAGGTTTCGATTGATCTAGTATTGCTCTTAATTTCTCAGTTTTGGAGGGACCTAGAGATGTCACGCCCACTGTTTTGAAGTCTGCCACTGGACTAGAAGGTGTGCTTCGTCGCTACTCTGTCTATGCCATTGCGTAATTTCAAGTTCTGGTTTTGACTTGTGTGAGCACCAATTTCAGTGACCAAATTGGCTCCGCAAAAATGGGGGATTTCTGGATCGTCAAACATCGCAGTGGCTGCTTTTCTAGGGGCAACTTGTTTACTGCAGTGGAAAGGAATCGATGTTAGAACCAACCTTTCTGCAGTATTGGGTTTAGCCCTTCTCGATAACATCTTCTTAGGTGGAACCTGCTTAGCTCAAATCTCAAGTTACTGGCCTCCATACAGGCGTAGAATCCTTGTTCATGAAGCAGGCCATCTTCTGGTAGGTGCGTACTTATTTACTTCAATGCTACTGCTTGCAGTGTGCTTCTGCACTCCTTAGTGACTTTGCTTTGTTAATCTCCAAACTCATTTAATGTGCAGCATACCTTATGGGTTGTCCCATTCGTGGCGTGATTTTAGATCCTATAGTTGCTGTGCAAATGGGCATTCAAGGGCAGGTACAACTTGGTCTCTGGTCCTGTACTCATTCCCTTATTTTGTGCTACTGTTGCTAACTTGCTATTACCAAAAGATTCGGGCTCCTGGTCTTGGACTTTGGTGCATATAACCATTTAAGCTTTTTATCCACTGTTTCAAAAGGATTCTTGGTGTTGGAATGGAAATTCAATCTCTTCAAACTTATTGTATCTTATCGATGTCAGACATTGAGTCCATGAGAAGCCATATTCATTCTAATGGTTGCTATAACATGTAAATTCATGCCTTCACATTTCTACAGGCGGGAACTCAGTTCTGGGATGAAAAAATGAGTAATGAGCTTGCTGAAGGCCAGCTTAGTGGCGCTGCCTTTGACAGGTAGTTCAAATCATCATAGTCTGTTCAATACAGAGAAAACTGAGAGTTGTTACTAGAGGAGGACAATAAAAGCAAGAAATTTCCTTTAATCAAAATTGGTTATCCTTTCATGCTCTTAACCTAATCTGGTTCTTGGTAACCTACTTTTGCAGATACTCTATGGTGCTTTTTGCCGGCATTGCAGCTGAAGCTCTTGTTTATGGTGAGGCAGAAGGGGGAGAAAACGATGAGAATCTGTTTAGGAGCATTTCCGTTCTTCTCGAACCCCCACTATCTGTAGCACAGGTAATCTTTCATGCTATCGAAATACATTCATGCTTATTTGAAATTCTCTCTTGAAAATTGCAGACGTTGTTTTTCAACTTCTGCCATTGTACAGATGTCGAATCAAGCTAGATGGGCAGTACTGCAGGCTTACAATATGCTGAAATGGCACAGGGAAGCTCACACAGCCGCTTTTAAGGCAATGGAAAGTGGAGGGAGTCTGAGTGTTGTGATCAGGAGAATCGAGGAAGCTATCAGTTTCAATAGATGACATATACTAGAAATTCAACATCATTGTGGTTTTACTGCCCATAACTAATATATATCTCCTTCGAGGTAAAAATCTAGTAGTTTGGACAACTTCCTTTCTCATCTTATCGTCATGTGTCATTATGGCTAAATTAGCTGTTGCTATGAGTAATACTCGATCGTGCATTTGACGCAGGAAGCGCAAGGCAAGCAACACCAGCAACTGGAGCAGTAGACTTCATTTGTTTCTACAAGATGCTGTAATCGGAAGAGCAGCATAAGTGTGCATATGTTGAGGTCAATGCTGAGCAAGAAGAGATTGGTGCAACCAGTGGCAATAGATCACGAGATTGATAAATGTTATAGGATATCCAGCATCTATATGAAGCTGGAGAATGTACTCAGAGCTGTACAAAATGAGTACCACTTTTAAAGTCTCGTGTTTTGCATTGGAGACTAGTTTAAGCATTCACAGCTCAAAGCCTCAAAATGACAAATTGACGTCACATCCTTGAGCTTATAGTGTACTAAAAAACATTGATTGGTTTGTGTAATTATCATAGAAGAACTGCATTTTTGAGAGAGACCCCGGGAGCCGATACTTCAACCATCTTTGCTTGTTTTCTCCAGATCCAGACTAAATTCATGGGTTGCCATCACAAAAATGAAGTGAAATATAGTTTTGCCAAATGAGTAGCTTGAATATCTATCCGCTAATTCCACATCGTGAGGGTAATATATCTTTAGTAGTTAATAATAAGTTTTAGAATGTTGTTTAATCGCCGGGCCCACTAACAAGAGCTTATCACCCAAGCGGGGGCATCAATGAGATGGAACTGTAATCTGATTCTGTGGGCCGGGCTCGTTGAGGCTTTAACTGACCTGCCAATTCAAAGTGATCGGTAGTGGGCCTTGTGTTGGTCCAGTCGAAGGTCTGGATCAAGGCCCAACATGGCTCATAAGATCGGATTCTAAACGCAAACCATCTCATTTTTATTTTTACCTTTCTTTTTACAATTTCTCTCAAATTTTCGATAAACCTCACAAAGCCTCTTCCCAGTATAGCTGATGAAAATTGAAACAACCAGATGCTCTCTGGTTCGGCAGCTCCAAAGAAATGAACTCTACGGTTTCTCACAAGCATCATCATAACCCGCTCTTCCACCACTCGACTCTCCCAGTTTGCCGGTTTCCCGCTTTACATTTCTCCGGGGCGCAGAATTTCAGGACTTCACGAAGGAGGAGAACGGCTCTTGTGATAAGGTCTTCTTCTTCTGGAAATGCAAATGGGTCGGGCGGATTTTCTTGGCGGGATGTGTCGGAATCTCTCCGGCGTGGTTCGGAGAAGCTGTTGCTGAAGTTCAGCGAGTCAGTGAAGGAGGAAACCGGGTTTGATTTTGGAAGAGTCAATGAGATGGAACTGTAATCTGATTCTGTGGGCCGGGCTCGTTGAGGCTTTAACTGACCTGCCAATTCAAAGTGATCGGTAGTGGGCCTTGTGTTGGTCCAGTCGAAGGTCTGGATCAAGGCCCAACATGGCTCATAAGATCGGATTCTAAACGCAAACCATCTCATTTTTATTTTTACCTTTCTTTTTACAATTTCTCTCAAATTTTCGATAAACCTCACAAAGCCTCTTCCCAGTATAGCTGATGAAAATTGAAACAACCAGATGCTCTCTGGTTCGGCAGCTCCAAAGAAATGAACTCTACGGTTTCTCACAAGCATCATCATAACCCGCTCTTCCACCACTCGACTCTCCCAGTTTGCCGGTTTCCCGCTTTACATTTCTCCGGGGCGCAGAATTTCAGGACTTCACGAAGGAGGAGAACGGCTCTTGTGATAAGGTCTTCTTCTTCTGGAAATGCAAATGGGTCGGGCGGATTTTCTTGGCGGGATGTGTCGGAATCTCTCCGGCGTGGTTCGGAGAAGCTGTTGCTGAAGTTCAGCGAGTCAGTGAAGGAGGAAACCGGGTTTGATTTTGGAAGAGTCAATGCCGAGGCGGGTGAGCTGCTGGAGAGAGCTAAGGTTGAGGTCAGTAAGGGCGAAGCCGAGTTGAATCGATTCAGGACCGTCGTGTTGCCCGAGTTTCTGGATTGGAATAGTTGGGACCGTTGGAAGGTAGACGAATTTTCCCTTCTAGAACTCTTACTCCATTGTTTGGTTGGTTTGCTGAGAAAGCTTAGTTGAATTGGTGTATCATAAACTGTATCACTGTTTCCTTTTGGGGACAGAAGGCTGAATGTTTGCTATGAAAGAATAACTCTGAGATTGCTTTTTAAATTTCTCAGGATGTCAAGCATTGGGAGCGGAAACGAGTAGCTGCCCTGATTCTCTACGCTTTTGTGGTCTTGTTTTCTTTCCAAAGGGTGTATGTTGCTGTTCGAGCACCTTTCATTGCACGACAAAAGAAAGAAGTGACAGAGGCTTTCATGGAGGCACTGATTCCTGAACCAACTCCCATTAATGTTAGAAAGTAAGTGCAATTGCTCACTCGTATCTCTGGACGCTGAAAATCACTCAGAACACTGTTTGTTTGACATTAGGTTGAGTAAACCAGGTATGTGGCATGCCATGAATGCCTCATGAATGCTTGGACAATCGAGAATCACCACAATGCACCAGCATAAACAGTACCTGTCTGAAGAATACATTTTCTTTTAAAAAAAGTTGAACATGCACTAGTCTAGAATATCCGTTTGGCTCAACAAGAACAGATTGAGAACTATGGTGCCTTGTGGAGGCTTTACGGTAGAAAACTTTATAGCTGAAGACATTTCTCTCCGAGTGGACAGGTTTAAGAAAGGCATATGGAGGAAGACAGTCCCAAAGGGTTTGAAGATGAAGAAATTCATTGAATCGCCTGACGGAACACTTATTCGTGATACCTCTTATGTTGGAGAAGATGCATGGGATGATGATGCAATGCCACCGCAGGACAATGTGAAGCAAATTATTGAAAACGATAAAAGACTGAATAGAGAAGAGAAGAAAGAACTGGAAGAAGATTTGGGGATTTCAGGTCAGTTGCTAACTTTATTGGCATGTAGGTAAAAATATTATGCATGCGTCCATATTGTCCCTTCTCCTTCTGCCTTGAATTCTCCGTAACTATGAATTTTTCCTTTAGTGCTCCGAGTTGCACATGTGTCAGTCAAAATATATTGAGGATTTCATTATTTGAGTGTCAGTTGCTCTACTTAAGTGTATATAGTCAATGCAACTTACCTTGTGTTTTATGACCCCCAACAATGAAGTCCCTTTATTTATTTCCTTAAAAGCATTCTTCTTAAGCTAGAGCGTGAATAAAGAGAACCTGCAGACTGTGTAGACTACAGGTAACTCATACTGAAGTTATAGATAGAGAAGGGCTTTGTCTATAAGTACATGTGAAGAATAGCAAAGAGAATTATCTAAGTCAGTTAAGTTGACAAAGTGTTTATTTGTGTGATGATGGTGGGATGATAAACATGTGTTCTTGGTGGTTGTAGTTATTCACTATGATATGTTGCTCATTAACTCTCCTCTCTTTTGTCTTGATGCTTGCTTAGGAAATAAAGAGCAACAAAGTGTAGGATCATGGCGTGAAAGGGTCCAATTATGGAAGGGAATCCTCAATAAGGAGAAATTGGCTGAACAGTTAGATGCTTCAAATGCCAAGTACGCTGTTGAATTTGACATGAAGGAGGTTGAAAATAGTCTTAGAAAGGATGTGGTAGAAAAGGTATCAGAAAGCAATGGAGCAAGAGCTCTGTGGATATCTAAAAGATGGTGGCGCTACCGTCCAACAATCCCCTACACTTACTTTCTTCAGAAGCTTGATTCCTCAGAGGCAAGTGTTCGCCTTTTCCATTAGCTTTGAGCTGTTAATTTCAGTTTTCATTGTTGGAGTTCCTTACCTTGCGGGTAAACACATGAAAAAAGGGCGACTAACTCTTTTCTTCTACCAATGTCTTGTATGGACCCCATTCTACTCTTCTTGATACTAGTATCTGACAGCAGATATGTAATCACTTCTGACCATACTGGTGGTCGGTTGCAAAAATAAAATGAAACTAGGATGAAAGACGCCAAATGTTTATCTTCATATTGGCTGAATGAATAAGATATTCCTTGTTGTTTTCCCTAACTGAGCAGCAGGCTGTTGTTCTTTGTACGCAAAAATATAATGGAATTAGGATGAAAGGAAGCCAAATGCTATATCTTGGTATTGGTTGAACGAATAAGATCTTCCTTGTTTTCCTAACTGAGCAGCAGACTGTTGTTCTTTGTATTAGGTTGCTGCAGTTGTCTTCACAGAGGACTTGAAAAGGGTATATGTAACTATGAAAGAAGGTTTTCCGTTGGAATATGTTGTAAGTATTTATGTTCTTGCTGGGTGAGAGATTGAACGATGTTTTCTTAATCACTTAGACTCACTTCTGCGCTTTTTGTGTATGCAAGGTTAATATTCCTCTTGATCCATATTTGTTTGAGATTATCTCAAGTTCTGGAGTCGAAGTGGATCTTCTTCAGAAACAGCAGATTCATTACATTTTGAAACTTGTGATTGCTTTGCTACCTGGATTGCTGATCCTGTGGCTAATTAGGGAGTCAGTGATGCTATTACATATAACCTCAAGTCGTTTCCTTTACAAGAAGTATAATCAACTTTTTGACATGGCATATGCAGAAAATTTTATCATGGTAATTCCTAGCTTGAAGCTCTCATTATTAAGTTTATCCTTCCAATTACTTGTTCTGCACATGATGCTGTTGTCTTTCTTCTCTTCAGCCGGTTGGTGATGTTGGCGATGTAAGTGAAACAAGGTCGAAGTACAAAGAAGTGGTGCTTGGTGGTGATGTTTGGGATCTTCTTGATGAAATAATGATCTATATGGGCAATCCCATGCAGTATTATGAGAAAGGGGTGAAATTTGTTAGGGTAATACATGATCTACAGCTTTAAATGAACACTAGTGCAACTAGCTTTTTGTGAACATTGTGATGAATTATCACTTTCTGATAGCTATATGCATGACAGGGTATTCTTCTGTCGGGACCTCCTGGAACAGGAAAGACCCTATTTGCCCGGACTCTTTCAAAGGAAAGTGGATTGCCTTTTGTTTTCGCTTCAGGTGCAGAGTTCACTGATAGTGAGAAGAGTGGTGCTGCAAGGATCAATGAAATGTTTTCCATTGCCAGAAGAAATGTAAGCTCCACCTGGTTTGTTTGCTCCAATCCTGCAAACATATAATAAGACGTTTCTTTACCATTCATTCTCTTGATGCAGGCTCCATCATTTGTTTTTGTTGACGAAATTGATGCCATTGCTGGAAGGCATGCAAGAAAGGACCCACGAAGAAGAGCAACTTTTGAAGCTTTGATTGCACAACTTGATGGAGAGTTAGGAGCTTTCATTTGTCCTATGATCTTATCCCTTTGTGTTTCTCTTGTTATTTCAATTTCATTACATTGGCCCAAGAAACGGATATTGATTCTGTTTCTACTGATGACATGACATTGCATTTGTCTTATGAAGGAAAGAACGAACAGGAGTGGATCGTTTTTCTCTCAGGCAAGCTGTGATTTTCATCTGTGCGACAAATAGGCCAGATGAATTGGACTTGGAATTTGTTCGTCCAGGACGCATAGACCGGCGCTTGTATATTGGTGTGCCCGACGCAAACCAACGAGTGCAGATTTTCAGCGTGCATAGTTCTGGAAAGCAACTTGCAGAAGATGTAGACTTTAGAAAGGTAAGTTCTGCCTTGTTCATCTCCTTTCCGTAGTTTTACTGATTCTGTGATGCCAAATTAGAAAGTGCCGTTCTGTAATATTCTCACTTGCTATAAATGAAGCGATTTGGTGTTTGCTTAATATGGTTGCCTCCTCCTTTCTGTCTTCAGCTTGTGTTCCGTACTGTTGGGTTCTCTGGAGCAGATATTCGAAATCTTGTGAATGAAGCTGCAATCATGTCTGTAAGTCACCATTCTAAATAAATTTATTGTCATATGTAGATATTTAGCCATTTATACATTCTCCATAGTTGTGAATCATGGTCCGTCGTAAATGTGTAGTTATGGCCCAATTTATGTTTCAGGTCAGGAAAGGGCATTCTAAGATTTATCAGCAAGACATTGTTGATGTGTTGGATAAGCAATTGCTCGAGGGCATGGGAGTGCTTCTGACTGAAGAAGAGCAACAAAAGTGTGAAGAAAATGTATGTTTTTAATGGTTGTTAAGTTGACAGAATCTTGCTGGTTCTCCAGCTAATTATTGAATTCAAATAAGCATTTTCTTGCATATAGGTCTCATTGGAAAAGAAGAGACTTCTCGCTGTACATGAAGCTGGCCACATTGTTTTAGCCCACTTGTTTCCTCGCTTTGATTGGCATGCATTTTCTCAGCTTCTGCCAGGTGGTAAGGTGAGTGCCGGAGTTATAGCATTTATTATTTCCCTCTCGATAATTACTCTTACACCTTGCTTTCCTTCTTGACATGGTTCGTGATAACCAGGAAACTGCAATATCTGTGTTCTACCCAAGGGAAGATATGATGGACCAAGGTTACACTACATTTGGGTATATGAAGATGCAAATGGTGGTGTCTCATGGAGGCCGATGTGCTGAGCGACTTGTGCTAGGGAATGACATCACAGATGGCGGAAGTGATGATCTTGAGAAAATAACAAAGGTAACAACAGTTGGAAAATCCCATGTAGAATCAATTGTTAAGGTTTCTTCCAATAATAAGGAACTTGGTTTGAATTGGAAAACAACTGACTGAGCCACTTGATTTCTTTTCAGATTGCCAGAGAGATGGTGATTAGCCCTCAAAATGCAAAGTTGGGGCTTACTGCTTTAACAAGAAGAGTGGGGTTAATGGATCGACCTGATAGCCCAGACGGCGGATTGATAAAGTACAAGGCAAGTTATATTCTCAGATAATCACTTCTGCTTATCCCACTCTTTACAAGAGATTGTTGTTATTAACTGTGTTCTCCTTCTTCATGATATTAGTGGGACGACCCTTATGTGATCCCTGCCAACGTGACTCTTGAAGAATCCGAGCTATTCACTCGCGAGTTGACCAGGGTATGTGCTCAATTAATTTTCAATATCTTGAAGGAAGATGACTTTTTGCTGGTAGACTACTAAGGTTTTGATGTCGATGCAGTATATTGAAGAAACAGAGGAACTTGCTATAAAAGGATTAAGAGACAACATGCATATACTGGACATGATTGTCAAGGAACTTTTGGATAAGTCGAGGATAACTGGATTGGTATTCACTATGCTTTCTGCTGCATTTTACACCCTAATATAATGCTGACACATTGTAACCCTTGTTCGGTCTGCTTTTTTCTTAATTAATACCTTTACAGGAGGTTGAGGAGATGATGAAAGGCCTTTCTCCAGTAATGTATGAGGATTTCGTCAAGCCATACCAGATCAATGTGAATGAGGTGCTCTGCCTGCTTCTGTCCACGGCTGAGTGCTGACTTAACCTTTGCTTGTACTGACAACCTTTTTTTTGGTGTAATCAGGAGGGAGAATTGCCACATAGTGACAATTTGAGATATCAACCAGTTGACGTATATCCAGCCCCACTTCATCGATGTTGAGGCCACACTCAACCTGTTTACGGGGAGTATGGCAACCTTCTGGTCAGGGTGCCAGCCAAAGCCTCAGCCTTTCTGTAAGCCAGCAACTGTGGTTGTTTCAGTGGCTGAATATATATTCATAGCTGCTGCATAATCCTCACAGTTCTGGAAAGACAAGTTCAATACAGGCAGGGATGATATACCCAATTTTGCTTCTTACATTCTTATCCCGAAACATCTATAGCTTGTTCAAGCGCCTTGGCCCCAGAATATGGTAGAGAAGGACAATTGGATTAGAGTAGGGAAGTTGGAAGAGTACTGTGTTAGTGGCAGTTTAGCATTCTAGCGAACATTTTCAAAAGGCTCTCAGCTTTTCTTGTAATTGAATTGAAGAATGTACGGGAGAATATTACAAAGCAACTAGTTTTTCTTGTAATTGAATTGAAGAATGTATGGGAGAATATTACAAAGCAACTAGTTTTACAGTTTATTTATAGCAGATAAACTGGCAGGATTGTACTGTCTTGAGAATGCTACTTTGAAATTTGAAAACCAACAGCTTAAATTGGATTGCAATATATTTGAGTGTTTATATGCCAATACGACCTTTTGGTACAAATTAGAATCTTAAAGCTTGCTGGAAGGAACGCCAACAGGTTTGTCCCTAGAACGCTTCTCCACAGCTCGAGAAAGCTGCCTCACTGCATCTTTTTGTAGATGGCGAGGCTTGCTTAGCCATAGTCCACCATCCACTGGAATCATTGTTCCATTCACGAATTTCCCTACAACACAAAGCAGATCATAAGTTACATTCTCAAGAAGTAGCCTAAATCGGCAATCTGCACCAGATAACAGTAACAAAACGAACCAGCATCAGAGACAAGGTAGAGAGCAGCCATTGCAATATCCCATTTCTCCCCAAGCTTAAACAAGGGCATATAGTCTCGTGCCTTGCTGTTGATCTCATCTGGTGCAAGTTTGCTCATCCCAGGAGTATCGGCAATGGGCCCTGGAGCTATTCCATTCACTCTGATATCGTAATCTGTGCCCCACTCGAGTGCTAAGTTTCTGGCGAGGGCATCCACTGCTGCCTGTTACGCGAACAACACAGGTTTCATTGGAGAAAATTCAGAGTATGACACATAATAAGTATAGAATGCTCATCATAATCATAAACAGCATGACAGTGTGTACCTTGGCTGCAGATACATGGATTTGATACCAAGCTGCCGTGTAGTGCAAAGTAGCACTAATGTTTATGATTGATCCACCACCTTCAGATGAACCTCGGCCAAGCCCTCCTTTCATCAGATACTTGAGCGCCGCATGGCACATTGTAAAAGTTCCCACAGCATCAATATCCATAACTGCAAGAACTCAGGGAATTTAAGCTCACAATTCACAAACACAATAGAAATACACCACTGCATGTTACTAAGAATTCCAATCCTTCTACCTGAAGTTCATGCTCCAAATGAACAGAGTCTGATACAAGAAAGACACTTGGAAAACCTTGTCTAAACAATGGAATTCAAATGCTTTCCTTCTACCCAACTCTCCATCGAGCTAAATTACATAGTGGGTTCACAAAGCTGAAGGGTATAGTAGATGAGTAGTAGGAAGAACCTGTTCGAAAACCATTAGGGGATAAGTCCTCAGGCGATGCAAGGAAATTGCCAGCCGCAGCGTTTACAAGAATGTCAATCCTGCCGAAATGTTGGAAAGTTGATTCCACCACTCTTCTTGCATCTTCCGGCTTCCGAACATCCCCTTCGAACCCCACAGCCTGCACAGAGATAAAAGCCTCCCAATCGTCATAACCAACTCAGGAGAAATTAATCCAAGCATTGGAGCTTAGCTTCCACAATAGAGTACAGTAAACTAAAATGGACGAAGAAGAGAACTGTTTTTTTAACAATTCAATTCTCTTGTGGATTGGTCAAAAAAGTCCACTAATTCTTTCACCTCAATCAATCGACTGCATGGGAGACGAAGACAATACAAGGGAAAGAAGAGGCAGAGTAAAGGGTACTTGAATTCCGAGGGAACGGAGGCTGGAGACGGCGGCGTCGAGCACGGACTTCCGCCGACCCATGATCGCGACGGAGGCGCCGTGTTTGCCGAACTGGGTGGACAGCTCAAACCCGATTCCGGATCCTCCGCCAGTGATCAAACCCACCTTCCCTCTCAAAATATCTGCCTTGAACGGAGACTCCATTCCTTCCCTTTTCTTCTCTGCGTCTCTGCCTCTGTGCGACTCCCCTTCTGCTTCTAATTCCTTCTCATTTCTCACACCATTATCATTTTGAGGAATGAATAGAGCTGGAAATGTTGCACGTGACATTCACGTGCTTATTTCTGCCTTTCCTTTCCTAGGACTGGAATGTAAAAGAGAGAAATATCGAGACTGAAGCGATAATAGACATCGATTTACGAGTAGCGGCTTACAACTTACCCGCCCGCCCGCAAAGAAAACCCTTCTCCCTCCGCCTCCCTCTGAACTTTTGCAGTTCTCCGCAGCATTTGAGATGGACGACGGACTCGTAGCCTCCATAGTCATGGAAGAACCACGTGGGGATGCACTCGTCGACGGAAACTTCCGCCTGTTCTCCAAACCCAGAAAATCCCGTAAACAGCTTCCCGCGGCAAAACCTCCCCTGGCCGAGGAAACCGCCCTTTCGGACCCTAAAACTCCCAAAATCGAGAAAGAAACATCATCCTCCGCCGCAGAACCCCACGCCGATGCCGGAACTTCCTTCTCCGACTTGGGCCTCTCCGAATTCGCTATCCAAACTTGCAAGGAGCTGGGCATGAAGCGCCCGACTCCGGTTCAAGTCCACTGCATCCCGAAGATACTAGCCGGCCGCGACGTTCTAGGTTTGGCTCAGACGGGCAGCGGAAAGACTGCTGCTTTCGCTCTGCCGATCCTCCACCGCCTCGCTGAGGATCCTTACGGGGTCGCCGCGCTGGTGATTACGCCCACCAGAGAGCTGGCTTTTCAACTGGCAGAGCAGTTTCGCGCGTTGGGTTCTTCCTTGCAATTGAGGTGCGCAGTTGTCGTTGGCGGGATGGATTCGCTCACACAAGCTCAGACATTAATGGGCAGGCCTCATATAGTCATCGCCACTCCAGGCAGAGTCAAAGTTCTGATGGAAAATAATGCTGATTTGCCTGCTGTTTTCTCCAGAACTAAGGTAAAAAGAGGAGAGGGGGGGACTTTTCAGGGAATAAAATGTGCATTGTGTTCTATTTTGAATCTGCGTTCTTCTGTTGCTTGAATCTTTCTTTTGTGGCAGTTCCTGGTTCTTGATGAAGCTGATAGAGTTTTGGACGTGGGGTTTGAAGAGGAACTGAGAACGATTTTCCAGTGCCTGCCAAAGAATCGCCAGACCCTTTTGTTTTCTGCAACAATGACAAGTGAACTGCAGACGCTGCTTGAGCTTTCTGCGAATAAGGCCTACTTCTATGAGGCCTATGAGGGATTCAAGACTGTAGACACTCTAAAGCAGCAGTATATCTTCATACCCAAGAATGTGAAGGAAGTTTATCTTTCCTACATTTTGACCAGGATGGAAGATATGGGTATTCGATCTGCTATGATATTTGTCTCCACTTGCAGGTATCAGTTTCCACTGGTCTCTTGTAGCCTATAGATACATTCATTGTATAAATCTGCCTTTCCGGAAAAGCCACACAATGAAAAGATCATGAAGAATTTCTTTAATGTTGCTTTGATCGACAGAAAAAACGTATATACCTATACAATACAGTTTACACTAGCATCCTGTGCCGAGTATTCTCAGCTTGTTAGAGCGAATCTGTTTTCAAGATTACTTACATGCAAGTTCTTCATGTTCTAACAATTGAGAAGATATGGTCGAGCTGACTAGGGTAAAAATCTTTGAACCGTGTATGTACCTTTTTCAAACATAGTCATGTTCAATCCAAATAGTTGGCTTAGACTTTCTTCCATTCATAGTCTTGTAGCTCCTTAGCAAGAATTTAAAGGCTTTTATGTCTCATTTCTGTGTTTTGTCATGTTTGTTTCCCTTTAATTGAAAGAAAGTACTAGGCATTGCATCTTCCTTCATAATAAAAATGATTATTGTACAAGACAATTGATTTTATTTGGTCACTTGGGTAGTTGGCGATTCTGAAAATCGGGTTTTTGGTTTATGTTTGTGAACCTGGGAGCAGGAGCTGCCAGCTTCTAAGTTCACTACTCGAAGAACTTGGTCAGAAGGCTGCAGCAATGCATTCTTTTAACTCTCAGGCCTTGAGACTAAAAGCACTGCACGAATTCAAGGCGGAGAAAGTCCCCGTGTTAATCGCAACCGATGTTGCAAGTCGTGGTTTGGACATTCAAACAGTTGATCTTGTTATCAACTATGATCTTCCAAGGTTATATTATGCATCCCAAATATATCTTGTCTTGTCGTGTCTGTTTTTGTAGCACCTTTTTCTTTAGTAGTGATTTTGACTGCTAGTTAACTGCAGATATCCTAGAGACTATGTTCATCGTGTGGGCCGTACTGCTAGAGCAGGCAGGGGAGGTTTGGCTATAAGTTTTGTGACACAGGTAAGAGAAGTCATTGTCAAAATTTGTTGCACCCGGGATAAGCATCACCTTAAACTAACTCTACTTCCTAATTTGTTGTTAGTACGATGTGGATCTGGTTCATGAGATTGAGGGTGTAGTTGGAAAACAGTTTGAGCAATTCGAGTGCAAAGAGAAGGACGTCCTTTCTGGAATTACAAAGGTATGAGCTTGGTTCTTTTGCATAAATGGTGAGTTTTCCTTCAACCCTTGGTTATTCTGAACGAGTTTTTTCGGAACCCTAATCAGGTTTATAAAGCCAAGCGAGTGGCATCGATGAAGATGATGGATGATGGGTTTGAGGAGAAGCTGAAGGAAAGGAAGAACCAGAAGCTGAAAACTTTGGCAGACAAAGGTCTGCTGAAGAAGAAGAAAAGGAATAGTAACAAGAGGAAGAGACAGAGCTAAAGCATTTTCATTTTGAATTGGCTGCTTCTAGCCCAAAGTTTTGCCATATTATCGTGTTCCATTTTTGTGTCATATGTATGTACTAGAAGGGTAGTTCGAAATGCTAAATTTCATTTATCACCCTCTTATTAGATTATGATACTTGACCTTTACCATGCTTGGTGTAATTTACATGCTCTCTTTTGGAAATGAAATGAAGGTGTAGCTTACATAAAAGATGCATTGTTTTACCATGGAGTAGGGGAAAAAAATACTATGGTAAAAAAGTAATTAACAAAGCAAATAGGGGAGGAAAACGAATAAAGAGGAATGGAATCCATATTCTGAATTGGAAATACACTACACTCCTCTCATCGGCCGGAATCCGAAGTGTCCACTGCACTCTCAAAGTCTTTAAATACCGGACCTATTTCATCATCGGCCCATTCAGCCTCCCACAATTTCAATTCCCCTTTGCCCTTCCTTCGATTTCCAATCCACGATCAATCGCCGCCGCCAGCCATGTCAACATGCGAGGCCAACGGCACTACTGAGCCTTCCCCTGCCACCGCCCAAGGCAAGACCATCACGCTCAAGTCCGCCGAGGGCGAGATGTTCCAAGTCGAGGAAGCCGTCGCCATGGAGCTAGCCACCGTGAAGAACTTCTTCGACGACGGAACCATCGACTCCGACAACGCCGCTGCTGCAGTCATCCCGCTCCCCAACGTCTCCGCGCAGCCTCTGTCGAGGATCATCGTCTACTGCAGGAAGCAGGTGGAATTCCGCGGGAGCGCTGCGCCTGAAAGCGAGAAGAGGAGTTTCAGCGACGAGTTCGTGAAAAAGCTGGAACTCGAGGAGGTGAGGGACCTGGTCCTGGCTGCGAATTACCTCAACATCCCTTACCTGCTCGACGTGCTAAACCAGAACGTGGCGGATCGCATCCAGAACAAGAGCGTCGAGTTCGTCAGGAAGTTCTTCGGGATCGAGAACGATTTCACCCCGGAGGAGGAGCAGGCCGTCCGCGAACAGAACGCCTGGGCCTTCGAAGGCGTGGACCAAGACTGAATCGAGAATTAGGGTTTAGGTGTCGAACGTATCTCTCTCTGCGGCGGTTTCCCCTTTTTTCTTTGTTAGGGTTTGGCAAAACTGAATCAACTCTCGGGATTTGATTCTAATTTGGCAATTGTAGTTTAATTTTCTTGCTTGCGAATTCCCATTCATGTAATCAGTAATTACAACTCCTTTCCCCCTTTTGCTTGAATGGTGTTCGCACATCACATAATCAACGATAAAAGCTCGCTTGCTCACAATTCGATCCATGTTAACTCACTCTTTGAGCATCACTTTGTTGTTGGATTGGATTTGGAGCCTGCAATTTCCTTCTTCGGCCGTCATGGCAGCAGCTTGCTGCTTGGTAAAGAGCAGTGGGCATGTTGATGCAGTGGTTAGTCCCTTCTGCTGCCATTTGTCAAGGCTGCTGTTGATAGACCGATGGCGTTTCGTGGGGTAGGGCAGGCCTACGGCCGGCGAAAACGGGAAACCGGCACAAAATAGAGAAACGGGTCTCAGAAACGGCCGAGAAAGGATTCTTCTTTAATTAATCGAAGGCCCAAAAGAACGAAACCCCCAGCAGCGTTTGGATACTACGGCTGGCGAAAGCTGGAAACCCGCACAAAAAACGAAACGGGTATCAGAAACGGACGAAACGGCCGAGAAAGGATTCTTCTTTAATCAATCGAAGGCCCAAAGGAACGAAAGCTCCAGCAGCGTTTTCATAGGGAGGTAAGCGGGCGGCCCGGTAAAACTGGGCTCTCGTTAGACAAAGGGCCCGACTACCTTTTTCTCTACTTATCCGCAGGCCTAAAGAACTAGAAGTGCCCCGCCGTTTCGTAAGCAAGGTAGGCGTAGGCCCGGCGAAAACAGGAAAGGCCCGCAGAATGGGAAAACGGGCACTAGAAACGGTCGAAACGCGAAACGTTTCGAGTCCACAAAACCAAAATAGAAACGCGAGAAATTGACGAGAAATTGAAATTGACGAGATATCGCGATATGACCAGATATCGCGATATTTATGCGATATATTGACTTTTTAACGATATATTGACCTGGAGCTATGGTGGAAGCCGAATTAATTATCTATCTATGGAGCCAGCCAACGGGCTACGTCGCGAACTAATCTGCAACAACCATTTCCGTCGGCAAAAGATTTTCGCGGCCACTTTGACGGTGGCAGGTCTCTTCCAGAAAACCCTACAAGCGTTCTCGACCGTAACTGGAGTCACCGACGTCCAAGCCCTCGCGGGCACTCAAGGAATGGATCGACCTGGTAGTAACCATCACCCCGACATCATTCCTCTACAGCTGGGACTTCAACGTCGACCCCTGTGACAGCTCCGGCTCGTTTCTCGGCGTCCCCTGCTCTTTCCCGCGCGACAATTCCAGCAGCCGGGTGATCGCGATCGGCCTCCACGATGCAGGGTACGACGGGTTCTTGAATCGGCAAGATGAATTAAATCAAAGGCTTTTGTGTTTGTCATCTTCTCTGGTAAGGGTAAGAGTTGTATTTGAATCGGCCATTTGAATCAATCGGCCTAATGAGGAATGGGAATCAAGTGGGGAGGCAGGAAAAAATGACTCAAATTGCCACCCTTATTATGGCATGTCGATTGTTTGCCGTCCTCAAGACCTCAAATGCAAAAGATTCTTGTGTCAAGCAAAAGAAATATGACTAATCCTAAATTTGATTGAGAGAAAGAAAAAAAAATTAATCAGAAGGCCACGACGAATATATAATAGCTTTTTAATTAGCGGTAGTCATCATTTGACACTTCGAGATGTTATCGAATAATTATCATTATATTTTGCACGACGCTTAGAAATAACGATTCGGTCTTGTAAAACAAATGATAATATGATACTAAACATGGAAAATCGATTACTTCTCGTTACAATTAATGTAGCTCCAATACAGTGAGTTGGTACAAACTTAATAAACAAAACAGTCCAACTAAACAAAAAACAAGTTACCAAATCCATTCTACTTACATGCTTAATAAAGAGGCATTGTTTCATTTAACTTCTTCTAGCCAAGCTTAATAGTACTTAAGATTAAAATAGTAGTCTATTGAAACAATATCATTACACTGAAAGAAAACAAAATTGCTCCCCAAATAAATTGACCCCCAAAATTCCATACACTGACTGACTGAATTAATATAAGATCATTATCAGAGTTGTTTATTTGAATATGAAGATTGATTATCACATTGGAAACAGCGACCTAAACTAGCCCAGCAAAGAAGTTTCCTTCCTTGGTAAGATTTCAGAAAACAGGGGAAGGGAAGAGGTTAAAGGCAGGGCCAAAATGGAGTGGTGCTGTGTCTTCTTCTGAGGGCCGGCTGGCTGGCTGGCTGGCTAAGGTTAATTACCCCCATTGCCCATCCATTTCCCTTCTCTACTCTAGTATTACATTCTGTAATTGTAATTATGAACTTTAAGCACAATTACATACATGATTACCGTTATGCACAGCCAAATTTATCATCCTAACATGATAGTGATCGCAATAACCATAACAATTGGTTGTAAGTTGTAACTGTGCGTGCTGCCAATGAGAAGGATCTCATATTACCTAATACATTAGACCAATCTTTTGCGTAAAAGTTGTACATTTCTCGCATTTTCTATCTCGCTTTTACTATTTGTGAAATGAAACGAACTTAATCCGAAAGGGTGTTACAGCGATAATGTGTACCCTTGCCTCCCACTGCAAAAAGTACAAGTAGTATATCACCACCATTTATGCTTTGACAAATTCCAATCTCTGTGCGAGACTGTTTCCCTCCATAAATATTTGTTGGTCTCCTTTCCCCTGTAATTTACTCTTTGCCTCCTTGCCTCCTCCTTCATGTCCCCTCCCCCGGCCTGTTAATGTAACCATCTTCTTCTTTTGACTTTTCAATCCCCTTTGGCACTGAGCTATAACTCATTCACTAACAACCTTACTTGGTGTCTTCTTTAGCACATTAAACAAGCCTCTGCTTGCTTATCACTTCATCTCCATTCCATTTCCACACACTTGCTCTATATATGCCATAGCCATACCCTGCCTGCCTGCCTCACATCCATTCCTCAAACTATCGCCTCACTCCTCCTCCCCACCCTTCCATGGAGACCATAAACACCACCATCCCTTCCTGCACCATCGACGACTTCACCTTCCTCGACCACGACCTTGCAATTCGACAATTCTGCCCCGCTCGCCTCCAGCAACATCATCACGAAGAACGGGAATCCCCCGGCTCTTGGTTTGAAACCAATAATATCACCCATAACATGGAAGAACAACAACAACAGGGATTTCTCTCAATGATATGGGAGGAAGACCACCACGACTCTCGCCGTTACCACGATCATTACACCACCTCTGCCAACTCTGAGGTGGATGACTTCGTGGCTAGCTTCATTAATGTGGATCCCCGCCAACCAGACAACCATATCACTCACCACCATCTTCATTTCCAAGGCACTACGGAGACCTTCGGTGTCACGTTCGATCGAGATCATGACCTAGAGATGGAGGGTTGCTCCAATTTCAAGGACCTACTAGCACTCCCCTACGAGCAAGAACATGAACAAGAACAAGAACAAGATCGGTTCGTTGTAGCAACAACGATGAGTTACCCTGATCATCAGGATCAGGATAAAGGCGAGCCAGTGGATCAAGGTCTTCAGTTGGTCCACTTGCTACTGGCCTGCGCCGAGGCAGTTGGCTGCCGTGACACTCACCTAGCTCAATCCTTGCTCTCCCAAATCTGGGGATCAGCAAATCCATGGGGGGATTCCTTACAGCGAGTCTCCCACTGCTTTGCCACGGGACTCCAGTCCCGTTTGTCCCTCCTCCTCCACAATGTAAACGCCAACGGCACCTTCGCCAACGGTGGCGCCGCCAACGACGCATCGCCGGCCACCGCAGATGAGAGATTCGAAGCCTTCCACCTCCTCCACCAGACCACTCCTTACGTCGCCTTCGGGTTCATGGCCGCAAACGAAGCCATCTCACAGGCAGCTCAGGGAAAAGAATTCCTTCACATCATCGACCTGGGCATGTTCCACACCCTTCAATGGCCTTCACTCCTCAGAACCCTCGCTTCCAGAGCACAAGGACCACCGAAGAAAATCAAAATCACAGGATTGACCAACAATCCAGGGGATCGGAAATCAATCATGGAATTGGATTCCAGGATGAAATCCCTAACCATCGAGGCACAATCCCTCGGAATCCCCGAATTTGAATTCAACATAATATCCGACTCTGTCTCCCCTGCCCTCTTCACTCCAGAAAAGATGGGTCTAGAAACAGGGGAAGCTCTGTTCGTCAACAGTGTGCTGAATCTCCACAAGTTCGTCAAAGAAAGCAGAGGCTCTCTCAAAGCAATCCTTCAGGCGATCAAGAAATTGGGTCCCACACTGCTTACAGTCGTCGAGCAAGACGCCAACCACAATGGACCCTTCTTTCTGGGGAGGTTCCTGGAGTCTCTGCATTACTACTCTGCCATTTTCGATTCCCTAGAGGCGAGTTTGCAGCGGAGCAGCGTGCAGAGGGTGAAGATGGAGAAGTACCATTTCGCGGAGGAGATTAAGAACATTGTGGCCTATGAGGGTTCCGATCGTGTCGAGAGGCACGAGCGGGCGGATCAATGGCGGAGGCAGCTGGGGAGAGCTGGGTTCCAGGCGGTGGGGTTGAAGTGTATGAGTCAAGCGAGGATGATGCTTTCGGTTTACGGGTGCGATGGGTATACTCTGGCGAGCGAGAAAGGTTTCTTGCTTTTGGGTTGGAAAGGTAGGCCGATTATGCTGGCTTCAGCTTGGCAGGTTCATCCTCATAGTGCTTCTTCAGCTGGTTCCTCGTCGTAGTTCTTCCTTCATTCTTGTTTCTGTCATGTCAAAAAAACTAAAAATTCTTTCTTTCTTCCTTCATATGTTTGGATGATTTATTGTATGGGTAATGCAATAAGATCGGACTTGCCATTGTTTTCAGGACTCTGCTTTGATGTTCTGACATGGTGGAAAGCCTGCAAATTGACTCTTTAGTATGAATGATAAATATCTTGAATCAACACCTCATAATGACCATCGGCCTAAACTAAATATATTGAATCAAGCACCGATGACAGTTTGCTGCATTATTGTGGTTTCTGAAGGTGGACTAAATAAAAATGAACTGGTTGCAAATTTTTTTAGACACATTCTGGAGTTCAGGGAGAACATCCTATTCCATTTCTAAAACATCAATGGAAGAAGCCCTGTCCTCCCTCTTTTACTGTTACATTACCATACAATCAAACTCAAAATGAATCACCTTACCATAACAGCTAAAAGGGGGAACCTTTTTTCTTCAAAGTGGAGTACACAATAAATGGGACATGCCCATTTACTTTGGTGGTTTGTGACCACCATGTCCTTTACTTTGGCTAGCAGCTGCAGCTGACATTGTTCTCAACTGCCCAGCAATCTCGGTGAAGTTGGGCCTTGCTGCAGGATTTGGTGCCCAACACAGCTCCATCAACCTCCTCCATTCTGGATCGCAGAAGCTCGGGATCGTTGGCCTTAGAGTGTTGTTCACAATACCTCCTGCATCATCACCAAATCATTCACACCAGATGTAAACCAACTGTTGTTCAAATCCCAGTTCATATCACTATTTTTATTTCATTCGTACGTGTGAGTATTCAACATACTAAAATGTAAACGGTTCACGATTCCATCTCAGGATTAGGAATTAACATTCATAGTTTATTTTGTTTGTAAACTCTCGAGCTTGACAACAGTAAACGTGTCATCAAATACGAAACTACTCGACTAGATTTATCATGGTTTGTAGAAGGAAATCATACCTATGATTGCACCGTAATGCATGTTAGCATAGGGCTCTTCTCCAGTAAGTATCTCCCATAACACAATCCCAAAAGAGAACACATCAACCTGAGGAAAACATAAATACAGATTTAATCAGACTTCCTACAAAGGGGTAATCAAATTTCAATGAAAAAGTTTGTTTACCTTTTCGGAAACCTTATTGCTGCTGCCGTTAAGCAGTTCAGGGGCCATCCACGGTAAGGTCCCTCGCACGCCTCCAGAGACCAAGGTGTTCCTTTTGATTTTCGAGAGTCCAAAGTCACCAACCTGGTTTTGTGTATTAATGTTAGAATGTTTTACAAAATTCACTCAAGTTTTTAACAATTAGTCTTATCTTCTTCAGCACTTACTTTACAAATAGGTCGTTGTGGATCTTTCATGTTGACTAGCAAGTTGTCACATTTAAGATCAAAATGCACAATGTTCTTTGAGTGTAGATACTCCATTCCAAATGCAGCATCCATAGCAATTAGAAGCCTCTTGCGTCGGTCTAGATACCTACATATTAAGATTCAGTGGAAAATAAACAGACTTGATTCATAAATATCATGATATCTCTCTTAAAAATACCGTACAACTATCTAACCTACTCAATCTCCTAATGCCCATAATCTGAAGAATGTCAAACTCCTTCAAACTTTATGAAAATCAACTAACCTGTCCTTTCGGAGTAAAACATGCCTAAGAGACCCATCAACCATGTATTCGGTCACAGTAGCTAATGTCCCCCCTGGACCATCTTGAACGACGCCATAAAATGCCACCACATTTGGGTGATGCAGCTTCGAAAGAATTTCGGCTTCATGCCAGAACTCTAGAGTCTAACAACAACAAAAAAAAATATACAGAGACCGATATTGATATCAAGCATAAAAGTTCACAATAACCAGAGAAGAAGAATAATTGAATGGTTCCTACAAATATTACCAGTCTTTGTTGCTCTGAGGATCGACCCGTGAAGCAGGTTTTCTTCAGTCTCTTAATGGCAACATCACTCCCTCTCCATTTTCCATGGTAGACTGTCCCAAAAGTACCCGATCCAAGTTCTTTTAGTTCTTCCAGATCTTCATTCTTTATGATCTGAAATGTGAGTCCAGATAAAGATGTATTTATGCCAAGTTTTTTTCCCCACAATGAACACACATTTTATCAAATTGCAATGTCAAAACCATATATACAGTTCTAGTATGAGTTTAAAGCAAACGAAAAGCAATAGCCCGAACCTGTTCCCTAACATACCAAAAGCGTAAGAAGAAAACAAGAACTCAACTTGGTTTGCAGACAATAATTTTATTAATAAACACGGAAAAGATACCTGCAAAGAACTAAAATCAATATCCGCTAGAGAAGGTTTCACAGGAGGAAGACCGATATCCTTGTTTTCCAACTTCAGATCCTACAAGGCATCAGATGAAAACAAAACTCCAGTAAGCGAGCTGAGGAAGGAGTTCTTTTTTCAATTTTGTCCAATAAAGTAAGTACTTATATTCAATATGACCGAGAGGAAAAGTTACCTCATATTCGGATTCAGGTTTTAGGTTCTCAATCATGGCCTCAAACTGCATGCTGTCAATTTCCTTCGCCTGGGGATGATCATAGTCCGATACATTATCAGAAGCTTCAGTGACCCTGGGTGGTAAATTACTCCGACTTTCCTCACCAAAATTAAGTTGAGAATAATCTTGCCTAATTGAAACAACATCTGCTGTCAAAGGTGCAAACTGGCGAGACTCAATATTTTCCCCTTCAATTTGTGTTGATGGAGCAGGGAGATGGTCTTGGTCCATAAGGGAAACATCCGTCCCAATAAATTCTTCTTGTGCCAACTTCTGGAAGTAAGACCACCGTCTAGGCTCATGATTCTCCATGTTCACACTCACACCACCAGCACCATCTATGTGCATTGGAGCAACGCCAGGGGTATTGTTGGAAAACAACTCGGAAAGGAAATCCTGGGGGAATCTGTCATCGATATTGACCACAATATCCACTTGTTTGGCGTCTGTAACAGCCTCTTTGTTTTGCAACAGATCTTCAGAACCCTGAAGCCTACCATTTCCAGGCTCTTCTACATGCAGGGCTTTTCCATCAGCATTGGAGTGTTCATCATGAGGAGTTTGACTACTTTGACCCAACTTTTCAACAGATTCTGCAACCGAATCATGCTCAGGAATACCTGGACGTGAATGAGAACCAAGAATCTGTGGACCAAGGGAGTCATCAGATTTAGATAACCTACTGAACAAGCCCGATTGCTCCCTCGGTAGTCTCTCAGAACGGTATACTCTTTGCGGAGGAATGGTTGACTCGAGATAACTCAAGTCAACAGGATCCGAAACAGAAGGACCAGCAGCAGCACCACCACCAGATGTTGGAAGACATTGAACATCTTCACCCCTAGCCTTGTTTTCAGGTTCCTGTCTCACTCCCTCATTTTTGGAACTAACAGAATGTAAACTTTCAGTCGCTGCTGCCTGTGCCTCATCGACGGGAGCAAGGTAAGAGGTTCTTTGCATCGAGTCAGAATCCTGCTGAATATAGCCATCAGGCTTTATGTTCGCCTCGTTTACTAGAACTTGCGAGTTTGGAGCTTGAAAGTTTCCATATGGCCATCCTTCATTCACCCCTCCTTGTGCGTTAGGCAAGACTCCATAGAATGGCATTGGATAAGAAGTTTCTCCAAACTGAGAGTAATTAGATGAACCATTTTGATAGTGCATAGGCATCTGGATTTCTCCATGATTCGCCATGTGAACAGGATAAAACTGAGGAGCCGCCTCATATTCAAGGGAAGATCTTTGAATTACTGGTGTAGAAGATGCGACAGGTGGAACACTTCTATTAGCCTCCACGTCATCATTTAACCTATCCTGCTCGTCTAAATTATTCCCAGAGGAGCTCCCCAAGCCTTGCAAAACTGAACCTTTTCTAGATCCAATGTCCATTCCATTTATAGCAACCACAAATTGAATCTCGGAATCACCTTCCGTGCTTCCTATGCCAAACTGAGACTCATCCAAATCACTCATGGAGAACAAAAACATCCTTAGCTTCTGAGACCCTTCTTTATCCTCAACCTCACTCCATTCCTCCATCATATTCTGCAGATCCTCGTCGCATGAAACGGAAACTAATGCATCAAGATCTTCACCAGGAAGTTGGTACTTTATCACATGAGCCTCACTATAAATGGCCAAAGTTTTATGCCTCAGCTCTTGGAATGAAACATCCCTACTTATGCGTATAATTCGTGTCTCACCTCCGACATACCTTAGCTTTCCATCACTAGGCCGGGGTAGGATTTTACCACCAAAGCTACAGAGGACTCTCATCTTGGTCAATGAACCAGAAGCCCCAGAAGATGGATAACCATTTAGAGTTCCTCTACTATCATATCCCGAATGAGACCGTGGTATCGACGGAACTGAACCATAGATGCTTCTGTCTTCAAGTAGAGAAGAATTTGTTCTCTCAAATTCTTTACCTTTCTCAACAATGGTGACCATAGATATGTCGGACCCACTTTCTGATCCTGTATGACTAATGCCTAGAATGCCCTTCAGTTCCATATAACCTGTAGCGTAGTTGGGCTCAGCACCGCTGTTTGGGAACAAAGAATTCTTGGGATTAACTCGGTCACGCATGAATTCCAGGGCGAATTCCTCCCCAGTCTGTAGTGAGAAATTACGTACGGGTTTGACTTCAGACAGATTTTGGTCAGGGTGTAGTATCAAGTGTGGATATCCACTGCTTGTAGGGTCCACTGTAAATGCTTGGGAAGAAGGGTGGAAACCTTCCAGTCCATGTTCCCTGGGATCATATTGGTGATGGACCCCGGACTGCTCCATCACGATATTTGAGAATCCAGTCAACTCAATTCAGAATTGCATACCGAGTGTCCATGGCATAAATGCCTAATCACAAAATTCAGCTGCCGAGGTGGAACAATAACAAACTCAATCGGGTATCAAATCCAGTAATCCTTGACCGGTACTACAATTTTCTAATACATCCTGTAAAAGCAACACAAAGTGAGAACAGAGAAGGTAAAGCAAGTCCCACACAAAACAAAAAAGAAGGCTTCATAGTAAGTGCATACATTCATATACAGCAAAAAGTCCACCAACTATATCTACAATAGAACATTCCATCAAACTTATTAAAAACTAGCTTCTGCCGTTACAGGAAGCCATAGTTGAAACCCCAGAACAAAGCATGCAACCATCGTTGGAACTAAGAATTTTTAAGAGCAACAAATTAGCAATAGGTCAAACCAACTACAGCAATTACATAACTTTCTGGTTCTGGCTACTAGTCTTTCATATATAAATCTTTATAGGTTTCGGTGAATCTTTCCACCATCCAACTCCCACTCACTGAGATAGTTTTGGTAGGCAAGAGACTCTACCTAAAGGGAAAACATAGATGAGACATCTGATTTGTAATCTGCCTCATGTTTTGAACCTGGTTGCAGCTTGAAATACTGACACTATCACACTTGTTTGTGTTCCAGACTATCATGGAAATCGATCGTCGTCAAGAAATGAACGACCTTTAAACCCTACAAACATCTAAAGCAGCCGAATCCTCAATTGAACTAGGAAAGATTGCAAGCAGAAGCATGCATCTTCCCCAAATGCGAGGATGAAGAAAGAGCCGAGTTCAAATTCAGCCAGAGCAAAAGGGGAGATTTTTGTTTGGTTAAACCATGGCATTACCAGCAAAAAATCAATCTAGTCAAAAGAAGATTGAAAACAAAGGAATCACTGATAGGCGAATCCCAACAGTAGAAAATGAGTTAAGCCTGCTGCAGATTTTGAAGCTCAGCAGCCATATCAGAAAAACGAAAACTAACAGCAACGCTTGATTCAGAGTTAAAGAAAAGCAGCGAACTTTACACACAGATCAAACAAAAATGCCTTCAAATCAGAAGCTTGAATCGACTGAGTCTCTCAGATGTAGTTAGAAAGGAATAGTGCGCAGTGCGTAGCTTACCTGGAGAATGGGAAATGGCGATTCGAGGAGGAGAAAAAGTAAGGTTCAGGGTTTCGAGATGGGATTTGAGAGAAGCGGGTGAAAGAAATTTTAGCAAATTACAGTGTGGAAGGAGGGCATTGGGACGAAGACAATAAACAAGGTGGTGGTGGGTGGACCAAAGTTCAAATCTTTAGAAACCATTCTTCCTTCCCCCTCTCGCTTTCCATCTTTATCATCGACGTTCAGCGCTCTATTTCTCTCTCTCTCTCTGGCTCCCGTTGTTTCTTTACTTCCCTTCCCACCTCCCATCGGCATTTTTGCTTATTCTTTTTAGATCCAATAATCAATTTCCAGGGACTTTTTTTTTAATTTTTCATTAAAAACGAATCCTATTTGTGCGAATAAATAAAGAACTCTACTTTATGTACCATTTAGATTTTAGCTATAACTAAACTAAAGATTAACATAATGGTCAGACCTCAGAAGAAGCCAAGAAAGGGAAGCAAAGCAGGGCCTTTCTTCCCGCCGCATTTTTATATTTACCCAGAATCAAATTGTTGCTCTGTTAGCTTCACAGATTGACTATGATTCCCCTTCCTATTTCTGTCAGTAAGACAAATAATTAACCACAAAAACAACGAAACACACACTAAAAATTCGCATGTATATGATTAGAGACGATTGTGATTATGTGCGGAAGAAATGGGTAAACGGGCAGATGGGGCATTGGATCATGTGAGCAGCTTACAGCAAAGATGGACTAATAATCAATTACAAGTATAGTTAAAGCAAGCCTGTCTGTCTATTATGTCTCCCCTCTCCATCTCCACCGCTCAAGAAGCCATTAATTAGACTCCATCCTCCATATCACTGCCGCCCTCACCATAACCAATGGAGAAGAGATCTTTCTTATTGTAATCTATCTCTCACATGTTGGACTTTTATGAGGAGAGCATCTTAATTAAGCTTAACGATGGGGTCGCGGACTTGGAGGTTTGTTTGCTTTATTGCTTTTGCTTATTAGACGGTTAATTCGTTGAACCTTAGCCGGGGGCAGAGGTAAGCTTGTATCCCAATCAGCTTAGGCCAGGAGGGATTAGATTGGACTTGGGATTTGCCATTTGGATTCCCTTTTGTCCATTGCACCAAACTCAAATAATTAAATTATAAGCATACATGTCTTGAATCCATAATTATTTCTTGTTCGGTTTAGTTAGTAATTTCGTAACTAAAGAGAGATTTTCTACTTGAAAATTCAAACAAGATTTAGCTCGCTCACCACATATATTTCAAAGAAACAATCTCTTAGCACCATTTTTTAAACTGCCTTGTCATGGGTTGGGGATGGTGGAGTCGTCCTATTCCTATAGTCATATGAATGCTCATGGACCATGTTAAAGCTTTCCTTATCCACTAGACGGAGGGTGGTAGCTAAATGACTGACAGTGACAGCGAGTTTACTTGGAAATCATAATTAATAATATTAAACATGATGATGAATGGTCGGCCCAGGAAAATAAAAAGCTTGCGCCTTTGATTGTGCTGTTCTTGGCTCTTTGCTGTTGGTGGGTTGGCTGGCTGAAACAAATTATAATTTTGTGGTTGTGGCTCCCATGACCATTGCACTCCTTCACATTTTGTTGGTTCCAATTAAAGCAATGGAGTCGGTGCCTCCCTTCGCCTACAGATGGAGACTAATATTCACGTTTTAAATGACAGTCTCTCTCTCTCTCTCTCTCTCTCTCTGCTCAATTAAGTTTGACCATTTCTGTATCAACTTGCAATCTGCAACATGCTTACAAATGACAATGTGGTTATGGTATACTACTTCTCCCTTTCATCAATGACGTTTTGGTTTAATGTAACTACACATCAACTGGTTCACAATGGGCCCCCAGCAAGACGTCATTCACCTCAGCCCGCATCGTTGGCCCAAACCCGCAGCGATGGCCCAATAGAATAAGGGAGTTGGTTACTTACCTTGGCGCCGACTGCCAGGAAATACAGCGCGGCAAAGAAACAGAAATGTCAGGATTGAGGCGCTGCTGTTACGGCTTCCCTTCTCGCCACTGCTTCGCTACAGTTCACCAAACCCTAATCAGTTATCGATGCTCCGATTCCAGGCTTCTCCTTCCCACTACTGCATCGCCGTTGAATTCCCGCCACCCCATTTCCGTTTCCGCGCCATTGAAGAAACGAAGCTTCTCCGCTCCCGCCGTCGATTATCCTCTCTCGGGTAATGCCTGCGTTGCCCCAAAGTTACTATTTTTCTTTTTCGGGTTTGCTTCTTTTCTGCACTGTTTAATTTTTGATACAGGAGTCGACTGACGTTCTGGTTGGGTATTTGTCGGGGAAGAAGAAGGCAACTGAAGTGGCTCATTTGTAGGTAACTTCTCCCCCTTTGCCAACCTTCCTTCTCTCCTTGGTACTGGATGCAGTTCGCGGGGATTTAGAATCCTTTGCGTTCTAGATGAATCATGACTACGGATAATTGATAATTGTAAGCATTTTGCCAACCATGTAGAATCCTTCCTTAATCTAGGCTGGCTGATGTCTTCAGGGTTTGGAGGCGTGTGGTTCAGCCAGGGGATACAGTGGTAGATGCCACTTGTGGCAACGGTCATGACACTCTAGAGATGGTCAAAATGGTTGCTGATGAATCGGGCAGAGGGCGTGTTTACGGACTGGACATTCAGAAGGATGCTTTGGACACTACTTCATCTTTGCTCAATGAGAGTCTCAGTCCCACGGAGGTAGGTACGCCGTCGTCTATTGGTTCTTCAAGCAAAGAGAAGTAGTGTCAAAAGCTTCATTGAACCTAATGGAAATCTTGTAGTGATTTGTGACTGCTAAAACCAAATGTAGCAATAGATTTTGGCTGCCATTTGTGTTGTGGTTTTTAAAGTTTTTGAAGGAGTAGAGAGAAACACTGGTTTTGGTTTATAAAAAATGTTCCTTTTCATTACCAAATTTCTCTTCGTGTTCCCATTGTTATGAGATATGCCTTCTAGTCCATTCCTGCTTGCTGAAGCTCTTGTAACATGCAGAGAGAACTTGTCAAGCTTTCCGGTATCTGCCACAGTAGAATTGAAGAAATAGTACCAGAAAATAGTCCAGTTAGGTAAATAATTGGCTAGCATTATCAAAGCTTATCAACTCAAAATAGGTTTGAGCAGGTTAACCTATCTTGTAGTGGTTTTTACTGCAGGCTTGTGGCATTCAACCTGGGCTATCTTCCAGGGGGCAACAAAAATATCATCACAGTTCCACAAACAACCCGGTTAGCCTTAGATGCAGCCAAGAGGATTCTTCTAGCCCCCAGAGGACTCATCAGTTTAGTTGTTTATGTAGGGCATCCTGGTGGAAGGTAACTTTTCACCATGCAGCTGTTCCAAAATCAAGAACACTATTAGCCCACATCTGATTATCTCTGTTCTGTTCTGTTGGCTGTCGATTACATACAGGGAAGAATTGGAGGCTGTTGAAGGTTTTGCTTCAGGATTACCTGCTGATGAATGGAGCTGCTGCAAGTTCCAGATGTTAAACAGACCTTCAGCTCCTGTATTGGTTTTCTTGTTCAAGAGATGACTTGATGATTAAGCTGTTATTCTGCAATCTTTCTTGTAAACAAAATGTTTCAGGTTGATTTTTTAAGGCAATTTCAAGTCATGTTGATCAGCTGCCAAAAGTTACATCCAATGCTCACATATTAGGGCCACTTCTCCACAAGAAATAGAGGTTTTAGCTTTTAGGCGGGGGGAAATTGGTGGCAAAAACGATAAATAATCGATCACGATGGGACTCGAACCCACAATCTCCCGCTCCGGAGGCGAGCGCCTTATCCATTAGGCCACGCGATCATTTGCTAACAATTTTTTGAATACTGTGTATGTTCACTAATAGAGGAACCTCAAAAGACAGGCTAGATAACATGATGAACGTACCAACCCAACAATGTGCACTTCTGTTTATTGCTGAAAAATGGGAAACAATGGAAAACAAAAGCAACGAACCTGCAAAAACTACAAGGCAAGATCTGATCATCTGAAACGAAACATGAACAACTGGGTTTCTAGCTTAAAGCTAGGCTAAAACTCATCATCATCAAATCAAACTTTCTTGGCCTTGTGTCTATAAAGAATGCGCTTCTTCTTGAACGATGGGTTGTCGATGGTGAGCAGAATCTTGCCAGGCTCACCATTCCTAAAAGAGTTGCGAATCGTGCCTTCCTGCCACGCGATCTTCTTCGTCTTCTGAACTATTACGGTGTAGGATCGCTCGTTGCTGGGTACGAATTCCTCCTTGTAGCTCACTTCCCAGGCCGACACCGTGAGATCCCACACCATCGTCTTCCCTCCCTCCGGCGCCGGAATTTCGATGACCTCCGACGATCCTGCCTTCACCCACGTCTCCTCTGCCACGTCCTCTGTCCCGAAATCCGGGTCGTTGTCCATCTTCAGCCCGCCGTACCGGACTGGAAGCTGCTCGGCCGCAATGTACCTGGGAATCATAAACAATGCCAAGTAAGATTGAGATCAAATTGTAGATTGGAGAAAATGGGTTAGCAGGGTTCTTACTTGAGTAGGATCTCTGCCACCTTGGAAGTCCTAGCTTGGATGAACTTGTTCTTGGTCCTTGGAGTAAGGAAAGGAGACAAAACTGTATTGAAGGCATAGTACCACAATGGCACATTGATGAATATCTACAAAAAAACAAACAGATTGAAGAAAATGTTTGCATAAGTGCAGAGCTGATTAGGAAAGCACAAAAGGGGTTAAAAAGAAAACAGAGCAGAAGAAGGCATACGTTTTTGGAAACGAATTCAGGGTAATTATCCTGAAGAGTTTCAGCAACTTTCCTGGTAGTCAGCCTGATTTCCTTCTTACTCGGCAAAGGAGTGTTCTTCAAATCATTAATCTGCAGAATCTCACAACTCCCACCAGGGTTGAAATCCAACTCCTTCACGGATTGCTCCATCTTCCTAATCCGCCACCTCAAGAACCTCTCCCTCTTTTCTTCATCCCCAAGCAACTTATCCGCCGATTTGTCAAATCCCAGCAATCCATACACGTTGTAACAGATCGGGTTCCCTTCTCGATCGCGGCCTTCCATGTACACCACCGGTTCCAAAATATCTGTTTGCGGATCCTGTTCCTCCAGAATCGAATCCATGTTGTTCTCCTTCCTCCATTTCAACGTGTTCTTCAGCATCTCGAACGCCTCGTCCACTCTGAACTCCCTAGCCCTCAGGAATTTCAGCAGAATCACCTCGGTGCTCGCTTCGCCTTTGCTCGGCATCAATGGCGCACCCCACAGTGAAATTTCTTTGTCAATGATTCCCATTTCCTTCTTCTTCATCATCATTTCCTCTGCTTTTGAGGAATCCTCTGCCTCCTTCTGTCCCCCTGTTTTTGGCTCTGCATCAGCAGTAACGTTAGAGACATTTTGATCATCGATCATGATCTCTTTCCCTTTACTTTCCTTCACGGTCGGAGCTTGATCGGCGGTTATTTTCTCGTCTTCTTGTGATATTGGTTTACTACTTTCTTCCTCTTCTTTCTTGAGCTCTTGGTTCTCCTGTGAGGGTTGTTGTTGTTGTTGTTCGTCATTCGTTTTATCGTCGTCGTCGAAGAATTTGTTGAGGAGGATTGCTTCTTCGATCTTGGATTTGAGCTCGAGCAATGCCTTGCGCTCGTACTCTTTCAAATCGGAGAGGAGAGTGGTTTGTTCTTGAGACGAAGAGCTCTCTTCGATGTCGGACTTCTCTGCTTTGGTCTCAATCCCATCAGCAAATTTCACCTCTTTTAGCTTCACCTCATCCTTTCCCACTTTGGGCTCCTCAGACTTATTTGCTTCTTCTTCTCCTTCTTTTGCTTCTTCTGGTTTTGCAATGTCAGAGGAGGCAGAGAGATCTTTCTCCACTTGAGCTTCATTCCCTTTTGCTGCCACCTTTTCGTCTTCTTGGTTGTGTTGTTGTTGAGTTGGTGGAACAACAACATCAACACTACTACGATCTACAGCGTTAACACTATTGGCAGATGTTTGCTGCAATGGCGGTTCCTGTTGTTCCTTCACTTGTTGTGAAGGAGAAGTTGCAGCATTTACCTTTTCTGCAACATCCTTGGCAGGCTGTTGTTGTTGTTGTTCATCAGTCTTCTTCTGTTGAGGAGGAGCATTGGGTTCTTCTGATGGGGAAGCTTTAGTGGTGGTACTGGATGATGATTTTGGTTCTTCTGTTGTTAGGGGAGACTTTGAGTCTGAAGAATTTGCAGCATTTGTGGTCGTTGTTGTTGTGGTTGTGGTTGTTGATGATGCTTCTTTTGGTGAGGAAGCTTTGGATGGCTGTTGCTGTTGTAGTTCTTCCATCTTCGTGGGAGGATTCGAATCGGACGAATTTGCAGCATTCATTATTTTTGTGGTCAATGATTCTCCTTTTTGTGGGGAGGATTTGGTGGTAATGGTGGTGGAGGAAGTCTGTTGTTCTACATTCTTCGAGGGGGTCTTCGAATCGGCCGAATTCGCTGCATTCGTTGTTGATGATGAGGGTGCTGCTTCTGGTTTCAATTGTTGTTGCTGTTGTTGGTCTTGTGGTGATTGTTCTGAGATTTGGGAAGGCTTGTCAGAAGCCATTGGAGGATGTTCTTTGATGCTTTCAGATGCCATAGTTAAAGAGCCACAAAGGGACGGGACCAATTGTTATTTTGGGATCTGCCTGTGATTCACAAGCAGAAGAGGGAAGGAAATGAAAGGAAAAAATGGGATGGGTTCTTTTTTTTTGCAATAGCAATAGGTAATGGAGAATTTTTGCAAATAGCTAAAGCTATGGAAAGGTGATAAGAGAATAGTAAAAACAAAAAAAAAACAAAAAAGGATATTTTAAGAAGAATGAATTTTGAACTCGAAGATAAAGGATCAAGTAATGACCTCATACATTCCCTATTTTGTCGTATTACGTTTACTTTTTCTAAGCTTAGTTGCTGAGTTTTCATGTCTTGTGGTTCGTTTCTCAATTTGACGACCAAAATATGGACTATACTATACTTAGAGCGGTTTTTTCTATTGCTTTGGATTAGCGTTTGTGTTTTGTTGGCTTGTTTTGATTCCCCCCTTTTTTGGCCTTTTATTTTGTTGTATTTGGCTTCGTCGATTGGATTTGGACTCCTTTTTGTAGACGACATTGACTAATTACTATTTAGATTCATCTCATCGTCTATATCTTCATAATGAGTTTTGGATGAGATACACAATTGTCATATGTTAATTATGTCACCTAGGGTAGGTTATTCTTATTAGTCGATTAATATAACTCACTGATGAGTTCTAAAAATCTCACTGATCGTTGTTTTCTCTCGACAAGTCAAGCACCCATCATTCATTATGCTTCTAAATAGTGCGAGTTGACACATCACGTGCCCACCAAGGATGTTTTAGTGCGATATGAAGGCTCAATGAGTTATTGCGAATTATTATGAAGGTATAGTTGATTTTCCCCCCGGGATTGTTTGCTTCAAGAAGTAATACGAATTGGTGTTTGACACATGATTTTTTTTTTGTGCATTTTCATGAGCGCAAAGTACACAAATACTTGCACGGCATGTAGGGTGTGTGAAGTTCAGCATGGTCTAGGAAGAGCTCTCGGGAAGGAAGTTCGACAACTATATTTGTCTTTTGGTTTGTTTTCTTATACTCATACTCCATGTCTGTTCAAAGGGAGCTTATTTAGTGGCGAACACACCCTCTTATCGACAATTCAACTGTTTGTCAACTGGCCCGTCTGATTAGGCAATGTGTTTTATACTAAACTTATATTACTATTACAGGAAGAAAAGAAAAAAAATACTTAATTACAGTCTTCTTTGTCTAACATAAATGTGTTACAACCTCTAAATTTAAGATAATTCAGAAAGAAGAATCTACTACCAATTCATTTGGCAAGCATTTGGTCAACTCTCACAACTCACTATCTATATCACGGAGATCACAAATTATGAAGTATATCAACCAAAATATGTGCAATTTATCACCCAATTATATGATACTCAATAGTCAATACCACCATGTTTCTCTTTCGTTTATTTCCACAGCTCAGGAGAATCAAACAAGAAAGATCCTAGAACTTTTAATGTCAAAAGACTTTTAAGAGACTTGAGGAATTGCTCAGGTCAGATGCAACACAACTTGCCTAACAAGTAACAACCCGAAAGGAAACAGGCAACAACAAGACAGAAAACTCTATTCATTCACTGTTCAACCATTCTAGGATTACACCATTGTTGGTCACAGTTACATGTGTTGCAGAATTAGCAAAGCTTCCCCGCCACCACCGTGCCATGGACAGCAGCAAGGATTAGGGCCTACAACGACGTCTCAACAGGTGTCTCCGGATGAGCACCCCATTCTGTCCAAGACCCATCGTACACTGCCACGTCGTGTTTGCCAAGTCGGTGCAGTCCCTGCAATTCAAAACCAGCATCGTAAGTGTTGATTTTAAACCAATCATACACAGACAGCTTCTGCCATTCTCTTCTACGTACAGCATGGGAAAGGGACTTTTTCCGGTTCTTAGGCACTGTCCCGCTACAATTTAGATTCGAATATGGATTGAGTAAACATAACGACCTAAGAACCAGAGACTGAAAAGAGTTTAAATTTACCAAAGCAAGGATGCAAGCAGTTACGCCAGTTCCACATGAGGTGACAACTGGGGATTCCAAAGAGATGCCTGTAGATGAGGAACAGGTAGTCTTGATCAGTGGACCTTTTTATGATTATCAGTATTCAAAGTCAAAACAAATTACGAAAGGACTAAATTGATAGAGGATAGGCCATAACATGGACAACCCAACAACTGACCTTCTTCATCAAATCGTTTCTTTAACTCCTCTGCTGGTAACAGAGTCTGTGATGAGTCGAGCATCTGCAAGGAAACCAAAAGTACACAATGATGACAAATGATAAAGACATAATAAAATTAGTACCTACGATCTATTGATAATAGCAATGGACCAACAGGTTATCTTCTACCTGAGGAAAAGGAATACACTTGCTTCCAGGTACATGACCACTTCGAACACCCTTTCGTGGTTCCGGTGCAGCACCATCGAACCTGCAAATAATGAAATTGTCCATCAACCTACTCGTAAAGACCGATGTGAAGATAGAGGCATACAATTATTAAATATTTTAATCTTCAAAAACCAGCAGCACCCTGAAGAGATTATAATCAGGAAAGACATTGTCGCAAGAATACCTTGGTTTTGAACGGGCATCTATTTGTTGGTAAGTCGTGTTCTCAATGTTCTCCTGAACCTATAAAATGCAACATGTATCTTTCAACATGTGAAGTATCACAACTAAGTACTAACATAGGTGAAGTTGTATTAGTGCTGCACTGAGATGGAACTAGCTCTAGGAATTCAGCCAACCTGCTCAAGAGTCCAGACAAGATGGGGCAGGAACTTAGTTTCAAATGTTATTGGCCCTACCTGCAATGCGTACAAACAAGAGACAAAGCACTGATGTCATCAACTAGACGCACTAAATGTAGAGAAACATAACCAATAATTTGAAGGACCGAAACCAAGGTTGTTTGTAGAGAAACATCAACTACAGGCCATGTTTATCAGTACATCTACACACCATACGCACTTACAGGTTGGCCTCGATATACTTTCTGAATTGCTTCACTAGCAGCACTAGCTTTCAAGATGGCATCACTAGAAGCACTAGATTCAACATCATACCCTGAAGCACGCCATCTAGGAAGGCCTCCATCTAACACCCAAACCTTGTCATGTCCAAAAACTCTGAACATCCTTCGCAACAAGTTCAAGAAAGGAGAGTCAAGTTTTTTAACATAAACACGACAACTGCGAAAACAAGTACAAAACCAATATCACACAGCTTACCACCAGACACGAGCTGCACTGAAAATCCCCTTCCCATCATATACAACCACTCCGTCTTTATTTTCAATTCCTAGAGAAGAAACAGCAGCTGCAAAAGCTTCCTCCTTTGGCAACATGTGTGGCAACTGTTACAGACACAGCTTTCTCCAATAAATACAAGAAAGATGAGATCAACCTAGTTACTGATATGTAGTTCATTGCTATAATACCTACGCCCATATGGTTCCTAGCTTGTCATCTAGACCACTATAGTAAATGTGCATATCCTTAGATATGCAGGTTGAAAGAAGAAGTAAGAATGTGATACAATTCACAAGCAAATAACAATTTTCAGATGTTCATGAAACAGATTAAAGATCTTACGTTTGTATTTTGATCTGATATACCATCTACATCAAAGAACAGAGCCCCTGGAATATGAGCAACCTGTTGAACAAATAAGATATTACACAGAGACGTCAAGTTTTAGAATTGTTCTCTGCAAGAATCTAGCATAAGGAAGGGATAGAGAGAGGTGGGATGGGACGATGAATAAGTGCACCTGATACTCCTGAATTGGGTTCCTCTGCTCATCAGGCATATACCAAGATGCATCAAGAACCTGAAGTTAACAAAAGGAGAAAGAAATTTAATGAATTTCCACAAATGAAAAGTCTCGTAAACTGTAAACTCATTCTATCCAACTACCTTTATGCCAGGCTCCCTGAGGTTGGAATGGAGCCAATCAACAGAAACAACAGGTTCATTGGTAGATAACGACTGTGTGGAGAAAGTAGCTTTTCCTCCTAACGTGGAAGCCATAATACGAGGAACCCAACTTGTTGCCTTGTAAGATGTTCTGGTGAGGTTACTACAATGGTGAAACTGCGCCTTCTATAAGTAAAATCAATAGAAATTCAATCAGGACCACAAAGTGAAAGATGGACAGATGATGCTGCGCCAGCAAACTTTCTTGGCAGACACCCCCAACCCAAGGACCATCAACCCCACTATGTAAGGTAAATCAACCATAAAAGATTTGGCTAGAAATGAATAGGTTCACAAGCAATTCTGAACGATCAACCAAGAGAAATGAACTCTATTCATTCTTCATTTCAGGCACCAGAAACGAAAGAATTCTCCCTACAGCCACCACACTATGAACTGAAACATCAGTCTCATGGAAACCTGATCACTAAACGTAACCCAATCATCTCAATAGATTGGGAATTGTTTCGACCAGTTCAAGAACGAATTTACATTAACCAGCTCGATACCCCTATTTCCTGCCGTAAGCATAATGAAACAGCAACGAAACCTCTACAAGAAAAAGGCAGAAAACAAGGAAAGGTAGAGCCCAATCCAGCCGTATACGCAAATAACGAAGAAACCACCGGATACATATCTCAGTTGAAAGTGGAACCCGATATCCAAATTACCTTGGAGTTCAGGCTGAAGAGAGCACCGAATTGCTGGGGAGCGTAGCAAGAGGAGGAGAAGGATTGGGTCGCGCGCCGACCTAGAAGAATCGACCTGGATATACTGCTGGATGCCATGTTACTCGCAGACCATAGAAATAGATGAAACGTCGATAGAGAAAGGGAGTCGAGTCCGTCCCCCGCGCTGCAGTGGAGAGTGAAGGCAAAAGATGACAAAAGAAAAGAGACAACTGTGCTACTCTTCTGTCCGCTTGTGCCGCTTGCCGAGTGCCAATTTAGTGTCTCTTTCCCGGCTCGGCGGCTCCAGCCACTGTATCGGTACTCTGTAGATGACGAATTGACGATGGTGGCGCCGGCGGGGTTCTCATTACAGGCTAACGCCCCGGAGCCCGGTTACCATCTGAAATTGGACTGGACTTTCGCCTCGGCCCAAAAATAGTTGAACTGACATCAGATGGAGTTATGGGCCTTGAATCTGAGCCCCATTACATCCTCCTCACCTGTTTATATTACAAGATAGACCAAACAAACCTGGCTGCTCGACAACAAAGAACAAACTATACAGAATTACACTGGAGTTGGGGATATGAAACTGCAGAATGTATATGATCTGGGAAACAATGGTACTGAACGTCTTACAAAGAGAATAATCAAGCTGGTACAAGGAGCCTATACCAAACCACAAACAAATCAAAACGGGAACCACTGATTCACAGCCTTTCTCGATGCCTGAGCTAATCTCTTCAACCCTTTGGCCTTCTCGTAAAACTCCATCAACTCCTTGGCAACATCCTCGGGATGACACAAAATAAACACCTTGATCATTCTCTTCTCGCTCATCTTGATGACCTTCAACAGCAACGGCCCTTCGATCCTCGGCTCGAGACCCATCTCGTCTATCTTCCCAGCAAGCAGAACTCGAGGCTTCATAACCGCCTCCAGGCTAGCATAGATCAACGCCGGGTAACTCAGCACAACACTCGCCGGAAGCTTCAACGTGCCCACGACGTAAGTCATGTTTCTCTGGACCTTATCGACTGCCAGCGTCAACAGATAAGGCGAACGCCCCACGAGTTGCCAGACTTCTTCTTCTTGAAACCCGAACTTCTCCAAGTTGGCAACTTTGCCAAGCAGAGTCTCTGTTTTCGAAATGCCCACGATTGTGACTATGTACTTGTAAAGCTTCGAGCTTTGGGGGACCCCGGTTTTGTGGATGAACTCCAACTTCTCGTCGTCGAATTGGGTTCTCGCGATCAATGCAGGACGAGACATGAGCATTTGGGCGAAGCTTTGTTTGTTCACACCCATGGATTCGTACAACGCGACCACTGGTTTGATCTTGTTGTGGAGGTCGTATCTCAACAAGGAGGGATTCCCCACGATGGCTTTAAGGACCATCTCCTTTGACCCGAACAACTCAGTGAAGTAGTCCATGCGCTCATCGAAGGATCCGTTGATGCTGTAGCTTAGAAAATGCGGGCGGCAGTTGATGATCTGAACAAGGTGGGATGCGTTTAAGCCCAGGTTTTGGAGGACAGTTAATTTGGAGTGGAGAAGGGCGACCCTGGCATTTCGCAGAGCCGGCCTGCGGGAGAATATCTTGGCCAAATCGCTGTCCTTGCATCCCCATCTCTTGAAAACCTCTACGGAGTTCTTGGGCGATGCTTCTTCTGCTTCTTCCTCTTCAGCTTCAGTCTGGCATTTCGTCGAACAGGTGGCGGCTGACCTCGTGAGGCAGAGATCAGGAACTCTTCGAACTGCGTTTATGCTGAAACAGATACACCGTTGTGAAGCATAGGAGCTGAATCGGAGTTCTGATAAGAAGAATCGAGTCAATTTCATTTAATTGCAGGTACTTCAGGCGGTGAAGCCAGAGCTGAGAAGCTTGAACAAACAACACGCGCCGCTGCTTTTTCGTCGGAGGTCTCTAAAGCTCAACTGCCAGGTTCTCTCGGCGGGGAAAACGGTAGTTAATAGGCTGGTTGGTAGTTTAGAAAATGCGAACTTCAGCCGCCAGGACTGATTCTCGCCGGAATCAATGGAATTGGGAATTTGGGATGCAATTCCGCGAAGACGACACTGAAACGGAGCCATCATCTCTCGGCTTAACAGTTAACACTTACCCGATAGTTACGCGGGCTTTCTGTATGCTAATGCTACAGTTACGCGGGTTTCAGCCCAATGAATTTTTCCCTCGTGAAAGGCCCAATGAAATCAGGTAAACAACAAAATTCGATAACAGCGATTAATTTAACAGAATTGGATTGTCACCTGGGAGGCTGGGACTAATTCGATGAAATTTAAAAGACAGTAATCAACGATGAAACAAGATTTAAAAATGATTACTAATTAAAGAAAAATGTGATTTAGACAAAAATGCCCTCTTATCCTTCAGTAAATAATCACCGAAGGAATGAAATTATGCAATAAAAGTATATATATTGGGGGCCGTCTTCTGAAATCTTGCTTCACAATACATGCACTTGATACCAGTAGATCTATAAATTACTTTATTTTAAGAATCCATAGTCATAGACACAGCGAATTCATAGTTATATTGTTACAAGCCTCTAACGAGGTACAAGTTTACGACGTACCCCTTCGAAAGATCAAAATTTTCTCTCAAAATGAACATAATTTGAACTTGCATTGCATTCCAGAAGCCTTTCATCCTCGTTTGTTCTTCTTAAATTTTCTGGGATGGTTATCTTTGCCGCCTAGATATCTCTCAACCTCCTCATCTTGCTCATCTCCTCCTCCTCCACCCCGCCTCTTCCTGTTGCCACCACTTTCTTTCAATTTCTGTACAAATGATGAGGACAGCATGTCAGTTAGCAAAACCCACTCGTTCTGCTGCTATAACCCATTTCTCTATTCTACTAATACAACACAGAGGCAAAATGTAGAGAAGTTCAAATACCATCTGGGAAATTCTTTTGGCTTCCGTGACTCTTTCGAGCAACAACAGTACCTCATCGTTCTCAGCAGGAAACTCATCCAACTTTCTACCTGCAATATGCCACAAAACCACTCATTCAGCAACACAAGCATATCGAGCCTGACTTCTTTTATATTATTTCCCAAGAGGAATACTGAAATGTATGGCATACCGATAAGCTTCTCTATTTGTATATACCACTCCAGTTCATACTGATTCACTAGGGAGATTGCAACCCCAGACCGCCCTGCACGAGCAGTTCTCCCCACCCGATGAATATAGTCCTGTTAGTGCAAACAAAAAGCATTAGTTCGCCTCCACTATGCCACACAACAATATCATGTTATCTACATTCTAATGAAACTAGATGTGCACCTTTGAGTTTGTAGGGATGTCATAATTAATAACCATATCCACGGAAGGTATGTCGAGTCCTCTACTTGCCACATCAGTGCATATAAGGACATTGCACTCTCCAGCTTTGAACTTGTTCAAGGCTCCAAGTCTCTTGGACTGTTAAAAAGATATTTCCAGTAACAAGTTCAGTTACCAGTGGTAGTAAGGAATTGGTGAGAACTAGGGCATGGTGGGGAAGAAACATGTACAAAAGGATACAAATAAAAGAAATTATACCTGTGTCATGTGGCCATTGATCGGGATGGCCCTCATACCCAAATTTCTAAGAACCAAAGCCAACAACGTTGTTGCATCACATGTTCGAGTGAATACCATGGAAGTACTTCCAGACATTTCAGTCAATATGTAGACAAGATAGCAGTCCTGGGAGCACCGAAAGATACAATTTGAACCATGGATATTAGTCCATCATAGACTTCAAACAGATCTTTCCCGGCAAATGATACACAAAATAGGTACCAATAAGCCACCAGAAAAAGCAGGTGAGTAAAGACCTTATGCTTGGCTGGAATGAAGCAGTATTGCTGCTTCAGTGTATCCACGGTAGAGTATTTGGATGCTGCTTCTATCTGGAACAACAATATAAGTAATGCATGTTATTGTGACAAATATGGAAAAGAAGGGAAACCAAAAAGAGGAAACAGCAATCACGGCCAGAATCAATAATGTACCTTCACAGGATTCTTCAAGCAAGCCCTCTGAAGTTTCTTTACCTGCACGCATAATACAGAGAGTGTTCAATATTTCAAACATCTTCAGCAAGAAAGTAGTCTCATCCTGTATCCCGAACCGACACAAGACTCCGAGAGTAATAAAATGAAACACACAAAGGTCAGATATATATTTAAATCAAACACCTTTTTAGTCATTGTAGCAGAAAACAAATATGTTTTCCGGTCTTGCGGGATAGAACTAAGAATCTCATCAAGTGACTTCTCAAAGTCCTCATTTAGCAACCTGTCAGCTTCATCTAAGACCTGCTCAATCAGTACAGTTGTAAGAAAATCAACAGACTAATCCAAACAAAAGGAAAAGATTCATTTCACGACCCGGCGATCATCCATCGACCAAGTTCACTCTGATTCTAAAACCTATTAGAAACTCTTAAAAGAAGTCCTCAATAGAACATACCAAATACTTTAATGTCCGGAGAGAGAACCCTTTTGTGTTCGTCAAATGATCCATAAGGCGCCCAGGTGTACCAACCTACCACAAAACCCAAAAGAATTTACATAAATTCCAATCCAAGCAGTTCTCTGAAAATTAAATGAGCTGAATCCAATAGTAGGGGCACACTAAAAGAACTACAAATAGCAGCATACGCTAGTCAAACCCAAAATATTCAACTTCTGCTGAGAATGAAAGTGCAATAGAGATGCAAATATAGCAGACTAGGAACTTACAACAATGTGAGGCCGCTTTCCAAGAGAAACAGCTTGTTGCACCATATCTACTCCTCCAACAAGCTAAACCCGGAAGCAATACGGTAGAATCATAAGTTAATCAATCCACCAGCCAAAATATATTCACCTTAAAGAAACACCGGGCGCACTAATTTGATCAGCAAATGCTTACCACAGCACATTTGAGACCAATGGCAGACCCCAAGGCTTCGAACTGCTCAGAAATTTGAATAGCTAACTCCCTCGTGGGCGACAGCACGCAGGCGAAGAACGCCCCAACTGATCTCTTCTTCGCGGCCTCGGTCAGGAGCGACTGGATGATGGGAAGAGCGAAAGCACCCGTTTTCCCGGAACCCGTTTGAGCCAAGGCAATCAAGTCTTTCCCTTCGAGTGCATGTGGGATTGATTCCACCTGTATCTTTGTAGGGTTTTTCCATCCCAATGTGTCGCAGGCGTTCGCCAATTCCTCGCATATCCCCAAATCTTTGAACGTCTTCACTTCCTCATGCTCCTCGGCCATTATTGCTTAACCGCTTGCTGCTCCGTGATACCTTGTGACGGTGGCGCTTCCAGAACGCGACGGAGAAGAGCTGCAGACGGCGGTTGATTGAGGAAGAAGAAGAGGAAAGGGTTTTTCAGAGATTTTCGGCTTCCGTGGGGTTAACCGAAAATGGGATCGACCTAACCGCCAAAAATAAATAAATCTTGGGCCTAATCAGTTTCTCTTTCAACCACATTCCAGGCCAGGAACTAGCCCAACGAGCAAGCTTGGGCCGCCCATTTTGGTGAGCATTTCGTCACAAAATAATATCCCAAATTCCATGCAACCAATTAGCAGCGAAATATTTTCGTAATCTGTTATAGTGACCTTTATCTAAGAGTGGTTTGCAAACCTTTGATTCTGAAAATGATGTATTACGAAAATGTATGTATTAAAGATTATGTGTATATTAAGAATGTGTAATTTTGAAAACTCATTGTTTGGAACTCATAAAAGAATGCATGGATTATAGTTTAAATGAACTATGAATACTCAAATCTCACCAAAAATGTAAGATTATGAATTTATTATTTTCTATGTATTAGGAATACATGCATTCTGTTATTACCTCAAGTTAAAAAGCGTTGTATTCTCAGTATACATACTGAGAATACAACATCTGTAATCAGAGGTTCCAAACAAGCTAAAAAGAGAACAAGATGCGCGAGAGCAAGAGTTAACCCCTCACGTGCGAAATAATAGAAGATCCCCTTTATAACAAGGTTTTAATCATGTCACTTCCACTCATCACTCCATGTTGACATAGTTGGTGTCGTGGTGATACACAAAATGTTACCACTCATAAGCATGAAAAACCTACAAGACCCTTAAAATATTGCATCTCTGCTGTTTCGAACCATTTATAGTAGTTGCAGAAACTTTGGATCTTGTTCTATAGCTTCCCTCAAAACCACATTCCACAGCCTACATACATTCATAAGTTCAAAGCATAAATTCTTGCACAAAGCTCCAAGGCTAAGCAACCTGTGCTACTAAACCGTACTAGCACAAAGAAAGCAAAAGGACGACACTTCTAGCCACTTTTGTCGTGAGCACTACCTCTTAATTTTCCAGTTATGGGCTGTACGAGGTCCACTTGAGATCCCATCGTAGTACTTGGAGTCGAGCTTCTGTTTATTCCAGGCCTTGACGAAGTCTGCAAACATTTCTCGGGCAGACTCGGAGGACAGGTCCGAGAAGAAAACTTTCTTCTTTTCTGCTAGCCAGGTTGCAAACTCATTGTTCTTAGCAAAGTAGTCGTCTGCTGATAGCTCCGTGAAATCGCTTCTCTGCAGCAACAAGGGACATTCAAATACATATCAATCAAAGAGTTCCTAAAACAAAGAGCAAAGAGTTCGCACATTGAGGCCAACTGCTTGATGTTTGGCTTCCCAAATTCGACTAGGCAAATAACATAAGATATTACAGGTTCTGTGTTTTTTGCCACAGAACTCAAGCACCGGGCCAATTCAACACCTTGACATTATCCTCAAATTACCCATTCAGTTTGTAATCTTCAGCCGAAAACGATAGGCATTGACACATAACATGACTACAGACTCATAGCAACAAGCTCCTTCATTGAATCATCAGGAAGGCCAGACTTTTAGCAAGAAAGAACTTAACTTGGGGAGATCTCCCTAATTGCTTACTTGAAATGTCACCGTCACAGAGTTCATAGGAATCCTATTTGGCCTAGCCTCGGCTCCAAAGACAAAGTGAACTGAAACCCTTTAAGAATCCACAATAAATGGACCCAATCTATAGACCCATAGCGCAGTGAAGCGAGCATATATAAAAAATCTGAACTATTGATTCTTGAATGAGAGTGAAATGTGAGCGCAGTATGTAAGGGTAGGAAAAATCAATGATGCAAGAAAGAGCCATACCAACTTGTCATCGCCTTTGTGATGTTTTGCATCGTGCCTATCCTTCGACTTCTTTTCTGATCAAAGAATAGCATGCACGTCAACACGTCAGAATTAGACGACCAGACAAGCTCTCACTGGAATACAGGGAAAGATGGATGAACGACAAAGAAATAAGGAAATATCACTTCTACTGTTCCAGAATCTAACACGTAACATCCATGAGCTTGAAACCCAATTCAGAACAAACTGGATGATTCAATCCATACGGGAGTGCTTATATATACATCGGAAGCTTAGTATTAGTTCTAACAAACCCTAAATCCAACAGTTAATTTCCATGATTAAAACAAATCAAAGAGGGCTTACCTTTATCAGAGCGATGGCTGCGAGACTTGCTATCCTTTTGCTTCTCTTTCTTACTGTCCCTCCCATCACCTCCGTCTTCATTTCTACTCCTCTTCCGGCTCTTTCCTGCATCTGTGTACGAATTGAACACGACAAAAGAAACCAATCAAACCACCATGGGGTAACTAGAGAAGCGGGAATGTACTCAGCCGTAGAAATTAAATGATTGGTTGTCCTACAGCTTTACAGCACGGCCGGCTGCGAAAAGAATCGGAATGAATATAGACAGACCTAGCTGGGAACAGAAATCAACGAAGACAACGAAATGAAAGCGATTCAGAAACAAGAACCTTCTGCAGAGGACGGAGATGAGCTTCTCTTCCTGCTGCTGCTGCTCTTCTTCTTCCTCTTCTCTTCGTACCGCGACTTCCTATCGCTTCCCATCTCGCCGGTGTGAAGTAAGGAAAGAGCGATAATCAGAAATTTGGCGCAGATACAAGCTGACGCCGGCCGCTACTAGGACGACGCAGCGAGCTACTGCTCGTCCTCTTTGACGGCGGGCTCTATTACCCGCGTTAAAGCCCGACTCTAATTGGCGGGCTCACAATGGGCCCACTCTGTCTCTTGTGGATTAAAGCCCAAGTTACTAGCCCAAATATCATCGGGTACAGACTTGGTACTATTCAGAGTTCAGACCCCAATCTTCTAAAAAAAATCACAGCATGGCCATGGAATACAACCTTCACGTTAACCTCCAATGCAGCTTTTGATCTGTTCATCTATCTATCTACCTACCTTCTCCACTGATCCCAAGAAGCATGGCTTCGGAGTGGAGAAATATCAGGATCGACCACCATTGATCCCAATGAGCATGGTACCAGCCTACCAGGGCAGCTATGCCAATCCCAGCAATCATCCCTGTTGTATTATCATTTCCGCTATCTGTGCTTGGAGGATTGTCGCCATTGTTGGTAGGGGATCTGACTGCAATACAATTTATAACTCTTAATTTAGCCCTGCTATAATCTTTGAAAAGCGAAGAGATAAACCTTTGGCATATTTTACCTGGAAAAGCACTGATGGCTGAAATAGAAGGCCCATACTCACCTTGAGCAGGAACGAAACAAGTAGTGTTTGCCAGCCCAGTACAAGTGGATGTCCACGTGATTCTCCACGACCTGGACGGTTAACTGCCTCTGAAATCTTCCAATAGTGAACGACCGTGCTACTTCGCATCACCAGTAGTCAGAGCAAGAACAGTTCCCACCAGCAAAGTGATGAAAGCGAAAAGCATCCCGCAGTATAATTTTCCGCCCAAGAATCCCACTCACAAATTTGAAAACAGAATGGCAATCCCCACAAACACGAAGGTTCTTGAAAACTTTGAGAGTCGAACCCTCGGGAGTATTGATCAAGGCAAATGCAAGCGCCAATCTTTCACTATGGTTCCACAAATTATGCTCTTTTTGTTCTTCATCCGTATCTTGCAATGCATAGCTTGTATCAGGGACATACCCAGCTTCTATTATCCTCTTCTTCAGCTCATCCAGCTTCTTGTATATCTCAGGCGACTGAGGGTGGGAGTTATCACCAACTCCAAATGAACTCACCTGGTTCTTCAACTTAACCCAACTGCAGGCCGGCTGCTTCTGCACTTTTCGTGATCCCATCTGACTCCTTACATTCTCTGCATCACCCCATCTGCCACTTGTTGAACAAACGTTCGAATAAAGAACGTATGCTGAATCGTCCGATGGGTCTAAGGCTATGAGATTTTCAGCAGCTTTTCTCCCGAGTTCCGGGTTCCCATGGACCTTGCATGCTGCCAACAGACTCCTCCAAACGAAGTCCGATGGTGGAATTGGCATTTCCTTGATGAAAGTTTCAGCTTCAGTAAGCCTCCCAGATCTTCCAAGGAGGTCAATCATGCAGACACAATGAGCAATTCTTGGGGGAATATTGAACTCCTTTGTCATCGAATAGTAGTACCTTAGACCTTCTTCCACAAGCCCCCCATGGCTGCATGCAGAAAGAAGTGAAACAAAAGTGACTTGATCTGGTTTTACTCCGAGCTCTTGCATTTCATGAAAGGTTTTGATGGCCTTCTCAAAGTGCCCATGCTTCGCAAACGATGATATCAATATATTCCAAGATAACCTTGACCTATCGATAGGTTGACCAATAGTTCTTAGTGCATCCTCTATTTCTCCACATTTTCCATACATGTCCATAGTTGCATTTGCAACAAAAGGGTCAGAGTCCAGACCCAGTTTGACTGCCAAACCATGAAGCTGCTGGCCTTCTTCCAATACCGCCAGCTGTGCAGTAGCAGCAAGACATTCAGATATGCCAAACTGATCCAATCTTATTCCATCGCGTTTCATGTTGATAAGAAGTTTCAAAGCTTCTTCAGCATACCCATGTTTAGCACTTGCTGCTATAAGAGCATTCCATGCAGCATTCTTCTTGTTAGGTATTGCATCAAAGATACGACAACTCGAGTCGATATCACCACACTTGGCATACATTGAAATAAGAGAGCTTTGAACATATTCATCTGATCCGAACCCTTTCTGAACTATATAGGAATGAATGGACATCCCGTGTTCCAATAGATCAATAGCAGTCGTGCAAGCACCTAGAACATTGGCGATAGTTATGTAGGATATGCCCATACTCTGTTCTCTCATCAGTTTAAAAGCTTCAATAGCTTTTTCCGCTTCTTCATTGTCCGCATGACCTCCAATGAGTGCATTCCAAGTCACTTCATCCCTCCTAGGCAATGTTTGAAATACCTTTCTTGCCTCAGTCATCAAACCAGACTTGCAATACAAGGTGACCAGTGAATTGCCAACTATCACGTTTTCATCTAAGCCTGTAAGGATTGTAATGCCATGAAGCACCTTGCCTAAACTAACAAACTCTGGATCAGCACAAGCACCAATCGCAATTGTAAACGTAACATGGTCAATTACCTTTATTCCGTAACAAATATGGTTAAATATCTTCAAGGCGTCAGTGCACTTCCTGTTCTCAGCATAGCAGACCATTATAGAATTCCATGAAATCAAATCCCTGTGTCCCATACTGGAAAATACTTTTCCTGCATCTTCAGGAATGCTGGCGGCAGAATACATACCTATAAGGCTGTTCCCCACAAAAACATGTAAATCCAGCCCCATTTTAGTAGCCAAACAATGAATTCCTCGTCCATACTCTAAATAGTCAGCTGAGCCACATCCAGATAACAAAGCTGAAAGAGTAGTATAATTTAACTTTCCATGCTCATGACGCATCCAATTAAAATATGTCAGTGACGCTTCATGGCAACTATTATGTACATTCACTGTGATAATCGAGTTCCATGAGATTGTGTCACGCTCATTCATGCAGCCAAAGATATAACTAGCCTCTTGTACTCTCCCATAATTTCCAAACATCGATATGAGAGAGTTTGCTACAGAAGCATCAGTTTCCAGTCCAGCCTTCATGATATGTCCAAGAACCTGAAGACCCAGCATTTCATCCTCAAGTGATCCACAAGAGCTAATCACAGAGGCCAATGTGTTGCTGTTGCAACCCACTCCTTCATTCCTCATTCGCAGGTAAAGTTTCATCACTGCCACGGGATCCCCGTGATCTGTAAATGCAACCATCAATGCTGTCCAAGAGACCACATTCTTATCAGGCATCTCTTCAAACAGCCGCATGGCGTTACTGGCCAGGCCATACGTTCCATAGAAATGCACAAGCGAAGTACCCACAAAAACATCAGACAGAAATCCCGACTTAAGGACGAAATCATGGATCTGAATACCTTCCCTAAACATGCACCCGGACCTGTCACAAGCAGTCACCAGACTAGCAATAGCGAACCCGCTTGGCTTACTACCAACATCCCTCATTTCACGAAAGAAATCTAATGCCTCCCCATACATCCCCACCCGAACATATCCAGACATCAGGTTATTCCATGACGACTCATTTCTCTCAGGCATTGAATCGAACACATAGCGAGCGTGGCCAATGTGACCAAACCTGGAGTACATATTAATCAAAGTGTTGTTGTAAAACCCACCCAGATTGATTAAACCCTTGATGCAAAGCGCATGCAACGCTTTGCCAGTCACTTCTCTCTTGATTTGGGAGAACCCCTTTTGCTGGAAGCAGGACACATTCGGATTCGGGTGGTCTGCTAGAGAAACGGTAGCACAAAGCTTGGAGCGTGAAAAACTAGCCGAAATTTCCGGCGATGGTACGGCTACATAGGAGCGGAATCGCACGCTCCGGCGGGGTATAATGCTACGTATCCGGAGTCGCATGGGCGGAACGAAACCTTCCCGCAGCAAGAAGCTAGCTCTGACCATCTTATTCTAAAATAGAGACGCCAGTCCGGAAACAGTAGGAAAATATCTCGAACTGCCTTTCTATTCAGCTGATACTATATCTCCATTATTACTTCTAGGGGAAAGAATTAGGAGGAGTGAGAAGGAAGACCTCGGGAGGCTGACGAAGAGGGAATAGGAGTTTCTCCTCCAACTGCCACTAATGCCTTTCTTCTTCGTCGTCTTTGCCTCTTCCTTCGACTTCCATTCACGTCCCATCTCTCAAATCCCAGTGAGTTCGGCCGACAAATAGACAAATCAAGGCGCAATCAGTAGAGAGAGGTCAAGCACCTCCGCTCCGTCAACTGATTCCTCCGGCTGCTGGTACGAACAGACGGCCGGCGGCTCTCTCCCTCGTGGTAAAGCTGAGAAGAGAAGGTAGTTATGGACCCAAATATATTCATTGGGCCCAAAAAAGTTGGACTTGGCTTGTGTCAAGGCCCAAAAATTGGGACAGCTGAAGACTAGCACGATTTTCGTTCGTCCTATTAACCGCCATATATAATATATATATATACATCCCACTCCCCGCTCCGCTTTACACTTCTTCAGCAGTGAACACCAAGAAGAGTTGCAGCAATCCCTTTTCTACTGTCCGCCATTGCTGCATTTATTTAGTCTCGGTAGATTTGTTGTATCTTGATGTTAATGGCAGTTTCTAAGATCTCTGCAACTTGTTGGTCATTTCCAGGGCTGCGATGCTTCGATTTTGCTCGATGACAGCAATGGGAACGCGAGCCGTTCCATTGAGAAGGACGCCATTCCCAACAGAAGCTTGGAAGGCTTCGACGTGATCGAAATGATCAAGGAAGAGCTTGAGGCGCGCTTGTCCAGGCGTCGTTTCATGTGCCGATACTCTCCCCCTCGCCACCAGAGACAGCATTGTTTTGGTTTGGCCCTCCGTATCCATATCTCTCTCTCTCTCTCTCTCTCGCTCTCGCTCTGCTTGCTTTCTCCATCGTAGCTTTCGATTCATTATATGTTTCGTCTCGCTCAGGCCGGCGGCTCGTTCTATCCCGTATTCACAATACGGGAAGAAGGGACAGCACCGAATCGTATTACTCGGAAGCCATGGCCGAGATTCCCAGTCCGTATAACAACAGCACTCAAACTCTCGACTTCTTCGCTCGCAGAGGCTTTGATGCGAAAGAAAGAAACCATTGCTCTTCTTGGTAAGACGACTATAAACACCCAAATCCTCCAATTCGTTCCTTATTCCCTTTTGATCTTCACACTCTGAAAAGTGAAACCTTGAGGGATTATATATGCTTCTGGTGATCACGGGACGGGATGATGAAATTCAACAGGGACTTTGCTAGAACCATAGTGAAGATGTCCAACCTCGATGTCCTGACTGGAGCTCAAGGTCAGGTCCGAACAAAGTGCTCTTCTTCCCTCGTTGCTCCCAACTGACGCGCCTAATAGGTTCCAACTTCTGGTTAAGTCATGTAGGATTCTCAGTTTCGGCTTCAACCCTGTCCATAGTAAGCTTTTCATGCTGTGAATGTGATATCTCCTTGTATTTCTGCCTTGGGGCTCACTGTCGTGAAGACTCAACTTCTACTTCTGTAATACACGATTTAGACCTCTCAACGTAACTAATCATATCCTTCATTTTCATCTTTCATGTAACTAAGTAGTACATAGGATGAACTAACATTTAGTTATTTACATGCACATCGTTTTCAAAAGTCATAAATACAGCTGGTCAGGAAAAGCCAGGGAATGTAGTTTCAAGAACACTTTCTCCACCGAAGCCAAGTTTATCCCAAACCCATAACTCTGTCCTCCATACTGCACATAGAGATAATCCTTGGGTTTCTCCGGTGGGGGCAATAGCCGAGACAACTGCGGAAAATCTGATCCAGGCGGAGGAATAACTTCTCCTTCCTTCTTGACGGAGTAATAGACATCGGCCACCAGAAGCCATATAAGATCAGGGTCCATCAACGCAAGTCCATGAAGGGCACTGATCGAGGCATCGTGGAGCCCTGCCACGCCGCTGCAAGCTATTCCCACCACTAGACCGCTGACCTTCTTCAGGACTACCTCCAGCGCCGTGGAGCTCCTCTTGTTCCGTGCCAGGTCGGAGATCATGTTGAGCAGCGCCACCTGGACCTTCAGGTTTGAGACCTCTGCCATAGAGGATGACTCGTCTGTGGAAGGATTGCTTCTGTAAGGAAGGAGCAGCGGCGTTCGTTCTTCTTTGACGGGCTTCTTCTGGAACGGGGATGAGGAGAGGAGCTTCCATAAGCATGGACCGTCTGTGTGGAACCTGCGTGAGAAGAAGTCACCTCCACATATTTGCACCACGTAGGCTATCACACTTGTGCATTTCCTTACTGCCTGTGGAAGCAAACAGAGTGAAACCAAGAATTTCTAAATCCATGACGTAACTAGTTTTTCTGGATAAAAATGGCCATGAAACAACAAAGTGCAACAAGATGCTAACTAAACTAAGAGACCTGTAATAAAACAGACAAACAGTCACTCCATCTAATCTGACACAAGTCCAATTGAGTCTACATTCCATATCAGCAAAATCAACCCGATTAGAACCGAAACCATACCATAAGCCAAATCCTTCCCAACTTGAATGCAACTCGCAAAACAGTCTCACAACCGACAAGCAAACACACAAAACCATGATCTAAGCCCATCCTCGACTACAAATGGGTAGTCTGATGGATGCATTGGGTCTTGATTGCATGTACTCGTCCAAACTAATGACATGTTATACAGAATGAGACAGAATGACTATTTTGATACGGATCCTTTAGTTAAGTTGCCAGCTTTTGAGGACTTTATCAATTTAGGCATTTAAGTATACAGCCGCTAGGTAAAGAGAATTTATGGAAATCCTTACCACAGGATTTCTGTTACGAACGCATGAAATCAAGTACGGCCATATTTTATTCATAGCTGGAAGCAATCTGTTCTCATCAGTCCCCTCATCGGCAGCATCCATAGTATCATGAAGCTCATAAATAGAGTAAGATCGCACCACTTCTTCAATTAATTCCTTGGTTTCTTTCTCGTACTGATAGGCTTCTTCCACTTTCGCTAGTGATGCAATGCCATCCTATTTACATTTCAGAAATATTTGAGGGTTATAAAATGATAACAGGAAACGAAGGTGAAAGGTACATGAGTAAGAGATGATTTTGTAACGGGGATCTATCCTATACCTGGACTATATCCAATGCCACAAGGCATGCTGTCTGCTCCATTGAGGCAAGAAGAGGGGTTGCAGCCGATAAGCATGACGCAGCAATAGACCCAACTGTTCGTCTGTACCTTTTGGATTCGCTCCACTTGAAGACAATACTCACCCATTGTTCTACAAGCAGAATACTATTCCATGAATCTATTCATTATAATAAGGAAATTAACATCTGCATCGAGATTTACCAACTGTTCACAAATAACCTGATTCTCCTTGGCAACTATCAGACTTGCCATCTGGTTTGTGGCTGGATTCAGCCCTCGCTTTCTTCTCCAACCTTGATGATTTGGACTTAACATCCTTAAGGTACAATTCTGCATTACTTGGCAATGAAGAAGTCTCGGATTTTGATGCCTTGGCAATTTCTGCTATGGCCTGAAATTAAAAGTATCTACTTACAGTTAAGAAAATTTCTACGAAGGGTAGAAGCACAAAGAAAGCTCCAATAGGGAGCATTGCAAATACAGATTATCTATATATAACAAATAAGTATATAAGTCACATGAAGTACACAACCTTTAGGAAGGGAGTGGTCAGTTTTGGGTGTTGATGTCTGCCAAGAATCTCTAGTTCCCTTGAAACAGCACACATCTGCACAGTATTTATCGTAGTCAATGAGTCATTGCAATGACCATATAAACCAAGTTTCTCAAGGTACAGCTACCATTAATCTTAACATAGTTTATGGAACATTCAACTATAACCATACCGTTTCTTCTAGAAGAGACAGCACCTTATGAGCCACACCAATATAGGAAAGCATAGAAGCAAGCACGTTCGGTACTTGTGGATTAAGATTTAAGTGACGCAATTGCCGACATATTGAATCAACGACATAATCTGCATTTGTCAAGACCAAGTCTCCAACCTACAAAATATGAATACAGAAACGACCATTTGATAACCAACCAACTCTTTCAATTTAAAAAACAAAAGAATATATTGAAAAGGTTACCGTTGAATGCCCGCATGAAGCAGCAAGAATATGCAGGACAGCATCAGAAGCAGTTCTAACTTGGTTATCAGCAGAAATAACGTTTTCAAGCAACAGATAGAGAGTGGAATGAAGAAACCCACACAACGAGAACTCATTTTCAATGCAGGTAGCAAAGATGCCTACTCCGTCAATAGCAACTTGTTGTAGTGCAGCTGCATCTCGGAAGAAGTGCAAGCTTATTTCAACATCTGTATCACTTTGTACCACTAAATCTCCATGATCTACCGGTAGAACCCACAATTCAGAAGATAGATACTCATGCAAAATTCTTCCAACGCAATCGATCAAGTGACTCTTGGTGACCTTTTTCTGTGAAGCCTTCCAAATAGAGACCATACTTTCTCCCTTCACCCTGGACTTCTGAAACATCATAGTAACACCATCAACTGCTTTATCAGATATACCAAATATCATCTCATTTAGAATGCATGCGGAAGTGCTGGCCTGGCGTATTAATTTTCCAGACCCACTTCTATTACACCAGGACTGCCAGCTCTCATTGGTGTAATCCTTGGAGCGAACCTCAGAAACCAATCTGCGTATATGACCTAGCGGTATGTCTGTTATCACTGCCATATGTCCTTCATTGTGGTCTAGCAACAAGAGGATATAACTCAAAGTAAGCAACAATCAGAGTTAAACTTCTATTAAAGCAAAAGAAGAAGAAAAGATTACCAAGAGCTGAATTTACCTGCTAGTAAGGATAAGCCTATTAGTCTGAGAACTGCAGCTAGAGCATCGTATAGCTTCTTACTGCCAACATGGACAAACCAAGGTGGCATTCGTGGAAGCTCATAACTATTCTTCAGAGTTTCAGAAGAGTACTCCAATTTTTTTCCATCACTAACACTCATATCGGACACATTAGCACGAGAGTTATCCTTAAGATTCTGGTAACTAGAAGAAACAGGACCACCTCTTAACTCCAAAATAGACGGAAGAAAACTAATCGAGGATGTGCGTGTCGACATAAGCTTATCAAGAGTGCCTGTATATACGGAATTCTGACTCAAACAGAGGGCAAAAACATCCAAGAGTCTTGCTGCAGTCACCTAAGAAGACCAGTACAGAAAAGATAAGGTAATTTACAAGAAACTGGCACCTTATAGATTTTAATCTTTCATCTACTCTGCTGTAGAACCATTGAAATAAAGAGAAACAAGAGTTCATCACGCCAGGTTTTCTTAGCAGGTGTAGAAGTATTCAAAATGTTTTAGGCACTCCCACCAAGGTGCAAAGAAGTTATTATCTAGGCCTTGCTGTAAGATGATGTGCCAAAATAAGAAGCATTAGAGATGAAGAAACAAATGCAGGCTCCGAGCACCTACCGGATTTTGGAGGTGATCCAGCATAAACTCGGGACCAGAATAATAAATGACAACAAGTAACTGCTGTGCATGGAAGAGAGCAGCCGACTCCTCGCCTCCAAGTACTACTTTTGGAAGCTTGTCAATGAGCCTAGTAAAGAAAAGGGCATAACAAAGAAAATAGAGTAAAATAGAGTTCAAACTAGATTAACATATAAAATCCTTTGATACTGAATGCAGACCTTGCAAAAATCTGAGCTATATCAGTTTTTAGAGAGTGCTTTCCACAAGGTGTGGAAAATAATAGATGAAGAAACTCCTGGGAAGCTGCAGCAATATCTTCAGAGTCATCAACAACCAAGACAAAGAGGCACTCCTGTACAGTTGTCATCAGCAAATAAGTATCTTACCTAAACAGCCAATAAAGCTGGCAGATATGCAATCCAAGAAATCATGCACTCTTCCATAATCAACTCAAAGTTCCAAGAATCAAAGAATAACTCATCAACTTACCAATAGCATCAACCTACTTTCCTTCAAAGTAGAACTGCACCTTGATAGCATTGCTGTTATGGCAGCCAGCAGTCCCCGTCTCAACCTTTTAGCTTGATGAACACAAATCTACCAACAGAAAGACGTTGATACTGTCAAAACACATGAAAGTAGACCACAAATTTTTTGGTGCACTCTTATGTATAAAATGTGAAGCCTTACTTGTGGAAATGTGGAATTCAACAATTTAACCACATTTGCTGAAGTTTGCTGTAACCAATCTGTTGTTCGCTCAACGTGCAAAGATCCTGAGGCCTTCCTTCTTTTCATAGCCCCGGTCATTTCAAAGTCAGACCGACAAGCGACTGAGTTGTCTGCTTCACCCATCGACTCATCAGTCATATTCTTCACACCCCCCTGAGTGCTGATAGGTAATTGGCGAAGCTGATCCAAAACTGACTCCACAGAGTCATTACTGTCTGGACCTGAGTCCACCGTGGAATTCCGAGACGTACTGGAGGTTAAATTGGAGTCGTCGTCCAGGACTATCATTAGATACTCAGCCAGGGCTCTAATTGCTTGGTCAGTTGCATCCATGCTTCCAGCTGCTCCGCTCATCATCGTTTTTGAGGAGTGCAAAACTTTCGAGAATTTACTGACGACACCAGGTAAAAAGAAAGCCAATACATCTGCAGTACCTACCTGCAAAAGTTACGTCCCAGGAGTTTATAACATATTTAGGAAGCTATGGTTGGAATCAGCATACAGAGAATTTTAATAAGTTACCTTAGCAACAAGCACCCTTAATGTAGAAAAGGCTTCTACTCGGAGCCTTGCACTGCCCCTATGTCCTCGTGCAGCCTCAGTGTCTGCAGCCTTAACAGAAATCTCAAAGTCAATCCATAACACAGACTTAAATACACATAAAGTCTTCCAAGACTAGAAATCTCGACATGGAAACAACAGTGGAAAAAAGCACCTGCAGAAGAAGCGAGAACCAGTGTCCAATTGCAGCTGCTGCATTATGGGACTGGAGAAATGCAATCAAGCATTCACTTCCTTCTGTATCATAACTCAAAGGCTGGCGTAGAGCCAAAGAATGAACGTCCCCATTCTCTACCAATGCCGGCACACCATAAGTTTGCCTACACGAACAAGCTTCATCCGCACAAGGACGTAAACCTCTAAGTACAGCCCCGAAACACCTGATCACTCCCTCTCGAAACTCTTCCGAAGCTTCCAATGGAGACAACATAGCTGCGTGAGTCAATTTCTTCATCACTAGAACCATCTAAAGCACAATCACCAGGTTATTCGAATAGGTTTCAAATATCAATACACTACCGATTCAATCTGTTAGCAGAATAATAGAAGTTCGGATGGAGACTTAAACAACCTGATCGATAAACCCAAAGCGACTCTTCTGGAAAAGCTCTTCCAAGCACAGCACCACGCCTTCTGCCACTTTGTCACTCACTCTATGCGGCACTGCAGACAGCTTCTTCCTCTTCTTCTCAGGATCACCCTCCTTGGAAGATCGGCATTCGACCGCCGCATCGAGCAGGAGCAGCAGTGGGAAAGAGGCGTAGCTGCAAGGAGCATTAGACGAGTTTCAAGTTCAAAATACACGAATCAATAATAAATGCCATTAATATTCATAATAAGAGTCGCTCAACTTTTCATCTAGCCATTGCTGTACTCACTCGACGAAAGGCTGTAAATCAGTAGAGGAACAAGCGCGGAGGAATTCGAGCAGTGAAGGAATCGCGGAGGAATTGTGATTGCTAGGGTTCTGGAGAAGCTCGAAGAGCTCTAGGCAGTAGGGTTTAAGCCGTGAGAAGACGCTGCTTCTGTGAATTGAATCCGCCATGTCCATCTACGAAGCTGGACGTGTTCGCCGGAAATTTCTTCGGAGCAACTGAGGAAGACGGCGAAAGAAGCGCGAAACTATGCGGAGTTTCTTTCCACAGTTCTTCGGGATGACTGAAGTAGGAAATATGAAAATTTTCCGCGAGCCTGATTTTCAAGGTGAAGAAAAGGAAATTACTAGAGAGAAGGAAACAGATTTGGGCCTGACTTGGTACCGAGAGCTGATTACTGTCAGGTCCAAGCTATTCGGGAACTAAAAGAGTTGGCTTTGGGCCAACTATGTACTTAATATAAAGCCAGGCCCAATTCACTTAGGAGCCTGCTTTTGTTGATTCACACACGTCAGCAACATGCACATGCAAGCTAAATAGAGAACTGAGGACGTGCGTCGTTAATGTAATTTAATTTCATTTGTCCGTTATTATTATTGTATATTATGCTTCCCGATTTGGCTTTTTTTTTTGGCTCCCTTATTTAAAAGTGTTTTTTTTTTGTGAAACCCTTATTTAAAAGTGTTAATTCCCCAGCTAGTTGTTCTTTTAAGTCATTGTTAATGTTATTGCATCCTTAATCATGATGAACTAGGGGACAAGCGGACAAGGATACATACATTGTAGAGTACGTACATCAATTCACATCAAGTGGGAGAACAATTCACCTACCCGTCACTAGCAAGTCCATGTCACTCTATTGATACAATCTAACACTTGCAAAAAATAGTCCAAACACTATATTGTTATATAGGTTAATTTACTTTTTTGTGTTTAGGTACTATTTAACGGATTCGAATCGGAGACACCAGGTTCAAATTTATTGGTATTATCATTAGATCAAGTCATTGTTGTTAAAATAGTCCAAACTGAGATTACTTGTGAAAGTTCTTAATAATAGATTGAACGCCGTGTTTTATTATTTAGTCATAATTGAGTTAATATGTCCCAACAAGTGTGTTCACCCGTTTGAATGAAGTAGCTAGCTAGTATTGACAGTTACCTATATGTCACTTGAGATGAAGCAATCATAGATTAAGACCCAAGGCCTAACACGAGTAGTTAAGTTGTATACACAAGTTAGGAGGACCTAATTAATTAACCGATGTGCAAGCAAAAGCAATTACAAGCAGCCGGCCGGGCAGCTTAATTAGAAGGAACAAAAAAATCTCCATCGACAGCCTAGGATATTATTATGCAGAGTCATGTAGAAGAAGACCCAAAAAAAAAAATGAATGGGCCGGGTTTGATCATGTGAATGCAACTGAAGAGAGAAGAAGAATATATATAGTTGAGTGGATCAAGTTGTGGTTGTTGGGTTTATTGTATTTGTAATGAGATGTGCAAATCATTGAGTTCAGCAGCTAGCATTAACTGGTCATGGTAGACTGTACTGTGTATGCATGGGTTAGTCAATATACTGGTATATCTGGACGTTGACTTGCTGTGTAAACAAACCCCCGCTTCCAAGTCCATTTGTGCTTGCTTCTGAATCATTTGTGCACCAAACTTCAAACGCAAAGACTTTGACGGTGCTTGGTTTACCCAACCATAACTATAGTGAATGTACATCACGCGGTCAAAGTCGATACATTGTTTGATTCTTTGATCTGAATTAAGTTCCGCCTCGGGATTGGAGCAACAAATATATATATATAGAGAAAATAAAATTACACATATTCTCGTCCGATCTGTTTCGTTGGTCCATCGTTCCAAGTACAATGATATGCATGAGAAGACACTCTGTCTGTTGATTAAGTCGAAGGTGGTGAGAAATCAAAACAGATAGAATAGTTTTTATAAGATTGAAAAATATATACTACCTGGTTTGATTGATATATGAATCCGAATTGGTTGACATTCCAATAATGTGAACATAAATATGAATTGAAAGTGTACGTAGAAGACTCAATAAAATATCCATATTGATGAGATCCGAAATCATTATCGGTAAGCGTGTATATATTTGAAGTATAAAATAACAAGTATAATATACTCCGGATTTTTATGTCTATACTTTAGTTATTGTACAAGATCATGCGGTATACAAAATACGGACCATGACTTTGTATATAAACCATTTCTTGGTTTGACTACAAGAGTAGTACTAGCTAACTACTTCACGATTCACATGAACCACCAGATAATAATTCTTTAGCATCAAACCATTGACCTTTACATTTCAACACTTGGAAAACCAACGAATTTGAAAACTGATAAACTACTACCACTACTACATCGCTCTCTACATATAATTGACAATTTCCCATATATTTTCCGTCAAGTGATGACGTGATCACATCGCCAAAAATAAATATAAAAAAATATTGGAAGTCATAGATTATTATTAAAGTTTAATAAATTGCAACCAACGAGTGGAAAATATGGAATTGTTAACACCACCACCAAGCTATCTTAGCTAAGCAGGTGGTGGTTGCTATTACATCCGACGATGTCATTTTGTCGTCGCAAAAGAGTCTTTAAAATTTTCTTAATTTGTGGGTTAGAAATGCATAGAGATTAGAGAGCAGGCAGTTAGTCTATTTGCCCCGATGTGGAAACAGGAACGGCTGCAGCAGTGACATATATATGTCTAATACAAAGGGATTTGGAAAAGGCAGTAATTAATTAACATGGTTTATGAATTCATTATTGTTTTTTTTATGTATTGATTCTTTGACCCATATATGAAGCTCCCAATCACAACTTTGAACCAAATCAAGACCTTATTAATCACCATAATATATATTTCTAGGTTTGGTAATGGTTGGTCTACCAGATATATACTATACAGTTCAACCAGCTGCTTCTCCCACTTTGTTATTTGTCCCTCGTTTGTAAGTCATCCTATTTATTCCTATATCCTAATCCAATAACTAATTAAGCCTATTGTGACTTGGTAGGGCTTCCTACACCTTCACCAATGAGTTCTCCATAACATTAATGCTTATATCACAAAGACAAAACCAACAACGAGAGGAAAAGTGACGATCTGGTTTATGTTAGTAAATGGTATAGGATTTATAATTTATTTCAATAATTTGAATTATTAGGTTCAATAGGACGTGATATTGAACCCAGGGTTGACATAGAGGTTGTGCATTTGAATCTCGATATATGACTCGATTTTTCGAGCACATGGTATATATTCGGACCTATGCAAACTTAAAGCCCATATGAGTTGGATTTCTTTTGAGTAGGTATAACAATAAATGGTATAACATCTATAATTAAACATCTCTAACCATCAAGTTACGTCATTGACCCTATACTATAAGTAAGCGTTGGTTACCCCCATTGAATTTAGTTTCTCTCGTTCTATATTTCTTATTATAACAGTAAGCATTGGTTACCCCACAATATGATCTCTAATTGATGATTTCTAGGCAAACTCACTGTCAGAGACCAGTTGATCACAATAAATCGAGTTTTTTTTAGAGAAAGTCAATTATTAAACATATATAATTTATTAACACACCCTCTCAAATGAAAGTCGCTCGTATAGGGCTTGAACTTTGCACAAGTCCATACACACTTTGCTTAACAAAATAGGTGAGGGTCACGGTGATTCTAACAGAAGACCTCTCGATTAGAGAAAGCTCTGATACCATATCAAAAATCAATTGATTCCAAGAACTCGAATTATTAAAATAAATTTCATTACAAATCACATATCATTTAATAACAAGCAGATGATGAATCCATAAGCATGATCTCTAGTTGCTGATTAGGGCTGGCTATTTGGACCGGGACCGGATGAAAAACCGGAAACCGGACCGTATAACCCGGACCGAGACCGGACCGGGACCGGATAGTAAACAATCCAATCCAATCTTTGGGCTTAGATTTGAGGTAAAAAACCGGATAAAGACCGGATAAGAGAGCTCAACACCCAAAACTTAAGGGTAATTTGCATAAACGGTCACAAACCTTTGCACTTAGTACAAAACTTAACCAACTCCTCACCCTTTTAGGCCTTAGGCCACTCAAATTCCCACAATCTCAATATAAAATCAAGACCGAATTGGGACCGGACCGGGTCAAGACCGGCCCGGATCAAGACCGGACTGTATCCAATCCAATCTTCGGTCCTTATATTTTCAAAAAAATCGAACTGGACCGGATCAATTTGAGCCAATTTAACCGGACCTGACCGTATAACCACCCCTATTGCTGATGATGGAACCATGAGCACAACTCGCACTAAACCCACCTGTAAAATCGGTTCCAATAGCTATCATTGGTATTGTCACTAATGAGAATGTTACCAACCAATGGGAGATTCTAACTCACTGTAATCGTCAGTAGTTTTCAAACTGCACAGACATATATATATATATATATATGAAAGGAATTAGCTAGCGTATGGGGAGCGCCGTTGAAAATTTTGGGTGCTGTCTGGGTTAGTTTATAATAACATTAGACAATATTTTGGCAGTATTATATGCAAATGTAGTATTATATAATATAATTACCTAATTAGTACTATTATGGATTAATAGTCGCCAATTGAGGTTGTCCTGGTTCTTGCATCGCATTCGTATGGTCCACAAGGGTTTCAAAGGACGTGACAGATTGAAACTAATTATATTAATTCCTTCAATTTCAAGCATAACCACAAAGTGACAAATCATATCTATCTATAATCTATCTATCTCCAGCAGAGGTTTTCATTTACAGATTAGTATGTAACTACACACCCAAATGACGTTATTGTTTAAGTATTCCATTTATTACTCATTAGCATCAAATTACCTTGCCAATTCAAACAATAGCAAATAATATATCTTTCAAAAATTCGGATTATCATAATTACATGTGTCTTGACACGCACGTGTCAACAAAGTGTCAAGGAATCAGATAATGATCTAAATAATTTGAGTTGTTAAAAATATTTTTTTTTATTAGAAATCTTATGATATTTACTATTTAGTATTCAGTATTTACTAACACATATTCTCGAATGAAAGTCAACTCATGGGATTGATATTTGCACAAATCTAAATATCATGAGCGTAACATTGAGGTCGTTGAGATTCAAACACAAAACAAAATAAGTTGATTACCACTAAAGTCTAAATATATTAGCCGCCTGTTAATCGAGACCACCCTCTTGTTCCAACGTATCTCTGCATGCTCCATTATATGATG